CTGGGGAGTATCTATCACATGTTCGCCACGTTTGGGGTGCCGAAAATGATCCATCCACATTTGCAAGTCGACCCTGAAAGGAGCCATAGCCCACATACCTGGGCTGCACAGAATCCAAAACCTTATCAAGTGCAGTCTCTGGAACCCCCCCGCGCCCTAAGCTAAGCGCGCCATGTCGGAGTCAGGCAGAAAGGGGGCACATGATCCCTCAGGCAAAAGCGCCAGGGCGCCTTGTCCATGACCATCTCTGCAGCGACCAGCGCTATGGACTCGCCCTTCGGAACGAAGTACAGGGTTTAGGGTTTAGGGTTTAGGGTTTAGGGCTAGGGGGTTTAGGGTTTCGGGTTGAGGGCTAGGGTTTAGGGTTTGGGATTTAGGGTTTAGGGTTTAGGGGTTTTTGGGTCTGCAGGGCTCAAGGGTTGGAGTCATGGGCCGTACATCCGAAAACCCCCAAAGCCCTGCCCACCGAACCCATTCCCCCACGCCCGCAAACCCCAATCAACCCGAACTCCTGCCCCCCCAAAGCCCCCTAGTTCTTAGTAGGGACTGAGTGCCCTTTAAAGGATTATATAGGAGGCCTAATTCCCTCATTCCCCCTAAACCCTGAACCCTAAACCCTAGCAAAGAACCAGGCCCCCCCCCCCCAAAAAGCCTCGCCAATGGGCGTGCCCTGGTGGTCGTCCACCTCCACACCTGTCCTAGGAAAAGACTTCGCGGAGTTTCTGAAGAGAAACAAGAACCAATTGGGTTTGGGGTTTGGGGTTTAGGGTTTAGGATGAGACATTACCTTGTTCTGCTTGGACATGTTCGCATGGTGTCATAAACATATAAGACAAAAGGAGCAAGGGCAGTAGTGGGCATCCGAGACAAAGTTCAGTGTACAGTTGGGCATGAACCGAAAAGCCCACCACCAGAAACCCAGAACTTTACAATTGGGCCTCCAGCTGATGGTTCTTGAAAGTTAAATCCAGGGATTCTGGTTTGGGTGTAAGGCCCTCAACCCTAAACCCTAAATGTAAGGAAATTAAACTAGAGATCCTGGGACCCCTACAATCCCTATAAACCCTTAAAGCCTGGTACCGTCAGAGGATCCCTAAACCCTAAACCCTAAACCCTAACCCCTAAACCCTAAACCCTAACCCCCAAACCCTAAACCCTAATTAAACCCTAAACCCTAGACCCTAGGGTCTAGCCGAGGGGCTCGGGAAGCTTCTCCATGGCTTCCGTGAGCCACAGCTCCCAGTCCTCTTCACGCTTCGGTGTACGGCCGAGGAATGGGGGGTTCAGAGTTTGAAGGCTTGAAGCCCTAAACCCAAAGTCCTAAACCCTAAACCCTAAACCCTAAACCCTAAACCCTATACCCTCAACCCTAAACCCTAAACCCTAAACCCTAAACCCTAAACCCTACCGAGCTACGCCTTCAGGGCCTTCCGCTAGTCATGATGCGGGGTCCGGCCTCCCCTCCCTTCCACTGGGACACGGAAGGCGCGCTGCCATCCAAGTACCTTGTTTGGGGGGTTTGGGGTTTAGGGTTTAGGGTTTAGGGTTTAGGGTTTAGGGTTTAATTAGGGTGTAGGGTTTAGAACTTAAGGGTAGGTGCTGAAGGGTTTAGGTTATTGAGGGCAGATGAGGGTGGCTGCGGGCTTTGGTGTTCTTGAGGGCTCGAGCTTTCTCTGATTTTTTTTGTGGGCTTGGCGGTTACAGGGAGTTGTTAGATGTTTTTTGGGTTTGAGACCTCAAGCCCTAAATCTATCTCAAAACTGTGCCCATGGAGAACTTCTAACCGCAGAATTTAATGTTGGGATGCATCAGGGGCCTAAACCCTAAACCCTAAACCCTGGTTGCTGACGCGGTGCTTGACCTCATCTTCAGTGAGCCGGGTGTCGTGGTAGTACCTTCTTATCCATGGGTTTCAGGGTTTAGGGTTTAGGGTTTCAGGGTTTAGGGTTTAGGGTGTTCAGGGCTTAGGGCATAGGGCTGGTTTCCCTTGGAGACGAAATGAACTCAAAATTTGGGACCATATACCTATACTACTACTATCCCTATTTAGGGGATATGAGCCATAAACCCCTTTAGGGTTCATTTGGTCAAGGTAGGGCTCGAGCGTGTCGTCGGCACCTTACACTAAACCCTTAACCTTACACCCCAAAACTCTAAACCCTACAGGCCCTAACGCATAAACCCTAAACCCTAAACCCAACCCTAAACCATAAACCCTGAACTCTTGTCCCCAAGTCATTGAGCCCTAGGGCAATGAAAGGTCTCCCCTCATCTAGTTCCTAAAAGGGAATTTGGGGTTTAGGGCCCTAAGGTTTAGGGATTAAGTTTAGGGTTTCGGGTTTGGGGTTTAGGTTTTGGGGGTTTAGGGTTAGGGTTTAGGGTTTAGGGTTTAGGGTTTAAGGGTTTAGGGTTTAGGGTTTTAGGACCTTACACCACCGTGGCGGCTGCACCAACCGCCCAGACGATGTCTGCATCACCGGCCCACGCGGCCGCCCCAAAAAGCCCATGGCAGCTATCAATACGTACCAGAAACCACCCAAAACCCTAAACCTAACCCCTATAACCCCTAACCCCTAACCCCTAAACCCTAAACCCAAACACCCTAAACCCAAACAACCTAAACCCTACAGGCTTCGGACTTAGGATTTAAGGCATATAGGTTGATTTGAGCCCCAAGAGCTACTGCATTTTGTTCGGCGGGGGCCTTCATCTCAGGGGGCGGGATCAATTCGGGAGCAACGCCTTGCGGACGAAATGACCCGGGTTTAGGGTTTAGGGTTTGGGGTTTACCCTGTACTGCAAGAATCAATATTAGGGCATAGGAGCCATAAACCCGTTTAGGGTTCATTTGGTGGTTTTCCGAAAATACGCTCTTGGGGGATCCCTGCTAAGGGGATTCTCTTCTATTTGGGGTATAAAAGGGGTACCCCTGTCTTGGGAAATACCCAAATGGTAAACCCTAAACCCTGAACCCCAAACCCTAAACCCTAAGCCCTAAACCCTAAACCCTCAACCCTAAACCCTAAACCCTAAACCCTGAACCCTAAACCCTAAACCCTAAACCCTAAGCCCTAAGCCCTAAACCCTAAACCCTAAATCCTAAACCCCTGAAGGCAATTCTGCCAAGGCGCTCCAGGCCCTTGGCCAGCCAGGCAGCCTGGTCCAACAATCGCTTCGCCAGGCTTCGGGGCTCTGAGGTCCTAGGCCCTAAACCTTAAACCCTAAACCCTAAACCCTAAACCCTAACCCTAAACCCTAAATTCCCTGTTAGGAGCTCGTGAGATTGTGAGGCTCAGTAGGGCTCAGGGCTTTTTTTTTCGGGTGTTTAGGGTTTGCTTCGAGAACCCTGAAGGGAACTGAAGATTTCCCTACGCTCTATCTGCAATCCCTGTAGCAAACCTATACTATCGGTCTAGGGTTTAGGGTTTCAGGGGTTTATGGGTTTAGGGTCTAGGGGTTTAGGGTTTAGGGTTAAGGCTTGACCTTACAAACCTCAAAAAAGCCTGCAAGCCTACAAGCCCCGAAGTAAACTCCAAGGTCAAGCAGCTAAGGATCAGCAGGTAAGGATCAGCGGCTGAATGCGAGTCGTGCCTCGTCATCAGTCTGGGCCGGGGCATCAGTGAGGACCACCTGGTCGCGAGAAGGTCCGGGTAATCCTGTAAATATCCTAAACCCCTGAACCCTCAACTACCCTAAGCCCTAAACCCTAAACCCCTAAACCCCTGAACCCCTAAACCCCTAAACCCCTAACCCCCTAAACGCCTGAACCCCGAAGCCCCAAACCCCTAAGCCCCTAAACCCCTAAACCCCTAAGCCCCTAAACCCCTAAACCCCTAAAGCCCTACACCCCTAAACCCCGAAACCCCTAAACCCCTAACCCCCTAAACCCCTGAGCCCCTAAACCCCTAAACCCCTAAACCCCTAAACCCCCCCTAAACCCCTAAGCCCCTAAGCCCCTAAACCCCTAAACCCTAAGCCCCTAAACCCCTAAACCCTAAACCCCTAAACCCCTGAACCCCTAAGCCCCTAAACCCCGAAACCCCTAAACCCCTACACCCCTAAGCCCCGAAACCCTAAACCCCTAAACCCCTAAGCCCCTACACCCAAACCCCTAGACCCCTAAACCCCTAACCCCTAAGCCCTTGAACCCTAAGTTCTTGACCCCCAGAGGCCTGAGCCCTTGAATTCCGAGCCCGGGTATTCGGGAGACCCTAAACCCTAAACCCTAAACCCTAAACCCTAAACCCTAAACCCTAAACCCTGAACCCTGAACCCTGAACCCTAAACCCTAGCCCTAAACCCTAAATCCTCGAACGGCTTCCGCAGAGGTCCTGCCTCTGATGTGATGAAGATCTGCCCACTGGCCGCCAGCGGCCATGCCAGCGCCAGGCACTTCGACAAGAGGGGCATCCTGCCGAGGTTTGTAGGGTTTAGGGTTTAGGGTTTAGGGGTTAGGGTTTAGGGTTTAGGGTTTAGGGTTTAGGGTTTAGGGTTTAGGGTTTAGGGCGTAGGGCTTATAGGGTTCAGGATTTAGCATTTAGGGTGTAGGGCGGGAACCGACGAAAGGGGTCGACTTGGGTTTATATAGGGGTTATATTCAGGGCTAGAGCCCACCGACCGTTAAGACGAGCTCCAAAGCAACCCCCCAAATTTGAGCGAATGGACGGGTGGTACCCTGCCACCATGGACCCCGATTACCTAGCGGGTTAGGGCTCAAGCTGAAAATCTGCAAATTACTGCCAGTTGGCTTCTTATGTCATCGGGGTTTCGAGTCTGATTCAATTGGGGGAGCATTTTGGGGGATGGGTGAGGGCTCGAGTCTCAGCATTGTGAAGCCTGTGCACGTGTCGCGCCATTTTCTCCTGGCATCTCTCGCTGCGTGCTTGTCATTCAGGGTTTAGGGTTTAGGGTTTAGGGTTTAGGGTTTAGGTGCTTGCGTTGACATTAAGTGCACATGCCTGGCAGCAGGTCCCAGACAGAGCGTGGCGGAAGATCGCAGGTCACAAGTAGAAAATATCAACGTCCTCAACAGGGCCTTGGTAGCCCAGTAACCCTAAACCCTAAACCCTAAACCCTAAACCCTAAACCCTAAACCCTAAACCCTAAACCCTAACCCTAAACCCTAAACCTTATAGACCCTTTTTTGGGGTTGGCCAGCCTATAAGGGAACCCCAGAACCCCAAGCAAAAGCAAGGGTACCAGGGTACCACTGGGCTACCAAGATGAAGGTCACTCATGGAGTTTATTATGCTTAGGGTTTCGGGTTTCGGATTTAAGGTTTAAGGTTGGGTGTAGGGTTTAGGGTTTAGGGTTTAGGGCTACCAAGCGGCAACGGCATCGAGGGCACGGCGGCGCTTCGGGAGAGTGCTGCTGCCGCAGCTTCTCGAGACACTTTCGGCAGGCCGCGTGCTTGCACGGCTTCGCGAAGGCGTCCGAGGGCCTGTCCTTGGGTTTAGGGTTTAGGGTTTAGGGTTGAGGGTTTGGGGGTTTAGGGTTTAGGGTTTAGGGTTGAGGGTTTATAGGGTTTAGGTTTTAGGGTTTGGGGGTTTAGGGTTTAGGGTTACAGGGGGGTTTGCGACAATAGGGGACCCCTCAGATAGACCCCGAAAACTGGACTCCTTCTAAACAAGGTGCCCCAAATTTAAGAAACCACCGCAATCTGCAACAATCAAGCCAACAAAGGTTCGAAACGTGTGTATTATGGTTGTCCTACCTTCTTTATACAGTTTACATTCTAAACTCTAACATCCTATATAAACCCCCCTAAAAACTATAATGACAAGGAGCGCCCCCGAAATAACAGCAACAAGTTCAACTCTTGGCGAAGTTTAGCCCTAAACCCTAAACCCTAAACCCTAAACCCCCCAAAATGGGTACTTGGCGAAGGTAGGTCTCCAGGCAAATGGGGCAGGCCGCTGACTCTGAGATCATCCCAAGCTCGAGCATGCCCGTGTCCTCCTTGGGCACACCTGGGCGCGTTTAGGCGCGTTTAGGCGCGTTTAGGGTTTAGGGCTAGGGTTTAGGGTTTAGGGTTTAGGGTTTAGGGTTTAGGGTTCAGGGTTCAGGGTTTAGGGTTCAGGGTTCAGGGTTTAGGGTTTAGGGTTTAGGGCTTAGGGCTTGGGGTTCAGGGATGTTCAGGGTTTAGGATTTATGGCAGCTAGGAGGGTTCCATGCTACTTTAGGGTTTAGGGGCTTAGGGTTTTAGGGTGTAGGATTTTAATTTTTAGGGTTTTAGTTTGTAGGTTACCATCCGAGCCACTGATCACCGCGTAGTCCTCCTTACCAAGCTCGGGCAGCCAGCTTTTCAGCAGACTCCATGTAGCGAGGCCGGCCACTACTGACATCACCGCGCCCGCAACCTGAGCGCGCCGGGACTCTCGAAATTTTGCGCGAAGTTGGGAAGACAACAGAGGTTGCAACAGAGAGGTAGGTGATTGACTGTAGATGGAAATAGGTTTCAGGGTGCAAAGAGTTCACTAGGCTCGAGGAGTTCATGTGACGGCACTGTCAAATTCTGGAGATCTTCGAGGTGAAAAAGAACACTCCTAGACCCAAGAGCAACCAACTAAGGTGAAAGGGGCCTGCAAGGGAACCTCGACCCTAAAGAAAGAGAATGCGGGCGTACTTTGGGTCCTAGTTCCCCATAAATCCTAAACCCTAAATGTTAAACCCTAAACCCTAATTAAACCCTAAACCCTAAACCCTAAACCCTAAACCCTAAACCTAGACCCTAAACAAAAACCTTCAAAGTTTCGCCCTAGCCGCAAGGCTCGGTGCCAAGCTGCTGCTGGCAGTGCCTCGGTTCCCCCATGACAGGGTTTGGCCCCATGTTGAGGTTTAGGGTTTAGGGTTTAGGGTTTAGGGTTTAGGGTTTAGGGTTTAGGGTTTAGGGTTTAGGGTTTAGGGTTTAGGGTTTAAGGTTTAGGGTTTGGGGTTTAGGGTTTAGGGTTTTGGGGCTTCTGAAAAGGTCTGGCGTAAGTTTATCCCCAAGCTCGAAACCCTGAACCCTAAACCCTTGTGCCGGGTTGAGGGTGAACTTTGCCATGCAAGCCCCTAGGGTTTAGGGCTTAGGGTTGAGGGTTTAGGGTTTAGGGTTTAGGGTTTGAGGGGTGACAACAAAAAACAGGCAACGCAAAGGCTACCACTGCAGGTGCTTGGTGCTGGCCCCAAGCAGTTCTGCGGAGTCGGCGGCGACTTCCGCGGCGGCCTGTCCAAACTCCAGAGCTCCCCAACCCCAAACTCCTAATCTTGGGTTTAGGGTTCAGGGTTCAGGGCTTGGGGTTTGGGGTTTAGGGTGTAAGCCCTATAAAGTCCCAAGGGCTCTGGGTTAGCATCCCTGTCCTCCCTATTTCAGAGGCCATATTTTGGAACAACCCCATGCGCCCCACAACTCAACACCCTCAGCCCCACCTCCGCCCCCAACTCCAGGGACAGGAGGGAGCTGCCAGCAGCAAGGCCCGCTAAGCTGCCCACCAGGACACCACCGCCTTACGTGGGAGCGGGGGCGGGGTGGGGGGAGGGGCAAGGTGGTGGGGGGGGCGGTGACAGAATCCCCTTCTCCCCTTCCCCCCCTCCAAAAAAAGGGACCTTCCAGGTATGATTGCTACGATATGTACAAACATACACACAGACAGACAGACAGACACACGCACATACGTGCATTTGGGGGGGGGGGGGGGGGGGGTGGTCTAGGTATTACGGTGGAAGAATCAGGGACTACGACTACAAGGCCTTGGTGTTCACAGTGTCTTCTTGTTGCTAATTGTTGCTGAGGATACTTGTTCTATTTGTTGTTTTTTCTTTTTTCGGGGGGGGGGGGGGGGGGGGGGGGGGGGGGGGGGGGTGTGAGGGTTCAGGGTTTAGGGTTGAGGGTAGAGGTTGCTTGTTCTGAGGGGTTTCCCCCTCCCTCCCCAGAATCCAATCCAAACTTGCCAAATTGAGCTTGCCCTTTGCAGGTCGAAGTTAGGGATTAGGGGTTTAGGGGTTTAGGGGTTTAGGGGTTAGGGTTTAGGTTTAGGGTTTAGGGTTTAGGGTTTAGGGTTTAGGGTTTAGGGTTTAGGGTTTAGGGTTTAGGGTTTAGGGTTTAGGGTTTAGGGCTAGGGGTTTAGGGTTTAGGGTTTAGGGTTTAGGGTTTAGGGTTTAGGGTTTAGGGTTTAGGGTTTAGGGCTTCTGGTTTCTGGAACCAAGGGGCCGATGGCGACCTCCTGGTGCCACTTTTGCAGGAGCGCCATCGCCTGCCTGGTCACGCGCACCTCCGCGCCGGCGTCCCGAAACTTCCGCTCGTACTCCTCCGTTTGGGGGTTTAGGGTTTAGGGTGTAGGGTTTAGGGTTTAGGGTGTAGGGTGTAGGGTGTAGGGTGTAGGGTTTAGGGTTTAGGGTTTAGGGTTGAGGGTTGAGGGTTTAGGGTTTAGGGTTTAGGGTTTAGGGTTTAGGGTTTAGGGTTTAGGGTTTAGGGTTTAGGGTTTAGGGTTTAGGGTTTAGGGTTTAGGGTTTAGGGTTTAGGGTTTAGGGTTTAGGGTTTAGGGTTTAGGGTTTAGGGCTAAATCAGGAGACGCTAAACCCCTAAACCTGAATCCTAAAACCTAAATACCCTGAAACTTTAGACCCAAAACCCTACATCCTAAACCCCCAAAACCTCCACAAAGCTGCAACCCCAATATATGGTCCGGCGTCTGGCGTGTCCGGCCCCCCCCCCCCCCCCCCCATGGTATGGTCAGGTAGGGGGGGGGGGGGGCCGACCCTCGCCAAAACCCGTGTTTTGAGTGTTGTGTTCGGTTGACGGAGCGCGCCCTCGGGAAACCCATGTGTGTGAGGCGTTTACCCCCCCCCCCTTCCCCCCTCCAGGTCTACCGTCTCTAACCCTAAACCCTGTCAAACCCTAAGCCCTAAACCAACCCTAAACCCTAAACCCTAACCCTAAAACCAACCCCCAACCACACCACAGGGGGGGGGGTTAACCCTAAAACCCTTTCAAACCCTAAACCCTAAACCCTAAACCCTAAACCCTAAACCCAAACCCTAAACCCTAAACCCTAAACCCAAACCCTAAACCCTAAACCCAAACCCTAAACCCTAAAACCCTAAACCCTAAACCCTAAATCCTGACCCTAAACCCTAAACCCTAACCCTAAAACCAACCCCCAACCACACCACAGGGGGGGGGGGGGGGTTCCAGACCATGGGTGGGGGGGGGAGGGGGGGCCGGGGAGCACTGGACCATATATACCCCTAAACCCCTCAACCCCCCTGAACCCCCCTAAACCCCTAAACCCCTAAACCCCTCAACCCCTCAACCCCTAAACCCATAAACCCCTAAACCCCTAAACCCCTATACCCCTAAACTCCTAAACCCTAAACCCCTAAACCCTAAACCCTAAACCCTAGCCCTAAACCCTAAACCCTAAACCCCCTAAAAGCTCCTCCTGGTAGGCGGGCGGAAACATCAGCCACGTGCCCTCGGAGAGGCTTCGCTCCCGGGCAAACTCGTCGATGCGCCGGTCGAAGTCCGACTTCCTGAGAGGGGTTTAGGGGTTTAGGGGTTTAGGGTTTAGGGGTTTAGGGTTTAGGGTTTAGGGTTTAGGGTTTAGGGTTTAGGGTTTAGGGTTTAGGGATACGGGTTTAGGGGTTTAGGGTTTAGGTTTTATGGGATCTATAGGGTCTAGGGTTTAGGGTATATAGGATTTGTAGGGTTCAGGGTTTCGGGTTTATGAGGTTTATGAGGTTTAGGGTTTAGGGTTTGTCAGGTGTAGAATTTAGGGTCTCGAGTTTAGGATTTTGGGTTTTCTCTTTACGTCTTCAGGGCTTTAGAGTGTGCTCACTAAGCGGGGCTCTCAGGGTGTGGGGGTTGTTGCTTCCCAGTTTAGGCCCTAGACCCTAAACCCCACATATACCCTAATGAAGTGGTACCCATGTACTCGACAGAAACTCATACCGACGTAGGGTCACCCCTCCAAAATATGGTCCCTTCTGAAGGTCCTGATTCTCAGGCGGCCCCTCTTTCTTATTTAGGGTACCCCAAAAAGGGACCCTAATTTAGAGAACTGACCATATCATCCCAAGTGAAAGTGGTTGATTTCCCTAAACCCAAAACTCTACATCCTAAGGCTCTGGAGGTAGAGCGTGGTGTTGCCGCTCCGCCCCCGCACCGCGAAGTACTCGCTCCGGATCTCCTCATCCTTAACCAAATACACCAAATGAACCCTACAAGGGTTTAGGGTTTAGGGTTTAGGGTTAGCCCTAGAAGGGTTTATGGTTCATAGACCCTCATAGGGACTATAGTAGTAGTGCAGCATATATGGTCCCAAACTGTTTCGTTCGCTTCGTCCCCAAGGATCTGGAGCTGCTGGCGCGCTCGGCAGCGGGGCGTAGGGGGCGGCGCTGCTCGCCTCCGAAGGGAGCCCCTGGGCAACCTGGCGCTCGTCTTTTTTAGGGCTTTTAGGATTTAGGTTTCGGGTTTCGGGCTTAGGGGGTATTGCGTAAAATCATTCTGATGGCCAGGGCCTTGACTTCTTGTGCCAAGAGGAACCTGCCCTGAACCATTAACCCGAAACAATACTAAAATTAGAGGGCTCACATGTATGCTACACGAATTTCTAATGTGAGGCCCAAGAACCCCTAGGAGTATGTTTGTTTGGGGCCTCAAGCCAGAATTGTAGAGTGCTTGGACCCTCTTAAACCGCACGCAAGCCATGCAGGCTGCACTTGGAGGCGGAGGGTGGTGGTCGGGTTGAAGGTCGTTAGCTGCTGCCATCGTCGATCGTCGACGACTTCACCGTCGTGCACAAAGACCGCTGGGTGTTCCGGAAGCTCTGGATAAAACAGCCTTTCGCCACACAACAAAACCCACATGCCTACGTAATCCACAACACATGGACAACAACTTCCTGTGGGGCAGGTGGTCATGAAAGACATTTACGTGAGGCGGGTCTACCTGCTAGCCTCGTAACTTCAAGAATGGAAAAATAACAATAAACCTCCATGTTGGGCTCCCCTTTGTTAAGGACTTGTCCGTTCGAATCGGCTATAGTGGCTCGCTGGTTTCGCTTCATAACTGTCCATGGCGCTTGCTGCTTTAGTGTCTAAAACATACCCAAGATCCTAAAAAGGTGCAACCATGAACCCTGAACCCTGAACCCTAAACCCTAAACCCTAAACCCTCACTGTCCTCGTGTGGTGGCGCAGGTGCCCTAGGGTCGGCAGCCGCGCCAGCTTCGCCGTGGGCAGGTCGAGGCACGAGCGTCCCACCTGCACTTGGATGTTCTGCAACATCGCGGCTGCCCACCTACCCTCTGTCCCTTCCGCTGTGCGCCAGTCGGTCAATGCGCCAAACTGCTCAGAATACCTGGCTCAAAAGTCTACCGCATATGAGCTTGGAGGGTAAAGAGGTCAAAAGTACGGGCAGGTTCGGGATGCTCAGGAAGGGACTCAAGTTGACTTGAGGCTTCGCAGGGTGCGGAAGTAGGGTGGGCTGCAGCCGGGTTCAAGCGCCGATGTTCCGGCTGGCTTCAAAAGGTGCGGGCGGGCGTGGAAGCTGTGCCTCCCCCTCGCAGTATGTACAGATGCAGGCTTGAGCCCAGCCACTGAGTGGAACAGCTGCTTCACATGGATGGGTCTAGACTCTGGGTGGGGGAAGTACGGAAACGGGTTCACGCGTTTAGCCCTCGAAGGAACTTCCTAGGGTTTAGGGCTAACCCCCCGTACAACATGACTGGTATCGGGAAGCGTTGATGGGAAAAAAGACCTCAAGCTTTGAGGGTACACCCTGAATACTCCAATCGCCCACAATCGCCCTACACTCCTAAGAGCCCTGAACCCTCATAACCCCTTGATCGCAAACCCTAAACCCTTACATAGCCCCCAAACCATCTTAACACGTCTTGCTCACAACCCCGTGGCCCTAAACCCTAAACCCTTAAGTAGCCCCCAAACCATCCTAACACGTCTTGCTCATAACCCCTTTGGCCCTAAACCCTAAACCCTAAACCCCTAAATAGCTAACACTTCTTGCTCATCACCCCTTGGCCCTAAACCTCTCCTTCTCGGCGCTGGGCGAGGCAGGGCAGCAGATGAGGTCTTGGGCCCGGGGCTACGACAAGGGCCGGCGGCTGACAGCTTGCTGGCTTCGGGGTTTTGGGTAGGTTTAGGGCAGCTTAGGGTTTAGGGGGGTTAGGATTTAGGGTTTAGGGTTTACGGTTCAGGGTTCAGGGTTCAGGGTTTAGGGTTTAGTAACCAACCTGTGTGGTCGTGACGCGTGGGGCTGAGCCACCAATATTGTTACCAGCGGAAAGCCCTAAACTCAACAAGTACAGTGCAGCGCACTTTTTGTCTTGAGCCAATGAAAGTAGCGTAAGTATGACGATACAGCTGATATCTTGAAGTATCGACACCCCCCGCGCATCTTAGAGCAACGGAGAGGCGACACATCAGCTGTTTGCGACGCTACTTTGATTCAAACAAATGATCTTGGCACCCTTGACCAACAACTCGCTGCCAAACGACCCGGCAGGGTGTTGGTGCTTGCCCCACAGAGCCTAGCTCCGCGGCCCTGAAAGAAATGCTGACTAAAGTGGAAAAGGTAGCCAGCCCGTCAGAGCGGCGAAAACCAAGCCGTCAGGCCGGTGCGATGCAAAAGAAAGGAAACTAGTAATCGCGCTTCCAAGCATCGGTGGCATAGTCCCATCGCCAGTTGTGCCAGCCACGAAGGTAGGACTTCACGTGGTCGGGGCCCATGATCTGGAATGTGTCCACGGTGCCATGAACGGGGATCGCGTAGAGAGCATTATAATCCACCGACATGCCCGGGATGTCCAGGGCTCTCATGACCGCCCACATATATCCGACCCATGTGGGCCAATTGACGTCCCGGTCTCGGGCGTGATCAATGTCGGTTCCACCGATCACTTGGCCCCACGAGACGACTCGGCCAAGAGTCTCGTAAATGATCTGCATGCCACGATTCATGGCGACCCGCTCTCTCGTCGGAGGAGTGGCAGGCTCGACCACCATCGGTCGTGGAGCAGCCTCAGTGTCGATCGGCGCAGGGGCCGCCGCTTCCGCGGGGCGGGACAAGCCCGGTGGGGCCGCCGCTTCCACGTGGCGAGACTGTCCAGGGGACACGACCCTTTGCCTTGCGGCAGGGCGTTCCTCGGCGAATGGCCGGTTGTTTGCCATCGCGTCCCAGTCCGCGTCCGAGATGTAGGAACTCGGGAGCTGAGGAGGTCGCGGCTTGGACTTGACAGCAGTGCTTTGCGGTCTGGCAGCAGGTGACGATGACCTTGTCAATGGTGCCGGCGGAGGTGGCCTCTTCGATGTCAACTGCATCACGGGGGGCGCCTTGACCTGCAGTGGTGCCTTCGGAGGAGGAGGCGTTGCGTCAGCCGGGGGTGACTTCCACGGTGACTGCCTGTCCCTCGACCTGCTCTCTGCGGGGCGACCCTCCCGGGTGCCGGGAGTGTTGGACCTTCCTCTGGAGGATTGCGGCTGTTGCACCCATGGTGGCGTGCGATCACTGGGCGCCGACGATGCTCTGTCCCTCCTCAGTCGATCAACCCGATCTTGGATCGTGGACCTGATGTTGCGCGTCCTGAAACGGGTGAATTGGAGGAGCTGTGCCAACTGACGATCTCCCAGAGAACTGAACCCTTATCCTGCGTCATCTGCAGCGGTGGGGCCACTTCGCCCCTCTTGGCTGAGTGAGGAAGGTCACGTCGGATGAGGTTGATGAGCTCTCCGAGAATTCCGGCCATAGTTCTTCCGTTTGGGTACCAACGTTCGCCTGGGGTGTTGGTCATCAGGTAGAAGCGGTCGGTTGTCGTCCTGCGCACGGCAAACATGATGACGGCCATCTCGAGCACGGTGTAAAACCGGTCCTGGAAAGAGATGAAACAATCCGTCAGGATGTTGACGTAATCGTCGTCGCTGCACCAAATGTAGGCGAGCCGCCCGTCGACGTTGTGATAGGCGTCGGTGCCTTCAGCAAACTTGCCTCCTGCCATCCCAGGGTTCGGGAGCCGAATGTCGGCGAACCTCGTGATCTGGTTGAGGCTCGTGAAGCTGAACCCCTGGGAGATCCAGTTGAAGGCATCCATGGGCGACTCCGCCAGGATCGCGCCGAGGGTGATATCACCTCCTGTGCGCTCCTTGGCACGGCTGAGCGACTTGTTGATCTTCGCCTTTAAGGTCGCTCCTGAGCTGGACTTGCGACGGTCCACTGTCGTGTCATCGACGCGGCGAGGATTCCGATGATCTCGGTTGGAGTTCAGGCCAATGGAAGGCTGAATCTCAAAGATGTTCATCGGCCTACCCCTCCGGGTGGCGTCATCGCGGGCCTCAAAGGGCTGCGCCATTTTCGCCAGGTCCGTGGGCAAGGTCAACCGCTCTTCACATTTGAGACACTTTGTGAGCCCATCGATCAAGTCGTTGCAATCGCAGAAAGGACAGTTGAAGTTGGGGAACGCAACGCACTGTTGGTGCCTGAAGAACCTTGGGTCTCCTCGAAGCTTTCGATCCACCGTAAGTGCAGTCTGCGTGGGCAGCACAAGTGCCCGCATGCCCCAACAGGCGTTGTGAAGCGCAGGGTGAAGAGGATGCCCTTCCGGGATCCGAACCGGCTGACCACCATAATCCCACTGTGGTTCGTAGTGGAGCTGGAACGGGGTGTAGGCATCGGCTGCGAGAGGGGCCCACTCGGTGAAGTTTTCCTCTGGGGGAATCTTCAGGTAGTCCAGGAAGCAAGTGGCCGCGCCGTCCGTAAGGCAACGATAGGGATCATTGTCAAAGACGGGCAACACATTCCTGTGTGCGGTGAACTTCTTCACAGCCTTGTCGATGCGAAGACGAGCATGCTCGTACGCCCTGTTGATCCAGATCGGCTCATTCGAGGATCTCCGATAGGCGTAGACAAGGTAGCGGTTGGACAGCCAATCTGGGGTTTGCACCGCGCCAGCAGCCGTCTCAAAGATCCGAACCCCGTCCAACGCAGCCATTTGGAGGTCGATCACGAACTCGATCTCGGCATCAGGCCTCACGCCCTCCATGCAGTCACGTTCCCATGCTGGCTTCGTTGACATCATGGCGTAAAATCTGCGACGACTCCCGTCTCGCGACATTCCTCCTGGGATGATACCGCTCTCGACGATGCTCCTGAAGTGGCGGAAGTAGGTGGAGTGGTACCCCATCTTTGGCATCGTATGGAAAGTGCTGTGCGTGAAGCCAGCCTCTCCAACAGGAGGGTATTCGCGAAGACTGGGTCTCCACCCGTCGGCCAGATGGAAGGATCTGCGATTCACAAGCATGGGGTCAGAGTTCTCGGTCATGAGCGCCCCGCTGTGGCCTTGGATTGCACGGCATCGCAAAATCCTCCCTCCCGGGTGGATGAGAAACTCGAAGCGTTCCTTCTCAGACGACTCGCACACCTGGAAGATCTGCTCCATACGGAGCCCATTCCAAATCTGTCCCAACGCCTCGAAGAATGCCGGGAAAGATGTTGTTCCGTTCCCATCGAACTCAAGATGGGGTGCGTGGGCGCACTTTTTGGAGAAGCCGCGGAGCAGCCATGTCATCTTTCGGCTCAACGTCTCAAGGGCATTGGGAGAGAGGTAGCGCCTGATCTGAATGACCGGCATCTCGCTACCGACGCACCAGTATGCTGCTGACTCGTCGACGGTAGGACCATCCCTTCCGGGAGGTGCACGCGCAGGCATTGCCTTGGGCGGCGCAGCTCGGGAAGGAGCAGGCAAGACCTTGTTCCCCAGGTCGGTGACGTCTTCGCTGAGATCGATGAGGGTCTTATCCTGGCGAACCCTCTCTCTGGTCTGATGCAAGATCTCTTCCACGGAGGAATCCGGCTCGTTGATGGGGAGGAGCGGTTCACACGCAATGTCCGGATCGTCAGGATCATTGATGACAATGGTGTCGATGCCGCGCTCCTTCTCAATCTCGACGGCTTGCTCATCATCGAGCTGGCCTTCAACCGAGTCGAGCGCCTCCATCAACCTCCTCACACGAGGGTTGTTCGCGTCAAAGAGGATCACCTCGTCGTCATCGCCGCCAGACCCGTCAGGGTTGAGGTAAGCCCGGTCGTCCTCGGTGATAGGGACAGCACCCATGTCCGGGTGGTCTTCGTCCGAGGGGTTTGTAGCCTTCCGGACAACATTCTGGGCGACAATGATCTCCTCGCTTTGATCTCTCGACGTAGGCGCCCGCCACGCGAAGTCTTCAATCCTTGGCCTCACCATGTCGGTGCACGGTGGGACCGTAAGGGACATCTCCGGCTGCGCCAAGTGGAAGTGATTGTTGAAGATCTGGCTTCGCTGATTTGCGAGGAAGTCCTCCCGCATCATGAAGATCTGCCGACCCGTCAGGGTGGTGGAGACAAGCGCTCGCCACCAATCCGTGGCAGCTTGAAAGTTGTCTTGCGTGGCAACCATGTGGTACTTGTCGTAACGAACCGTGCCATAAAGAAGCGCGTAAGGGTCGACGACCCTCACGCCGTTTGCGACCAGGTAGTCGGTGTGCTTCTTCATCTCCCTGTCATACTCCCAATCCAGCCCGTAGGCCTGGGCGACAGTGCCAGCGACAACGGTCAACGACCTGACACACTCATGTCCAGCCAACGCAACAACCTTCCGGAGTGCGGTTTCCACCTTGGCCAACTGTTTGACGGGCCAGTGCTCCGCTCTGCGGATTTGCTCTTCGGTCTGTTTAATCCAGGGCGACACAAGGTGCCACGTGTAGCCCTGGTACCCATACGGGCCATGGACGTCGTTCCCCGCCCAACTGATGAAAATATCCAACCCGTCAGGGTGGTGGATCCTCAAGAAATCCTCCACGATCTGGGTGAGGAGAGTGAGGTCCTTGCCCCATTCCATCATGACGTTGACTTCCGTCACGCGAGGGTCATGCGACAGAACATCCCGAAGTGGACCCTGGAATGTCATCTTGTTGATAGCACGACCGCCCTTGTGCGTGCACAAGGCGAGAGAGGAGTCGCCGATGATGAGAACTTGGGATTTCATCGTTGGCGGTGGCGGAATGCGTTCAAAAGCCGGGGTGTAGAAACCCCCCAGGAGCTGTACCACGTCCGTGTGGAGGGGTCGGTCAGAAAGGCCGTGCTCCATCTCGGTGACGCGGTAGCACAAATCATATGGCTTTGAGACGTCAAACGCACTTTGAGCCCTTGGCCCCCATCCCACGACAGCCATGTCGAAGATGAGGTCGAGCATAGTTTGCGTCCATCCCGCCAGGGAGGAGTCATGTACCGTTTTGGACGGCACGTCGTCAGTGCTGTAGGCCCTGACGCCGTAGATCCGGTACCACCTCATAGATTGTGGTCCACGGCACACTTGGATACCCCTTCCGGAGATCGAGCCACTGTTGCACAGGGATGACACGAAGAAACAAGTCATCGGGACTGTCAGCCTCCGTGGGCTCCCGGAAATTGCGCACTGCATCATTCCACCACGCTGGTGATGAAAGTCCTGCCAAGGCGTCAGCCAGGCGATCCGCATCAGTAGCGGCGGCCGACATTTCTTGGAGGCGAGCAGCACGCTCCTCTGCGCTGAGAATCTCAACTGCACGAGATGCCATTCCTTCAGAAAGACAAGGAGGAGATTCGAGGCGAGGATTGCTAGGGAGCTTGATTGCTGGAGCGGCTACGTATGTGCAAGGAGTCCTGCTCATGTTTTCCTGAAACGCCTTGTGAATTAGATCAACCATGCGCAAGCAGTACTCTTCAGAGCTGCGATTACACTTGCCATGCACGTGCCCTCCAGTGCAACACTTGTCACGGAATGCAACATACAAGGAATCCAAGGTAGTAGCAATAGTCCATGGTTTCTTGACGGATTCACCCTTTTCGTTACGAAGACCGAAACGACAACCGTCGAAGTGGGCCTTCCGAATGGGTTTCCCCTCGATCCATTTGACAATTCGAGTCCATTTCCAATACTCGCAGTCCTTTGGCCATTCAATGGCATAGTCGACTAGTAGTCGATCGAGGCCATGGGACAGGTCGACAAATGATGCCCAAAGCTTGGTGAATTTCCTCCGGGCCTCGAAGACGGCGCTTCGGTTCTTGTCGACGGCAAGATTAAGGCGAGCCCATTGCGAACCCCCCGTACAAGGAAGACTAGCCCAAACGAGGATGCGAAGACCGTCCTTGTGGGCCTCCTTTGCGATGGACAAAACTTCCCGTCGGGTTTTGGGATCATTCAGGTTCATAGACTCAGTAATGCGAACGACCTTGCAGTCCTTATATTTGTTAATAGCAAGATTACCAATTAGTGAGTCGTCACCGCAACACACTTCAATGATCAACCGCTTGTGCAAAGGAGGAGACCTCTGCGTCAGCAGGGTGGATCCAGGAGTGGTGGCGGCCGCGCCAGATTTCCTCACATCAAGCTTGAGGGGAGATATGGCCATAAGTGCAAGAGCACGCGACCACTTCTCAGCATTGGTGAATGGCTTAGTGAGGATATCGGCTGCTTGCAACAATGTACTGATGTACGCAATGTCATAGTGCTTTCTTCTGAACTGTTCAGAAATCCATCCCAAGTTAATCCTCTGTGTTTTGTCAGCATGACGAAAGGCTGGTGACTTACCTGACTCAAGGATTCTGATTGTGGCTTGGTTGTCCTCAAGCACGACAGGCTGAATGGAATGAGGAACCGTAACCACAAGTCCAATGTCCTTATCTGAACCCTTGGGTGCAAGCTCTTCCGAGGACCGACCCCCCGTATTCCTGATGCCTTCAATCTCGCGGTGCATGAAAGCCTCCGCGTCAGCGTGGCGTCTGTAGTCCATTGTGGACCTGCGATAGACGATTACACACGCTTCGGCTTTAGGATCAATGGGTCTATCCCTTCTCTTAAGTTCTTCCCAGGCAACAGCTTCCTCAACTTGAACCCAAGTACCCTTTAACTTGACCCAAACGTCGCGCAGTGGATGAGTGTTCATCTCAACTGGTTCAGGCAGGGATGAAAGGTTGGTGAGCAGTTCGACCACTCTACCATCAATGAGGTGCGAAGTGCCCAGGTAAGCAACTCCTTGGATAAGGGAATCCGGGTGGTTAGAGAGGAGTTTATTGGGAACATCACCCTTCCGGGGAGTGTGCTTAGGTTTTGTGCTGCTATCCCCCCCCGCATTCTGAAGCACGCTCCAAAGCGCGGAAGAAGGAAGACCTAATGCACGCAACGAAACATTTGCACACACGACCTCGGCCTCAGTGGAACTAAGGGCAATGCTGGTCTGCTTCTTACTGAAAGCTGCAAGGGGGAAGTACGTGTTAGGACCAACCAAAGCAAGGAAGCCTCCTGAGGTGCTTTTGCTGTCATGCTCACCGGCATGGTCACTGTCGGCAAACAGCCACAGCTTGCAAGCGCTAATGTCGTCACCAATGAATCCGCGCATGCGGTACTCCAGTGTAGACGCGACATAGCACATCAAGCGATGCAAGGCTTTATCGCACTCAACAGACCACTTGGTGACTCGACTGGCTAATCCCTGAACTGCGCGCAGCAGATCGTACCTTGCCATCCTTGCTGCGAACAACAGCTTCATGAGAATGCGGCTTGCTATGGGAGCAAGCTGTCCGCGAGGTTCGGCCTCGGTGCCAACCGGGCGAGCGATCTTGTCGTCATGGAAGGGCGTAGCAACCTTTCGCAGGTGTTGGAATTGTGGGCCTGCGAGCTTCTTGTACTTATCAATAGCTTGCTGCAAAAAGGAACTCATGTCGTACACAACTTCCTTAACACCCATAGTCATGCAACCCTCGTTGTCGCTCAGTTGATTGACATCGAAGAATGCTTTCTTCCTCGCTTCTTTCTTAGCTTCGTTCTTGTCCCTGATCTTCTTAACTGCAGCAAGAGCTGACGCATGATCGTGCTTATCCGAAAGAAGATAGGTGGCACCAACCCATAATTTAGACCTCTTGCCCCGACCGGAAGGATGATCCCATGATTGCTCGATAAGCTCATCATCATCAATGGACCTCACTTCCGTGAGTCGGTGTTGGCCAACGGCACAAAGCTTGGCTTCAGAGGCCGGCAAGGCATAGAGTGCCCGCCTAGGCTGCACATGGTGACGTACCAAGACACCTTCTTCGGGATGGAATTCAGTGTAATCCTCACGCACGACTGCAGCGGCAGTTTCCTTGGCAGCGGGATCACGAACGTTCTTGTCAAAGACGTGGGCAAAAGGATGATCAGAATGCTTAAGGTTTGTGCTCTTAGAGATGTGCTCGCAACCCAAGTAACGACCTATGGGAGAGGGAGAGTCCATGTCAATTTTCGAACTGATCAGCTCCCACCCCTTCTGCATGTTGGCTTTAGGTCCGGCCATCTTAAAGTCATCTACATAGACTGCAAGCAGAAGACGAAGCTGGGGGTGGAAGAAAACTGAAGGCCACGCAGCCGGGAACACAAGCTGAAACCCGACCTCGCCTAACATCTTTCACAGTGTAACTCCCAAAAACCCCCGCTATCAGGATGACCGTAGAGTGCCAGCGTCAGCCGCACGACAGGATCTTTGTACTTTCCCTTCCACGCTGGAGGCCATCGATCAGGCGGCAGCCTGACCCACGTTTCCTTTCCCTTGAGCGTGGTTTGGGTGTATGCTTGTTTGCCGTCGGCCTGCTGACAGTCGTTGCCCGGAGCGTGCCCATAGGCGTCAAGTGCCTTCCCAGCCTCCATCGTGGCGGGACTGGATCCGAGCTCACTGAAAAGAGCCTGATCACTATTCTCATCTTTGACGTTGTTCCCTTGGAACACAGTTCGACCCTTGAATTTTCGTTGTGGGTCGCCTTTGGGAAGCTCACTTCCCTTTTCTACGCAGATCTCAAAAACTTTTCCAACATGAACCTTTTTCCCCTTTTTGATGGCTTCATCACTGACGTCTTTCCATTCTCGAACAGATCCCATATCCCAGGCTTTCTTAACCATTAATTTGTTCCATTCAACATCAAGGGCAGCCTGGGCCTTCGGGTCCTCGAGGATTTCTCTGCGACCAACAGGCCTTGCGACAAGAGCAAAAAGCTCTCGTACCTCGTCCTCTGAGACAGGAAGGTTGCTGGAAATCTTTTCACGATGCTCGGGCTCATGAGGTACAGTAGGCATGGCAGGGAATGCATCCTTACCATCTCCTTCAGGAGCGGGACTGTGGATTCTGTCCAGAATGAACTCAGTCTTGCCGATCCACTTGAAACTGGTCTTTTTGTTCCGCTTCCTAACGTTCTTCCAATCATCGTCCTCATGGATGACATCAACACCACCTACGGGAATGATAGTTGTACTCCGTTGCTTAGAGATGCGCGATAGTTCAATCGGACAATCTGTGATATCCGGTGAGAACATTTCTCTTCTGGGAACATAATGATAGCGTATTAGCTTACATTCGTTCAGTCGGACCTCCCAGTGGTCCTTGCTCGCAGCAGGTGCTGCGGCGGCGGCAGAGGAGCTACCGGCTGAACCCTCGGTAGGAGTCTCCATATCACGCAATGCTTGTTCGCGTGCCTCATCAACAATGGCCTTCTCCTTCTGTTTCTTGGACATGTTGACCCAAAGGTATGAGGGAATGGATTCGGGCTTCTTAGAACCTCTGGTGCCTCCATACTTTCTACCAAGAGTACCCCCCGAATCATAGTACCGACCCCCTTCAGGGAGATCAATTTCTTTCCCCGTCTTAGGATCAAGTACCTTCTTGGGCGGCTCGACCTCTCGGTCTGCGGGTGCAGGCGGTTGCTCATCGGCAGCTTCAGCGTCCTGATTGGTGAGCGATTGACTGACAGGTCCTTCAGTAGCATCTGATGCGAGACCTGCTTGAACCCTTTCATACCTCTCACGCATGGGAAAAACAATCTTACCATCAGTGAGCTTGTACTGCGATGCAATAACTGGCTTCAGGCACTCGTGGAAATCATGCTTGTTCAGCTGCTTGAGATGAATTGCAAAGACCTCCTTGCGCCATTTCATACCAGGCTGGAACTTGTATCCCATAAAAATCGCAGGCTCACTGGTAGGCTCGAATCTGTCTCTACCCTTGCGCTGGGCTTTCGGACCAACCCAAACGTCGATCCTACAACCGAAAGGAAGGGGTTCTTCAGGAAATGCAACACCAAAACGCTTGAACCAAGGGGTAAACTCTTTGCCCCCCGGATTGCTGATGTTGTAGGCAGTGCATGCATGCTCAAGGGCAAACGGCCAGTACACATGCGAAATGCCAGCTTGAATGAGATTGGTGCGAGTGCCCTCAGTGGTGGCTCGCACAGCACGCTCAGCAACAGCGTTGGACTGATGGATATAAGCCTTAGAGAGCTCATGGCGCCAGCCGAGCGTTTTGGCCGCAGCCTCAAGTTCCCTAGACTTATCGCTGTAGAAAGTCTCCACATTGTCCTTCGCGGATGCGAAGTGCTGGAGCGCCACGAGGCATTCGTCTTCCGACTTCAATGCAGCAGGGTATGCATACATGAAACAAGTGGCAACATCCTTAACCACAAGTGCAAGGCGCGAATCCTCAATGACAGTTTGCTTGTCCCTGTGCAAGATCAGATGATCTGCGGTCACATGGTCGCCAAAAACCTCTGCTTCGATAGTACTGGTTTCCTTCTTGTAAGAAGGAGGCTTGTACATCTTAGCTCGTTGGCATATTTGGCAATAAGGGTTCTTGGGGACATGAGTCATGAGGTGTTCACGGGTTGTTGATTCTTTGATCAGAGCTTCTTTGCTCCGTCTACGAGCTCTACGTTCAGGTGCTTCAGGATCGTCACTTGATGCTGCTTCCCCATCGGGGGCATCGGCCGCTGCCGGGGCAGGAGGACCAATGTCCGGTTCAGCACGCACCTCGTCAGAGGGCGGAGCAGGGCGAGAACCATCTAGAATGGCTCGCACCCGTGCCGCACCTTCGGACCTGAGGAGACCAGAGTCTCGAACACCATCCCTGGGCTCGGATTTTGCTTTTGGTTCAGGCTTAGGCTTAGCTTTAAGTTTTACTGTAGGCTTGGTGCGATCCGGCAAAGGCCGGACAGGCGTATCTTCCTCCATCAGTTCCCTGAGAGTTCTTTCGTCAGGATCATCGGCGGATGCCGGCGCAATAGGGACCCTCTTGTGAGGAATAACAAACCCACAACCTCGAAGCTTCGCAACGTCCTGGTTATCAAGTTGGTAAACTGACCTACACGTGTAGGCAGTAATGCTCCAACGTTCACCCTTCCAAGGTCTTACGGAATGGGATGTCTTCGGGTCAAAAACGACAATCTTGTTGTGACTGTCATGGACCATCCCAGGGAGTTTGGTGCCTACAGAATCCTTGACCTCTAGATAATTTTTATCGGTTTTCATAGCGTTCGGGTCATGAATCCAAAGGCCACCATTGGAAAACTCTCCCACGGCAATCGTAACGTTGAGATGGTCTTTGTGATTGTTCACATCCTTATGGACCTTGATAGGCGAGTTCTGGTTGATACAGAGTGAGGAACAGCTCTCCAACTCCGCGCCTCTTTTGCGAAGAAATGCAATGAGATACTTGATAGTATTAACATGGCGTCCAGTTCTCTTGGTTACACCATGAAACCCTCCATGTGCGAAAGCACCAAGTATCACATACTTCTCTTTGCTATTGCCATGTTTCTCTCCTAGTGCTTTTCTTCTACTCCTACCTGCTCCGAAGTTGACGGTGCGCAAGAGATCCACGCATGATCGCTCCGAGAAGTCGTGCTTCTCCAGAAGCTGCAAAGCAATCTCTTCAGAGCTGCGATCAGGCATTTCACCTCTGGCAACCGACTGAATCTCATCGGACTTAGATTCACGCGCAGGGCAGGCAGTGCCCTCCTTCCACGATTTGAGGAAAGGCACGTTATCTCGAACGTCAAGGAAAACTCTTTCACCCTCAGGAGTTTTCAAGTAAGGGCGAGTACAGGCTCTCCAAATGAAATCGAAACCTTGCTCCATGCAACGCTGTCCTATGGAGAGGACTGAAGGAGTGTCGGGCAGCACATAAGGCTTGGCAGAAATGGCAATCGACGGAACGTCGACATCACATTGCTTGTCAGCGGAGCTGGGACCGTTCGCGGTCATGATGTTGATTGGCTGTTCAGACTCATAAGCCTTCAAATGCTGGAGATCCCTCTCAGCGATTAGGTCTTGTGCACTCCCGGTGTCGCCAATCCATTCAAGGTTAAGCATCTTGGAGGACCCTTTAGTCTTAGCAGGGCACGACATTCTAAGACCCTTTGGGATACAGTGATTACATCCAATCTCCGAATCACACTCCCAGCGGCAGGCCGGAACATCGTCCTTGGTAGAGATGGAAGCTTTCAGCATCTTCGCTGACATCTGGGCCTCTCGGATGGAGTCTGCTCTGGTTTCTGGGACAAAATCCAAAGGCTTTTCTCCTCGATGCTTACGGTTGGTGGGCGATATTGGAGTGAACCTCGCGTTGGTATCACCAACAGGAATGTTAATGTAATCGACTTCAGAGCTGAAATTTACCGCTGGTAGCGCCAGACTATAGGGATACGTGCAATTGGTGATCTGGTCCGTCCACTCCTTCCGGAGGGAGAAAGCATCGGCTTGGGTGGCCGAACCAGCAACAAGAGCACTGAGGAGACATACAGCAGCAGGGATACCGCCTGAAGGCTTCTTTCTGCCTGAGCCCTTCGAGTTCTTGGAGCCTTGACTTCCCTTGGAATTCCTGCTACCCTTAGAACCCTTGGAGCTAGAGCGAGAAGACTTGCGATCTTTCTTCTTCTTGCGGTCCTTCTTCTTCCCTTTGCCTTTTGTGTTGAAAAACGTGGTAAACATCATGGCTCACTTTTCCTACCACGCTCTAAAGGCAAAACAACTTTTCTCGCTTTCGACTCTTGAGCCTAAGCCTCCGGTGTCAAACTCGTTCTGCTCAGACTCAACATGCCTTAGGGCATTTGGTGTCTTTCCTACTGCACCCATTCACTGTACCTGGATACATGCTGTACACTTAACACCCCGCCTCGGAACAGATCGAAGGCTTTAGGGCGTTCTCTTTCCTGCAGTGATTCTCACTGCTGTGCCAAAAGACGAAGAGCTGTTTCGGACTTCAAGTGTACTGAACTGGGGACATTCGTCTCCTCTAGTCCAAGGTCTTTTACCCAGTTCTTTCTGCTTTGTTTCTTGAAACATGCATAAACTCCTAACCTCGAATTTCTAGTTACACGGGCTTGTCTTAGAGTCCTCATCTTGTGAGTCTCAGCCCTGTGGCCAGCCTATGGCTCTTGTGTGGTCTTCTCTTTTACCTAACCATCTTCTTTCTTCAACTGTTCTTGCCTCTACCTGGCTGCACCTTACACTCCTAGTCCTGCTTCGTGAAACTCTTCGTGAAACTACTTTCTTCTTGGTGAAACTCGTGTGAATATCACAAGGCGTATTGGGGTCCTTGTTTATTCAAAAACATTCGTTGTACCTACTTTGTACTTCGTGCAATGTTCGGGGTGCTCGAACTTCTATGTACACAGCTTCAGAAAATCTATACATGCTTCACGCTGCGTTCAGTCGTCACCCTTCTCGATGCTTCTTGCTGGCTTCTTCTTCTTACCAGCCTTTCTTGCCACCACCACCATACTTCCATTTCCCTTTGCCTTGGTACTTCCCTTTCGGGGCGTAGTGGTAGTAGGCGTAGTCTGGCTCCCAGTAGTTCTGGCTCCAACCGTCGTCGGCGTACCAGTCCTGCTGCTGGTGCCAACTTTCTTGCTGCCAGTCTTCTTGCTCTCGACTTCTTCTTCCTCGCTTTCCTTCTTGCTGCACCTCAGGCTCATCTCTCTCTCTTCTTATTTCTGTGGGGCTCTCCCACCTTCCTGTCTTCTTGAAGTGCTTCGTCACGAGGTTCCAGTCTTCGGCACCTTTGATTCGCGCTCCTTTCACCTGCGCTGATCCTTTCTGATCAAGCCGAACTGCTCGATACTCATTCGTGTCTTTGCAATACTCCCAGATCCAACCACAATCTGTGAACGTGACCACATTCCATCTGCCCTTTGTGTTCTTGCTACCTTTCTCTCCTCTCTGCGGTGGTTCTCGGTACTGCTCTTCTTCTTTCTCCTTTCTCTCTTCTTCTGTTCCTGCTGCTCCTCCTTCTTCTTTTCCTTCTTCGCTCGACTCTGCAACGTCGGGCGGTGGCGTGTATCCTTTCTTTGTCCACCAGTTTGGATCATACCACTGGCCTTTGATCCTGACCCACAATGCTCCTTTGTGGATCTGCCACACATTGCCTTCTGCATCCTTCTTTCCTTCTGCTCCTAGTGTGGGCTTTTCATCTTCAGATCCTGAATCTTCAACTTCAACGACTTCAATCTCCTTCATTCTTGCTCTTTCCTTCTCTGCCTCAATCTCCGCTTGTGTCTTTCGTTCCTGTGCTTCCTTCAACTCCTTCTTTGCCTTCTCCTTCTCTTCCTTCGTCGCTTCTTGGGCTTCCTGCTCCTTTCTTCTCATCTCCTCATAGGCCTCTAGCTTTGCTCTTTGCTTCTTCGCCTTCTCCTTCGCGATTGCCTCGTTCCTTTCATCTTCCTTCTCCTGTGCTTCCTTCTCCTCCTGTGCTTTCCTTTCCTGTGCTTCCTTCTCCTCTTGTGCTTTCCTCTCTTGTGCTTCCTTCTCCTCTTGGGCCTTCCTTTCTTGTGCTTCTTTCTCCTCTTGTGCTTTCCTTTCCTGTGCTGCCTTCTCCTGGGCCTCTTTCTCCTCCTGGGCCTTCTTTGCCTGCTCCTTTTGTCTCATTGCTTCGGCTTTCTTGTCTGTCTCCTCTTTCCTCCTTTGTCGTTCTGCTGCTTCAATCCTTTCCTCGTTGGCTTTTCTGATCTCTGCATTGATCCTGTCTTCCTCCTCTCTTCTTTGTTCTGCTGCTTCTAGCTTTTCTGCTTCTCTCTTTCTCTCGTCTGCTTCTTTCTTCATGTGCTTCGTGATCATGTCGTAGTCCTTCTTCAACTGCTCTCTCACCTCTTTGGCATCTTGCTTGTACGCTTCTTTCTGCTTCTCTAACTCTTCCTTCTCTTTCTCCAAAGCTTTCTTCTCTGCTTCAGCTTCACTGAACTTCGCAACCACCTTCGCCTTCATAACAAATGCTTGGTCACGATCTTCTTCTGCTTCCTTCGCCTTTTCTTCTGCTTCTTCTCTCTTCAACTTTTCTTTCTCCAAGGCACGTTCTTGCTTCTCCATCTTCGCGATCAGCTCGTCGACCTTCATCTTCACGGTCTCGTCGTCTTCGAGGACACCTTGCGAGCTCTTCTCTTTGTCTTCTTCTTCTTTCTTCTTTGTGACTTCACCTTCAGGCTTCTCTTCTTTCTCACCCTTCTTCTCTTTCTTCTGGTTCACTGCCAAGTAGACAATGATTGTCACCAGAACAACAATCACAGCCATGCACACGGGCACGAACATCTCAAGCTCAGGCATGCTCGTGAAAACGTGTGAAAACTTCATGCTGCTGTTGCTGCTTTGACCATGTAAAACTTCTTGTTCAACTTCTTGAAGTTCTTGAGGTGGCTCTTGAGCTGTAGAAAACGGACCAAACACAAAACTCATCAACTGCATGCAAAAATATCTTCGTGCTACAAAATCTCCTTCTTGCTGACCTGCAGATTCAACTGCAAAACCAAAAGCTGACAATAACGTCAAACCAAGTCTGCTTCCGGATACCTTTGTCAATCTTCTGACTGTAGCTGTGCTTTCTGCGGCCATTCGTTCTTCACGACCGATTGCTTCTCGATCATCATGAACTTGAAGGATGTTCAAAAGTAGCTTCATTCTCGATGCGTTGAGGGGCTTGGTCCCTAAGTCGGCAGGGTTGAAAACAGTGCTCACTGCCTTCACGCTGCATAGGCCGTTTCTGGTAACTTCTTGCAACCAGAGCATTCTCGTTGCTAAGTGCTTGATACGACCAACACCTTGCCGGTGCACAATGCCACGCGCTGCACTGCTGTCTGTGTACGCCTTCATTCGCGCTGCTTTGCCAGAAAGGAACTCTACGGCTTCTCGAATGCCAATTCCTTCTGCGACAGCACCAGTGAGTGCGTAGTACTCGGACTCGCCACTGGAAAGTGCCACAGTTTTCTGCGTTCTTGAGTAAGAAAATGCATACTGGCCGTCCAGGAAGCTGACTCCTCCTGATACAGATTTCCGGCTGCTCTTGTTGCCGGCCCAGTCGGCGTCAGAAAATACTTCGACCAGGTGACTGCCACTCTCGATGCTCTTCTCGTTCTCATTCTCGGAATCCTGCTCCAGATTCTTGCTTCTTTGCAAGGTTGCCGTTCCAGGTCTCCCTGCTGTGTAGCAAACCGCATAGTCTGCAGTCTTCTTCAGATACAACGCGCAATGCTCGAGCTCTTTTTGCTTCTTCTGCGTAGGAGCCTTCATTCCAGTTGCCAAATTTCGGACTGCATACTGGATGTCAGGACGATCTTGGGCAAGATATAGCAGTATACCGACACAACTTCGGTACACATTCTTCTTGTTCTCGTCCAGCTCTTTTGTCTCATCGGTGTTCTGCACATTTCCTGCTGCAGGGGTAGCTTTCTCTCTTCTCGATCCAAGGCGTAGCTTTTCAAGGAGCTTGGTGACATACTTGGTGTCAGGGCGGACAAACAACTTTCCGTCTTCATAGCTATACCTTCTTTTGAGAAAACGCACAGACTGCTTGGAAAATCCATTGCGATAATCTTCTTCTGTCAGAAAAGGTCCTTCTACTTGTAGCTTCACCTTCTTCGCTAAAGCTTCGAGAACGGGCTTCACCACTGCTGCCTTTCCTGCTACTTGAAGGTCATCGACATGTACGATGCAAACGGATACGACCTTGCCGTTCTTGATCAAGCGAAACAACGCTGGGTTCGCGATGCTTTTCTCATAGCCTTCTTGCTGCAAAAGTTCTGCGCAAAATTCGCTCCACAGAAGACTAGCATCTCTTTGTCCAGGAAGGACACGACCAAGACGCCAGCATTTGGCTTCCATTCCGTGTACTGCTTGACTTCCTTTTCCTCGTGGAATCTTGCAGTGTACAGGTCTCTTCTGGGGAACCTGCAAAAATGCATCTTTGATGTCAAGCGACCAAATACTCCATCGATTTGCCAATGCCAAAATTGGAATCAGCTTCGTCAACGACGGAGAGGTAGCTGGGCTGAACACATCTTCTCGCTTCGAGTTGTTATACTCTCTTGCTACCAGCCTTGCTCTTCTCTGCCAACATCTTCGTGGCTTCAGGGCTTCATGAGGAACTTCTTGTTGCCCTTCAGGGATCTCGTTCTCGCAGATGACGTTTTCTGACTCCCGAAATCTCCAGTCGAAAACCAGCTTTGTTGTCAACCAAACAACTTCTTTGTTCTCTTCTTGCTCCATGGGCACCTCTTCTATGACACCCATCTTTGTCAATCTGGAAACTTCTTTTGCTGCTGCAGCATCGTCAAAGATCTCGAGGTCTTCTTCTGCGAGTTGAGGAGGTCCTGCTTCCTCTGAGAAGAAACTTTCTGGAAGGACTTGAACTTCTTCTTGCTGCTCTTCATCGCTCCATTCATCTTCTGTCTCAAAGTCACCAGCTTCACTGCCTGCAAAGCAATCTTCTTCTTCGTCCGACCTCTCATCATTGTCGGGCATTCTTTCTGCTCTCATCACCGAAGACGATGCTCCAGGTCCAAACCTGGGAAGCTCAACTCTTGTTCTTGGGATCTTGCTTGGTGAACCAACACATTCGAAGTCTGGTCTGCTTTCTCGATCCATCTTTGCTTCTTCAGGAACTTCTTCTCTTTCATCTTCATGCTCGGAAACCATATCTGCCAGAGGATCATGCTCTTCATGAACAAGTTCAAATTCTTGAAGCAATTCTTCTGCATCTCTTCTTGCTTTCTCTTCATCACTTGTTGGAGGATCAGAGGCGGCTTCGTCTGCAACTTCATCTTCAAGGATTTTTCGCTCTTCACCTGCTGCAACTGCTGGAAGAACAATCTGCGGAGAGACCAATCTTTTCTGAGGTAGTACTCGGCTGCCAAGTGTGTTGTTCTTGATCGACCAAGTGAAAACGTTCACGCTGCTGATGGCCTTCGCGTCGTAAGCTTCACCAACTGGTCTCGCACTTCTTGATGCGTGAATGCCATCGCTCTGGAAAGTAAGCCACATTCCAGATTCAGTCTTGCCGAGGAACACTCCGAACGTCCACAAACGGTCACCTTTGCGCTTCGGTCTCAAGCGTTTCACCATAATCGTGCTTGCAAATGGTACGAGTTCTCCTCGATACGGTTGGCCTGTCATGAATTCATACGGCGTCTTTCCTGTTGCTGAGGACCGATGAAAACGGTTGAGTAGCCACGCAGAGTGTCGCATTGCCCACGACATCAGTGGGTGTTCATGGCTAAGAGGAAGTTCTGTCTTCACTCTGACCTCATCCAGGATACAATTCGCATGCCTTCTGACTGTTTGGACTGCACGCTCGGCCAAACCATTGCTTTCGTGATCATGGGGTACACTTGAAAGAAGTGTAGTGCTCAGGCCATGCGCTCCACGCATTTTCTGGAGTGCAATCTTCAAGCTTCTGCAAACACCTTCATTGTCTGCCTTCACATTGATTTCTGAGTACCCAAGCTGCAGTGTAGCTGTAGTCAACGCTTCGGTCATGTGCCTCAGCGCATCTGCGCCTCCTCTTCTTGCTACGGGCACGGCGACAAACCACTTGGACCATGCATCATTCGCGATCAGCGTGACCATGGGCTGCGCCTCAGAGCTGCTCGTTGAGGTGTACGCAAAGTCGAAACAGAGTGTTGACTTGCTGCTCTCTTCAGCGGGGGAGCGAGTCAATTCGCTCTTCCGATGCTGATTTTCTTTCGCCCGAGTGGCGACGCAATGCTCACACCAGCCAGCAAATGGCAGGTGCGTCAGGTTGTGTAGCATCACTTCCTGCTCATTGGGGCGTTCTTCGCGCTTCCTCATCAGCGGCGCGACTTGCGCTTCATACTGCCTGCGCCCGAGGGCTAGGCTGTCTGCCGCTTCGCGCTCCTGAGCTGCGCGAGACAAGCGCTTCAGCATCTGTTCTTTGCTGCCACTGCTTGGTACTTCAAATTCACGACAAAGTTGACGCAAAATCTGCACGCTGCTATTCTTGCTGTACTCATAGCCATCGTAGGTGAACACAAGAGAATCTCGTTCAACTTCACCTTGTGGTGCTTCTTCCATCTGCACATCTTCTGGGAGGAAACTTTTCTTTTCTTCTTCAAGCTTCTGTCTCTTTGCCTCTTGCTCTTGTGCACTGCTTCTTCTATCGTCACGAACAGGTTCTTTGAGACGAAATCTGGTCTGACCATACCACGGCAAAGCGAATGCTTCTTCAGGAGGTTCTGTGTCTCTGCTCCAATCATCTTCGTCTTCATACAAATTCGTGGCATAGACACACTCGCCAATAGTGTATCTCCAGGACGTCAGATTCTCAATGTCCGTGGGCATTCCAGCTACGTTCTCAGGGTTGAACTTGTGAGTGCGCGGCGTGTTGTGGTACCGCACAAGTTCCGTACCAGCCTTCTCGATGCTCCACGTGTCGCTGGTTCTTGCTTCTTGTTCTTGGCGTTCATCTTTCTTCAAGGGGATGCCCAAGACATTCAGCGGGATAACTCGTGACGACAATGCTGTCACCACTTCAAATTCCCCGCCTGCGCTGATATCCTCAAACGGGTCCATCTTCTGCGCATACTTCTTGCACACTTCAACGGCTTTCCATGTACCATCTTCTGTCTTGATCATCGTGCTTCTGTACGGAAAATCCTCCGTACGGTACATGTCCGTGGGATCTTTGTACTTCGACTGCGCCGGGGAGTAGTGCACAACCACAATGCTGTCTGTATCATGCCAGCCAGGTTCTTGCTTTCTTGCTGCATCAGCTATGTGGGAGTTCAGCTGAATGACGGTGCGAACGTGTTCCTGCTCCAGGTTCACATAGGCTTCGCTCTCATACCTCTTTCCTGCTTGCAAATAAGCATAAGTAGCCAGCGAGTTCTTGTGGTAGTGAACAGGGATGTCTGACATTCCGTCTGACAACATCAAGCCATCATCCTTCTTGACAATCTCCCAGCCATTCTTGAGTAGCTTTCCGACTGCCAACAAAGGATTGACCACATTCGCAACGATGAAGCATTCTTGCATCTTGACTGCTTCTTGCTTCGAGCTGAACATAGTCAAGTTGATTGCTCTCTTTCCTTTTACAGGAATCTTTCTTCCTTGTGCGTCTCTGATGCCTGAATCGTTCTTCTTCTTCACAGGCACTCCCTCTTTGCCAAGCCACAGAGGAATGAGGCTGACATCGGCGCCACTGTCCAAGATCACTTCTATCTTCTCATAAACAGGACTGCTCTCATAAAATGATTCTTGGACTGCACGGACACAAAGATTGCAATCTTCTTCGTGCTCACAACCATCTTTCCACCACAACATCAAAGGATCATCTTCTTCTTGGTGCTCGTGTTCTTCTTCTTCTTGCTCTGCATCGCTAAGCTGAAATTCTTCAACACGTAGCACACGACCAAAATAGTCAATCTCAAGTTCTTCTTCTGCCTCCGTGTCGACTTCGAAAACTTCTGGATACTGTTGTGGAGGATCTCCAATGTGGATCATGGAGATTTGACGCACGGTCTTTGCTTGGTTCCTGCTGACGCTCGTCACGTTCGTGGTGCTTGACGTGCTTGGTGCTGCAGTAGAACTGGCTGCTGTGGTACTTTGCTGGTCGTCGTTCACGTTTCGAACATCACCAAAATCTCTCTGCTTCTGTCTGCATTGGGCTTCAAAGTGACCAGGCTTTCCACAGTAATGACAACACTGAGGACCAAAGCTTCCTTTTCCGCGTCCTTTTCCAAATCCACGACCAAATCCTTTTCCACGACCAAAACGACCGCGACCTCGACCACGACCTTTTCCTCTTCCTCGTCCTTTGGAGTTGTAGCCGTAGTCGTTGCCATACTTGCCTTTTCCTTTGGACTTTCCTTTCCTCCATTTTCCTTTGCCCTTTCCTTTGCCTTTGCTGAACTTTCCTTTTCCTTTTCCTTTGGATCTCCAGGGCTTTCTTCTGTCATCTTTGTTCACGTTGCTGACATCCATGTCTGCTTGTCCACCGTGGTCGTTGCCGGCGTTGATCAAGTCAGTTGTGGTCCAGCGCGTGTTTTGCTCATAGGACAGGAGAAACTGACGAAGACTTGAATACTTTGTATCATCTCTCAAATTGAGCAACATGTGTTGTCGAAGTTGACCATCTTGCTGATTGAGGATAATTGAAATCTTCAAATCATCTTGCACCACATCTCCTGATGCCTTTTCATACTGCTCGATTGCTTCTTCGAATGCAAGGATGTTCTCCATGGTGGTCTTCTTGTTTTCAAACTTGTACTTCGTGAGGCTAGTCAGCAATCGAAGACTTCTACCACGAGTGTAGGGTTCATGTTCTTCGAGCAAAATTCTCCATGCTTCTAAACCATTCTCCTCTGTAATCTGCTTGATCGTTCTCAATGGGCGACCTTTCGTGTACGAAGTGAGGATCGTGTAGAGCTTCTTGCTAACGGCTTTGTGCTCGTCACTCAAGGTGGAAAACTCAACAGCTTCACTTCTCTTTGCTTCAACGGCTTCAATTCTTGCTAACATCTCTGGGTCCAACGCTCCAATCCAGGTTCGCATCTTGTGTCTGAATTCACTCCAGCCTTCATGCTCTTCTTTGAAACTGCTTGGGTTGAACACGTCGGGGGTCTTGATCATCTTGTGCAACTCGACATCTCCCTTCTCTCTTCTCTTTTCTCTTTCTGCTTGTGCTTGTTCTCGTGCTTCTTGATGCTCACGAAAATCTCGATGCATTTGACCCATATTGTTGATCATGCTTGCTGCCTCGTGGACCGCTGTGCTCGTTCTTGTAGCCACTTGTAGCATGTTGCGAAACATTTCTCTCATCTCGCCTTCACTGGCTGCTGCTGCACTTTGAGCTGCTGTGCTTGCTTGCTGCTGCTGGGATGCTTGCTGCTGAACTGCGCTAACCAGGTCGTTTATCTGTTGGGTGTTCGTTGCTGTCTGCTGGGCCAAAGATTGCATTGCTTGCTCCATCTGGGCATTCATGGCTTCAGCTGCTTGCGTGTTTGTGTACAGCAACACAATGAACATGAGCGTCTTCTTCTGAACACCACATGCACGAACTTCTTGATACCTGGCTCTCCTCGAAACTCTTCTCTTCAAACACTCTTTTCTTTTGCTTTGGATGGCACACATGTTGTACAGGCTGATCCAAGTAACCAAACCAATCGGGGTGCACATCACGATCATCAACACGAAAATGATTTCTTTCTGCTTGTGAAACATGACTGAGATCTCAGGGGCGTAGCTCGACTCAAGGCTTCGAAGGAATCTTCTTGTACCTTCATACCATCTTTTCACCTCAATCTTCAAATTCGTGATGTCGAAGTTTCTTGATGCTTCAAATCCTGCGATCATGTACTTCACAATCTCGAGGTTGTAGTTTTCTTCGTTGTCTTGATCTTCATAGCGTATTGGGGCTTCTTTGGTTTGACGACGCTGCAAACTGAAGGACATGAGCTCCACATGTTCTGTCTCTTCTCTCTCTCTTCTCACATGCACATTCTTGCTGCTTCCACCAAGTGCATGAGTCGCATGCTGCACCTCGGCATGCTCATCCTCCAAGGCAATAGTCTTCAGGTCATCCTGGAGGGAAATCGAATTTCTGCGCTCATCCTCCAAGGCCATAGTCTTCAGGTCATCCTGGAGGGAAATCGAATTCCTGGGCAGCGGCTTTGACATAACGAGCTCTGCTTCATCTAGCAATATCTCTGTACTGCTTCTTGCTGCCTTTGCTTTCACATTCTTGATCATCAACAACCAACCTTCTGCTGTAACGAGCCCTGCACAAAGTAGAAGAACTGCACTGCAAAGGACTCTCATCCAGAAACCACATCCAGTCATCTGGGTAAACCTCCTTCTCTTTACTTCTGTCTGCCCTTGAATGTAAACATAGCCATCTGGAAAGCAAACTCTACATCCAGGTGCACGTACGACTTGCGCCTGATCCGCACTGTCCAGGCCACGGCATTCTCGATGCTTGTGCACTGCTGTTCTTGACTTTGCAATGTAAACATCAGGCATGAACTCTTCATGGGCGACAGTCTCGATCTCTCGCTCTTCAGTTGCAATCTCTCGCAAGAACGACCACGCCATTCCTGCTAAAATGCTGCTCATGAAAACCAGCACTGCAAACAGGAACAATTCCTGCTGCCATCTTCCTGAACTCAAAGCGTCCAGGGCACCACTGCTTGCTGCAACTGTCTGCTCTGCCATATGCTGAAGGTTCTGGAGGTTGCTGGCACACACTTCTCGCACAGACATGAAAACCATCATGCTCCATGGAAAAATCTTCGTCCATCCAGCTTGCTGTAGCATCATCGCACCCTGACTCAGGTGCTCCGCTACCATGTTGAAAAACGTGGTAAACATCATGGCTCACTTTTCCTACCACGCTCTAAAGGCAAAACAACTTTTCTCGCTTTCGACTCTTGAGCCTAAGCCTCCGGTGTCAAACTCGTTCTGCTCAGACTCAACATGCCTTAGGGCATTTGCTGTCTTTCCTACTGCACCCATTCACTGTACCTGGATACATGCTGTACACTTAACATTTTGACCCCTTCCCACTGGTTTCGGAAGGCGCAGCTGCACCTGGCTTGCCTGTATGGAGAAAATTACAGTTCCCCCCCCGATCGCAACGTCCTTGCTTGTAGAACTTGCAGATCTTAGGCTTACCACCGGGGCTTGCAGAGCTTGCTCGTGAGCCAGCCGGCGTGGCGGAGCGGCCGCGTCCCTTGGCCGGAGTCTGGTGCTTGTACTTACATTGGTCACCTTTGGTGCAGGAACCATTACGGACCCATGAAATGCAGAAACCTTTAGGAACCCTCTTAGGTGCAGGTGCGGTGGGCACAGCAGGACTGCCCGTCTGTCGAGCCATCCGTTCCCGGTTGCGTTCAAGGCGCTTCCTGTTGAGGTGCGCATTTGCAGCATCATACAGGAAACTGTAGGACCGTTCTTTGGAACCTTCAAGAGCTCTTTCGTAGATGTTGATGTCATGCGAGAGAGCCTTGACCTTCTTGACCTGTCTGTGAAATAGTGGTTCGAGGAATGATGCTTCAGGGGTTTTGGGAATCCCCGACAACACCGTATCCCAATTTCGCATGAAGGTGAGAAGATTCTCATTGAGTAACGTGACTGAAAGCAAATCTTCCATGTCATACACCGCCCCATGCTGAGCGTTCGTCGCAAAGTAGTTGTGAATCCTGAAGAGAATCTGCCTTCCTCTAACTGGGCGTCCGGCGTTGGCCTCTGTTTCTTTGAAGGTGTCCACCTGACGTGCAAAGTCGCCTTCCAGGATGTTTGACAGAGCTGAAAGGATCTTAGCATCAAGGGTGGTGAATCCTTCCGGATCACGAAGGGTTTCCTCCTTCATATCGGCTTCCCAAACCCTAGACAACCACTCGAAAGCTTTGTCGGGCTTATCAGATGCAGCTACAACAGCGTCACGAACTCTGATGCGCCAATTGCGATAGCTCTCGGGCTGAGGAAACTTTGGGACTAAAACCTTCTCAGCTTCCTTGGTTTTGGGAGCCTTATCCGATGACTCGGCTTTGTCGGCATCTTTGTCATTTGAACCACCTTTCATCATCTTCTTGAAAAACCTCTTCATCTCTTTCGGTGATATCGCCAAGATGAGGAAGAATCAGAGGACGAAGATGAGTCCCTCTTTTTCTTCTTCTTCTTCTTCTTCTTTTTGTCGTCCTTCTTTTTCTTCTTGTCTCCATCATCATCATCATCGTCATCATCTGGGTCACCTGGCTTGCCTTTGCCTTGGCCAGGCGGTGTGTCGAGGCGATGCACCTGTGGGAGACCGGGCGGTGGCCCGCTAGGACCAGGGTTGCCTTCCGGCTCCCGATGATGGGGCGAATCGGTCTGACTGGCAGCCTTCTGTAGCATTTCTTGAGCTTGAAGCAACTTAGCACGAAGATCAGAGTTCTCGCTCGTGAGTGCTGAGCGGTGCTCGGCTTCAGAATTGAAGCGTCCGAGCATAGCATTGAATTCAACCTTCATGCTCTCAACCTGTTCGGATAGCCTCGCATTGTGAATGGCATACTCACTCTGAACATTGTGAGAAAGTCTCTCAAGCTTGGAGTACTCGGCATCAGCGTAGGCTTCCGCCTCGCAAAGACGCTTGTGGAGCCCAATGGCTTCAGTCCTTGCTCTGGCAAGAGCAGCAGAATGCTGATCAATGATACCTTCAATGCTTGTTTGCATGCTTTGATTTCGTTTGCCTCCCACGTGTCCAGCCACGCAATCCACGGCATGGTGAGGAAGTGGGGAAACCGGACGTTTGGAGCTGAAAGGCTGTCGGGCACTGCGCACACTCGAAGCACATGGGAGCAAAGGAGGCTTAAGGTCTTGACATATGCTTTCAGGCAACGAATACAGGCATGACAAACAACTCATTCGTATTATTTTCACATAAAGAGCCTTCCGAACTCTTTCATATAGACTCTCTAGAAAATGCTAAGAGCACCTGTCGTAAGGCAAAAACACCATGTCTTGAGGCCAAAGATCAGCAATGTGGGCCTCAGAGACAAGGCAACAACTGGATGAAAGCTCGTTTCTACTACAAGGCTCAGGATACAAGGCTGTGCTCATCTGCATCCGTCATAGGTCCTTGCACCAAACAGCGCACATGTCCAGAGCGTGCTCTGCAGCTGCTCGTCCCAGCAGGCGTGCTCACTAGCCTTGTCCCACCACCACTTTTTCTTCGCGACAGGACCTTGGAAGCCTTAAGCACTTCAAGACAGTCGGACAAAGAGCTGTGCCGGACATCCCGGGCGTCGACATTTCCAGCCGAAGGTGATGCAGAAAGCTGGGACTGCGAACAATCAAAACTGTTGTCTTCTCGGCCCGTGGATGGCCTGCGCCAGTCAAAACGTTACAAAAAACAGCGTGCCACCAGGGGCACCATCAATACTATTGCAGCCTAAACACAACCCCCCACTTCCAGCTTGAATAGTGTTCTTGGCTTGTTGTCGAAGATCTCATGTCCGAAGTCCACCTGGTTTGGCCAGACATGTTCCCCAGGTATATAAATGTTGCGTTAGCTAAAAATGCAAAGCAAGAAGCCCGCCTTGTAAAGATCGCTCAATTCTATGCTAAGGCGACAGTCGTTGCACTTGGCAGGCAAGGCCAGTCGGTAGCCAGACTTCCAGAAGACCTGATGACACGGCAAACTCAAACCTCGAAGACATGTCACGGTGACAACAATATGCGAAAGCCTTGCGAACGACGAGTGCATCTGACACGCTCCCCTTTTGAAAAGTCGTATCCTGCTGCATGGCCAGAGAGGTTGAGACAACTGCAACGACATGCTATCGAACAAGCAGAAACGAGTAAAGCAAGAAACTCTTCACTTCACCGACGCTCTCCAGCTGTTGTTTGTGCACAGTCGTCCTCGAAACCATATAACGGCAGAAACCGTACAACGCTTTCGAGCTCATCCGGTAGCAGCGTCAACATTTTCAGCAGCACCTTGAGCGTTGAAACAAGAAGTCCAATGTCCGCAGCCGTGTGTTGTTCAGCAACGTTCGGAGTTTACGAGGCTCAAGCTGGGGGGGAATCTGTTGTTTGTTCGCCGGAGGTGTTTGCCACGAAGAAACTCTGTGATCATGTCCTACTACAACTATAAGGTACTCCTATACATTAGACATGGACTGCCTTGACCTGCTGGAGTACAAGCGGATATACAAGAACATTCTTTTTGCTTACTGATGAGACTTCAAAAATGTCTTCTCCTGAATGGCTTCTCGGATTATCTATGCGAGACGTCGAGCTTTGCTGCGGCTCTCGGCTTTCTGTAGCAACCAGGTTGAGTTTAGCGTCTCGCAAGTAGGCAGCCGCAGTGCGAGATCCGGTTCTGCTAGCTGGGCGACCAGGGCTTTCGTGTGATGGTTGATCGTTTGCCACAAGGGATCGTTAAAATGATACCTGGCTTCCAATATTTGCTCGTAAAGGTTGTTCTCGTCGAAAGGAAAGGTGCCACTCCGCAGGACATGGAGGAGTATTCCGAGGCTCCATGAGTCTGCTGATATGCTGTAGCCACTGGCATGCTCGGTGTCCTTGATGTGAGATCTGCATTTTAGTCGCACCACTTCAGGAGCCATGTAGTGTGGCGTGCCACAAAACGTATGCAGGTCTTGTGGGGAGTGACTGATTCGCGCCAGTCCTAGGTCCGCAAGGATGGGTCGGCATGAGGCTCTGCAGCTGTCTGTCAAGAGGACGTTCTCGGGCTTCAGGTCCCTGTGAGCGATCTTGCGCTGGTGTAGGTGGGTCATGGCCTCGCATATGCCTTGAAACACTGGCTGTGCTTGCTCCTCGGTGAAGGCGCCGCTTTGAAGCAGGTTGTTGAGGAGGTCGCCGTGTTCGTGCATTTCGAGCGTCATGTAGATGTGCATCAAGTCGAGCGTCCATGCAATGCACTTGACGATGCCTGGGAGGTTCAAGCTTTGAAGGATTTGAGCCTCGCTCGTCTCTTGCAGTCGGCTGTTGGTGCGTGCCTTCCAGCTTTGGAACGTATTGCGACAAACGATCTTGACGGCGCGGTAGGTCTGGTTCTCGGAGTCGTAAACTTTGCGCACGATGCCATACTTGCCGTGTCCCAGGAGTCGATGTTGGCGGGGCTGTGGTTCGTCCTGTCAGCCGCATGTTAACAGTTTGTGTTCACTTTGCTCTCTGGGTTTCTAGCTGGCATGCCGTCCTGGCGCGGACATGAAGCTGGTTCACCGCTGTCCATGGTTGCTGCGATGATGTCTGTCAAATGTATGTAAGTTTGTGGTACGTATGTGACAGTGCTTTGGTGAGCTTGTTGCGACTTTGTTGATCTCTCGGGTTCTACACTTCTACACTGTGCTTCAACCGAATGAGCAGCAGAGCACGGATGCAAATGATATATGACAGTCAGTTAGACACTCCCCAAACCCCACAAGCACAAAGAAAGGGGACATACGACAAACCTCCCTCTCACAAAACCCTTACAACACGAAGGGACGAAGGGAGGTGACGTACGACAAACCTCTAGGCCCCCACCAACTCACAGGAACACGAAGCGGTGAGACATATGACAAACCTCTAGGGCAATCACTTACCCCATCATAGTACGAGCACGAAGCACGTAAGCAAATGATATATGATAATCATCTAGACGCTCCCCAACCCGACAAGCAAGAAGAGAGGGGACACACGACAAACCTCCAGGGCCCTCACAACACCCTTGCAACACGAAGGGGCGATGGGAGGGGACATACGACAAGCCTCTGCGCCCGTACCAAGTCGCAGGAACACGAAGCAGGGGGACATACGACAAACCTCTAGGCCTCTCTCGGGCAGTCACTAGCCACTTATAGTACGAGCACGGAAGCAATGATATATGACAATCACCTAGACGCTCCCCGAACCCTACAAGCACGCAGAAAGGGGACATACGACAAACCTCCAGGGTCCTCACAAAACCCTTACAACACGAAGGGAAAGGGAGGGGACATACGACGAACCCCTGGGCCCCTACCAAGCGTGCTCACTGAATCTTGTGAAAAAGCTAACCCTTTCCTGTAGCGATGGCTGAACGTGTACTTCTGTAGCCTGCTCACAAACCCCCCATCTCGAACATTTTTAAAACTTGAATCTCAATATTGCGACCCGGACATGCATGCTTGCACGGTGAGAACTAGACAACAGTTTCGGTGGAGAATATTATTGCAGAGGCAAACGCAGCAAAGTGTTCCTGTATTTGCATACAAGCACGCATCGAAAGAGTTGCAACGCCAGTGACATATGCCACTTTTTGCGGCCTTTTTACTGCGCGAACATGCTACGTCCTCACAATCCGTACAAGCATAGGAGCATGCGGTCCCAAACAGCTCGTTCTTGGCACCGGTCATTTGCAAGTGCCAGCTCATAGCGCTGCGTCAGAAAGGCCCAGGCATCCTGCCACAGACTTCTGGTGCTGCATCTTGCTGTGTACGAGGAAGCCTGACTGGCGATAAGCAGGGTGTGCAAGAACATTCTTAGCTCTGCGGGGTTGCAATAAGTGTACTCGTCGTCCCACGGGTCGGCTATGGATTGTTGAATGATCTGCTGAACCACATTACCTCGGCTCGTTCGCAGTAACCAGCGCTGCCGTTGGCGGCGCTTGTTGAAGGTCTTCTTAGGACGATAAGGTACCACGTTTCTTTGGGCCGAGCAGATAAAGGCAACAAAGTGCCAGGTGACCCTTCGCTTGATTGCTCCAAAACAGCTGTTACATCTTGGGAATTGAAGCTGGCGTGTAATGAACATGGATGCAGGCTCTGGCTGTACAGCACTTCCGCGAGCATTTTTTCTCTCTTATGTATCGTATGCTTTCGCATCTCAAAGCATTTGGCATTTGAAAAAAACACATTTGCTGATGTTCTTCTTGACATCAGTAGGGCTCTCGTGGGTGACGCTTGTGCCACGGTTATATTCAGATCACCTCGCCGCCAAACAACACAAATTGAGCTCATAATGCTCGGTGATTCAAGCGGTGTGTTCAATGTCGATTCCTTCGTGCTTAATGAACCCGTTGCGCCGATAGTTTTTGCGGGTTCGCCTCAAATGTTATAGTAAAGTGTTCTGTATTTCACTCCGAGGTGCATGTTCATGCTCAGAAACGCTGGTGCATTACACGGCATGGCATGTAAAGGATATGGCTTTCATACATACGCGTGACGAAAACAGTCACGGAGCGCCAATGGTGCAAACGGGTAGCTGCCCTCCGGTCAACGAGAAAGGTCACCGCTGACGACGATGCACTGGTGCGGGCCAAGCTCGAAGTGGTAGCCAGAAAGCGCTCTGACCCTGACGGCAAGGCCGTCCCTCAGGCACGGCAGATTGTCCGTAAACATTTCGACAGTAGCAAACAGCCTACAACTAGAAACTCATGATGTTCTAAGAACGTCGCCATGTGAGCGAGGGCGTCTCTTGCACATTCTCGCTGCGCCCAAGAATGAGGCGCAACCCAGGTTGCTGCGAGCACAAATAAATGGGGACGAACATGCCCAGATATGATTGCAGCACAAATCATTGCTTGATGCAATGTGATGCAAATACAGAAATTTAAGCCCATGGTGCACACATTTTATTTGTCCGCGCAGAGAAGCAACCTCAAAGGGATGATCAAAAGTGTTGGGCCCGGATGCCCAGTCAGAAGCATAGCTGTGGCTGATGCCACCTCTTCGAAGCTATGTAGAAGCGTTTCCAGGACGAATAGGTTTCGTAGGCATCGTTGAGATGTGTAGGTTGCCGGTCTAGACATGATTAGCTTTGTTTGCGAGACTGCGTCACAGGTTTGTGCTACTTTTAGGTCATACTACTGAGTGTTGCATATGCCGAAAACTTGAAATGATCAGTTTGAAATTCGGTTCTGCATACACAGGATCTCAAGTCCATTGCGATTTTAGTTGTGAATGAGGCAGCAACAGCGTTGTCTTCTATGAGGCGTGCCATGGAAAAGAAAAACGACAGTCTTGAACTTCATGTAGCTCTAAATGTCAAGTGGCAATCAGTACATTAAAAAACATAACACACACACACAATGCAGTTGCACATGTTCACAGAAAAGTGCTTGCAGACAGAAATAATTCAGTTCATCTGGTGGAGTCGGAGCGCTACCTGAGCAGATTTTAAGATCGAATTCGGAACGCTTCCGTGTTGCATCTGAGACTAGGGCCTAGGGCTTCTTGGAGTTCGTGCCCTTCACGTTCAATGCTCCGATGACCACGGGATTTCTGCAAATCAACGAATCACAATCACTGAACTTCACGACAAGATGAACTCGGAGGTGGGCCGGTATCGAAGATGAGGACGTTCATCCCTATCTTCCCAGGTCAAGTCCTTCCTTGGTAGACCAACACAAATGCATTTGACGATTGTGTTTACAGGGAAACACACGCACACAAAGTCTCGGGCACACTTTTATGTTCACTGCGTGCACGCAGGCGCAGTATCCTGTGCAACAAGAATGTGTCCAATGAATCCAGTACATGCCTGGTTTGCTTAAGTTTCTCACTCGAGTTCTCTGAAGATCATGAGACGCAAAACTTTGTTTTCGCCGTCACGTCGCCCAAGCGCCTGCAAAAGAAAGGTATGGTCGGCATGTTGTTTGCGTGTTCAAGCAAGCGCCTTCCTGTAGAACGTGTACGGGTTGTTGATCCAGAGCAGCGTCTGATCATTCTCGAGTCGAAGAAGTTCTCGTTTTGCCTGCGCACCACTCCACATTCACTGCGAATTATGACAACGCATTCTTGTCCTGTAGCCACTCAGCCGTGGTCGTACCATTTGGTAGCCTGTAGATAAGCCAGTCTCTGAAGCTTGCTATAGATAATCTCATGTTCAGGTCGCAACTTGGGCATGGTTCCGCGAAGAGAGGCTAGAAAACAAGTTCGATAAATCACATGGCTGCAGAAGGCACATGCAGTCACGTGCTTTTGCAAGTATTTCAAGAAGGACTAGGAGTACAATGCTTCAAGGTTGACCTTTGAAATTCGAACCCCACTCAAAGTGATGAGCCTGGCTTGGAGCGAATGAAATGCTACCTGTATGTCTTGAAGTCTTATGATGTCGCAGGAGCCATGTGTTCAGTGCTTTCCAAAAGGAATAAAGCTAGTGTATTGTTGTAGAGGAAGTCGATACTGTTTCGTGATTTAACCAGAAAAGGGGGGCTTTGTTGTCCTGTCCTCTTGCTACGATGGGTAGTCGGGGATGATAGTCAGCTAGCTGATGCCCGAACTTAGCATATTGCAGCATGCCTCAAGTTACTTCTTGTTGCCTTGGTGTGGAAGGGCTATCTTTGGGGATAGCAGATCGTCCACAGAAGAGGAGTCAAGATTACATCTAAAACCTTGCTAGCGTTCTGAGTGATTTCAATGCTTCTTTCACTTGTTTGCGTCCTTCGGCGTGGCGCATTTCCCACTGCTTGCTCACATTGCTGAAATAGCTGTCTGCTTATGCTTCTACTTTTGCCTGACTCAAAACCACTTGTTCATTCGACAGACTAGCAACGAAAACCACACACACACACCGTGCCACCAGATACGCGCACACACACACACACAATCTAAATAGAACACCCCTGCGCATGCCCGTTTCTTTCAGCACCGTGTCAGTTCTCAACTCACTCGCCGTCATCGTGCGTCGGTGCTAACAAATCGTGGTGCCGTGATGCTGAACTCAGGACGAAAGGTTCGTGACGCTGAACTCAGGACGAAAGGTTCGTGATTCGTGACACAGCCAGTGTCATCAGCCGCGTCAGTAGAACCCTTTCCTGACAGACTGTTTCATGGCAACGCCTGACTTCACCACACGCATACGGCGTCATTGGCTGTCCTTCGTAGCGACGACAGTGTTGTGGTGCCACCTATTTGTCGAGTAAAGGCCTCAACTAAACTTTCTCATACTATGGCATGTACCCATTTACAGGTGTATATACATGAAACAGCATTCGTTTGCCACTGCTTCGCTTTGTGACACAGCCAGCTCGATCGAACGGCCACTCCATTTTTCCACGGGACATTTGGACTTGTACAGCAGGAGGTAGGTAAGCTCGTCCAGCATGCAATGCGTGCCAGCCCTGCAACAAAAGACCAGAGCCAAAACCAAATCACACCGAGGCGTTAACTCGTAAATGCTTTCCTACGTTTTCAAGCAACATCTGTCCTCAAGCGAGGCCCCGTCAAAACTCGGAGCACATGCGAGGCGGCAGCAGATCCCAAAGTTATCTCTTGACCACGCCACCACACCATGCCAAGGGTCAGGTTTTGGCAGAAAGATTCCTGAACAAGTGCAAACATGCTCTAAGAGCCCATGCTCACATTGTGGCTCACTGAAGTCCAGTGTTATGTTCAGTCCCGGAGCGCAGAGCTGCTCTGCTTCCCCCTCACTCTTGATTAGTGCGCCCACGTCAAACTTGTGGAACATTTGCTCAGCCTCGGCGTGTTCTTGTACAGCGGTGGTGGTGGTGGTGGTGGTGGTGGTGGTGGCGGTGGTGGTAGTGGCGGTGCTGGTGGTCGTGGTGGTGGTTGTTGTTGTGGTTCGTGAGCTTCAGTTCCAACTAGTACAAGTAATGCAACACGGCAGACTGAGACGAGAGCCGCGATCGTGGCGGCAACCTGCTCTTTCATGGGGACCTTCAAGAGCTTGCAGAAGGAAGCTGCGTGCTCAATGAACTCGTTGCACCGATACTTTTTGTGGGCATCCATTACCTTAGCATTGCGTGATGTGATACAGCATGCCAAATTGAAGGACGGAACACACGAAGAACCGCGATTGATGACTCGATTCACAAACATGATGAGATCAAAGTTGTTTTGTACAAACACAGCAGACACATGGAAAGAATTTGTGCATCAGCTCACCGCATGTGCCAGCGCGGTGAAGATCATGGCAATCTCCAAAAAACGTGTTTGGCCAGTTTGTATTGCCAAGGTCGTAGCACGGCCACTCATGTTCGCCTCCATTGTCGCAAAAAAGGGCGTTTTGCGTCTCATTCATAGGCGCATGTTCGTGTCAGAAATGTTACTGTGTTACATCCGCACGACATGTAATGGATATGGCTTACATATATGCAAGTAGACGAAACAAAATGATGCTGCTTCAAACAAAAAGGCAACGATGCCCTTGACTTTTTTGGTCGTCAGATCAGCGCAGAAGTCCAGAAACCTCTCACCTGAACTGCACAAACAACTACACAACTCGAGCCGATGACTCATCACTGCGCACGTAACCTAACACAGCTGACGCTTTAGTGCAAGATTGCACGAAGCCAGTCCGCATGCCATTTTGCACAAGCAGCTTGGAAGCACGAGTGCTTTTAATGTGCAGACAAGCAACAATGATTCACGCCAGGCGGCCACTGGGACACGTACTCGTTCAAGCCCGACAAAGCTTTTGTCGAAAGCATCTGGAGGATGAATAAAGTGAATGAACAACTGGAGCAATGCAAAACCATCACAGTCACAGTCCTCCCAATCATATGCATGCACATACGGCTGAGTGAGGTCCAGAAACTCGATGAATGCTGGCACATTGCAAATCTCATCGTCATCACCGTCCAGGTCACCTCGGACAGGAAGTTAACCCAAGAATACTCAACAAGCGAACGTGTTTAAAAAAAATTCAGCAGAACGCAATTGAACGGACTTCGTGGTCGTCATAGTCATAGACGAGACACCACCAGCGAGTTGGGTGTTGAGCAATCCTTCTCGGCTCAAAAGTATGCAATTGCGTGGAAAGGGCCCCAAGCACCCCTTTGGCTCGACGGCTTCTAGCACGCACATATCACGTGGACTGTGGCAAGGATAGCGCCAGACCTTGGAAAAACAGTCGTCTCAATTAATAGGATGACATGACAAAGTCACAAGAGCTCATGTCCTAACACAGTCACGGAGCGCCAACGGTGCAAACAGGTAACTGCGATCCGGCCAACGAGAAAGGTTTCACCGCTGACGACGATGCACTGGTCCGAGCCAAGCTCGAAGTCGTAGCCAGAAAGTGCTCTGACTCTGACAGCAAGGCCGTCCCTCAGGCACGGCAGATTGTCCGTAAACATTTCGACAGTAGCAAACAGCCTACAACCAGAAACTCGTGATGTTCTAAGAACGTCACCATGTGAGCGTGGGCTTCTCTTGCAACTTCTCGCTGCGCCAAATCATGGCCCTGACGCAGGCATCCGCCGACGCGCGAGTGCCGTTTTTGAGGGCGCACAGTTCCTCATCACAACCTGCAACAACATGCAGTATGCAAAAGGAAGCAAAATAACTCCAAGCCTTTCTCAATGTGGGATCAGGAACAGAAATATGATGTGTGCTTCAAAACACATGTGTGTATATACGTGCATATATCTTTATACATACATATATATATATATGTATAAACGCAGGTAGCCGCATTGTACTGAATCTGTACAAGCTGAGTCAATTTATCATCAAGATTCAGTAGTCACAGTTTACTAAAGAAAACACTCGACTAAGCAGGTCAATCAAGCAACCTTGTTGCAGGAGCTCTTCCAACGGGGTTTCGTTGGCCTCTGCCTTGCAGACATGTTATACACGAACAAGACGCACTACTAGTGCGTTACGTACTTGTTGATGTCAAACGATTGTACACGTCGCACGATCATTGCTTGACTTAGTGGCGGCTTCACTCTCAAGCTGCTTAAGATTGTTCTGAAGGACGGTATACTCATGACGCAATTGTGCCACCTTGGATGTGGCTTGGGAACTGAGTATGTTGATTTCCTCCCTATGAGCCTCCCCTATGGCTCCTACAATTTCCCTATGGCGCGCCTCTGCGGCCATGGCAACGGCTGGCCCAGTGTCGGCGTTGACGTGGATGTCAACCTGGCTCAGCGCCAATTGCCTTGCGTCGACTTGATTCATCTGGAGCTGCCTACGGTCTATGTTCTGGGCATTGAACGTCGGAGAGAACATTGAAGGAGCTCTCTCTGTCGGTGAGTATGCTGGGGTGCTTAGCCCTGGAACCATGTTCCAAGAGTTCATGGAGCCTAGACCTGGAACATTACCAGTGGCAAGGCGTTGCTCGCTAACTGCTCCAACGTGCATGATTCTTGGATCGTTCTGGGCTGCAAGCATTGCCAAGTTCTCTTGGCTGAGCGGCATAACCTCACCATCCCTGGGAGGGTTTGTCGATACAGCTGTAGGTTCCCCTACAACGGGGTTGCTAAGCAGTGACATTGTTTCATCCTCCACAGGTACGGGGATTGCTGCAGCATTTCCGGGAGACTGCCCTTCCATGACACCGGCAGGTAGTGTTAGAGTCTACGGCTGATAACCTATTGTTACCAGCGGAAAGCCCTAAACTCAACAAGTACAGTGCAGCGCACTTTTTGTCTTGAGCCAATGAAAGTAGCGTAAGTATGACGATACAGCTGATATCTTGAAGTATCGACAACCAAAAGCCCCCCCACCCCCCCAAACGGAACAGGGGAGGACACCCCGACAGAAGTTGGAAGCCGCGGCCTGATAAAAAATGGCACATATAGGCTTCTTGAATTGGGTCATTGGGAAGTCCACTGTAGGTAAAGAGCCAAAACGCAAACGCACGCTGAATGCCCGTCCCCAAACCCCCAAAAACTTCGACCATCTAAACCCTAAACTCTATAAACCCTAAACCCCCAAACCCTTAAACCCCCAAACCCAACCCTATAATAAACCCTAATTAAACCCCCAAACCCCAAAACCCAAAACCCCAACACCCGCAAAAACCCAAACCCGCAAACCCAGAAACCCCAAAACCCCAAACCCATAAACCCCCAAAACCCAAAACCCAAAACCCAAAACTCCAAAACCCACAAACCCAAGACCCCAAAAAAACCTAAACCCCCTAAACCCCAAAACCCCCAAAACCCCCATTACACCCAAAACACCCGAAACACCCGAAACACCCAAAACACCCAAAACACCCAAAACACCCAAAACCCAAAACCCCAAAACTCCCAAACCCAAAACCCTAAAACATCTAAACCCTAAACCCTAAACCCCCAAACCCTGAAACCCCTAAACCCCCACGACACCAAAACCACCAAACCCTAAACCCTAAACCCTAAACCCTGAACCCTGAACCCTAAACCCTAAACCCCAAACCCCACCCACCGCGGAGGCCCGGGCGGCTGCCAGTGGGGAAGGCAGCTCAGTCGACTCGGTTCGCTGGCTGGCCTCCTCAAGCTCGGCCTCTGCTTCGTTTAGGGTTTAGGGTTTAGGGTTTTAGGGTTTAGGGTTTAGGGCTTAGGGGTTTATAAGGTTTAGGGTTTAGGGTTTCAGGGTTTAGGGTTTAAGGGTTTAGGGTTTTAGGGTTTTGAGGTTTAGGGTTTAGGGTTTAGGATCCAGGGTAAGGGTTTAGGGTCTGCGGTTTAGGGGCCTGTATATGGGCTTCAGAGGTGTATTTGTTAGGTTTAGGGCAAGGGCTGTAGGGTTTCATTCCAGGGTTTCACTTTACAGGATGGGGGATGAGAAACAAACTAAGAGCTCCTGGTAGGTGTAGGGTTTAGGGCAGTTTAGGGTTTAGGGTTTAAGGTTTAAGGTTAGGGGCATACGTAGGGCCCCTGAACTCCCCGAGTTCCTACAGAACAATTTCCGAGGACCCTGAAATCCTATACAGGCCCGACACAACCCAAATCTAGCGTTTAGGGTTTTGGGTTTAGGGTGCAAGCCCTGACCCTACAAAATCTGGACTCGCTCCTCTCCCCTGAACCCATGAAACCCCTGAACGCCTAAACCCCATGCCAAAAGGACCCCGCGCACAGAGCCCACAAACCCTGAAACCCTTAACCCCCTCAAACCCCTGAACCACCAAACCCGGAACCTACTGAGCCCCGCCCCCCCCCCCCCCCCCCCCCCCCCCAAAAAAAAAAACTATAAAGCCTAAACCCCCAAAAGCCCCTAGAAAACCGCTAACCCCCTAAACCCCTACCTGAGACTTATGGGTCATACCTACTAAGGAAGGGGTAGCTACTGCTAAACTGTAGGTAAGGCCCCCGGTAAACCCTACAAACCCTCAACCCGGAACCCCCCCTGAAAGTCTCCCCAATAGCGTCAACAACCCTATAAAACACCCCAAACCCTCCTAGAAACCCCTCAACCCTTGTAAAAGTCCAACCCTAAACCCTAAACCCTAAACCCTAAACACTAAACCCTAAACTCCCCCCAAAAAAGTTGGGGGCCCTGGCCACCCCAAAGAGTTGGTTGGCCAGCTCGGTCAAGCTCGCCGGTCCACCTCCCGGCACCGCGGCTTTTTTGAAGGGCTTAGGGTTTAGGGTTTATGGTTTAGGGCTTAGGGTTTAGGGTTTAGGGTTTAGGGTTTAGGGTTTAGGGTTTAGGGTTTTAGGGTTTAGGGTTTGTTACGGCTTTCTTAGGGCTTTTTGGAGGCCCATTTTAAAAGTAGTTTGTTTTCAGGGTTTTTGTTGAAGTGTTGTGTTGAGGTTGAGTCTGTTTTTTGCTTTTTTTCGGGTGTTTGTCTAAGGCTTTTTTGAGGAGCTTCATAAGGACATTTTTTAGAGCGTTTTGTCTAAGGTATTTGTAAGGGCTGCATTTAGGGTTTGGTAGGGCTTTGTTTGAGGGTTTTGAAAATGCTTTTGAGGTTATGGTTTTAAAGGCTGCTTAAGGTGCATTTTAGCGTGTTCTAGGGCTTTTTGAGGCATATTTCAGGGGTTTTACGGCTTGTTTAGGGTAGTTGTATTTTGTTCTGTTCAAGAGCTTTTGGGGGTGTTAAGGGTCTTCTGGGTATAGGGATTGTGTTTAGGGTTTTGGGTTCAGGGGTTGAGGTCTTGAGGGTTTTTTGTGGGGGTATAGGGATTTGTCTTGTCGTTTTAGGTCTCAGGGTTTGATTTGGGGCTTTAAGGGTCGAAGGGGTTTACGGAACCTTCGACCCTAAACCCTAAACTCTAAACTGAGTTGCGCTTTAAACCCTTTGAAAATGTTTTATGAAGAGGTTCCCTTCTAAAGAAAGAAGGGAAAGTAAACATTATCCCAAAGCACAACCCAGTAAACCCCTTGACCCTAAACCCCTAGGCCTTGAACCCCTAGACCCTGAACCCCTACACCCCTAAACCCTAAGCCCCTGAACCCCTAAACCCAAAACCCCTAAACCCCTAAACCCTAAACCCTAAACCCTAAACCCCTAAACCCCTAAACCCCGAACCCTCAACCCCTGAACCCCAAACCGCATGGCTTTGGGTACCCAGAGGCTCCCACACCCCTTAACTAAGGAATATATATTCCTTGAGCCATACAAGCAACCTCTTATCTTTTAAGGAATGTTCCTTTAGGGTTTAGGGTTTAGGATTTAGGGTTTAGGGTTTAGGGTTTACGGTTTAGGGTATGGGAGTTTGAGAGTTTGGGTTTCAGCCCTTCCTGGGGCCTCCATGCCAGAGATGCAGGATTCAGGGGTTGGCAAGCAAGCAAACCCTAAGCCCTCAGCCCTAAGCCCTAAGCCCTAAGCCCTAAACCCTAAACCCTAAACCCTAAACGCTAAACCCTAAACCCTAAACCCTAAACCCTAAACCCTACACCGTAATCACCCTAAACCCTAGACGCAAAAGGCCATGGTGTGTCAAGGGTAGGATCTTTGCTCGTTTCAGCACCGGGCAAGGAGAAGGTAACAAGGCCGAGGAACTGTTCGATCTCTTTCCTTCGGATAACATTTAATATAGGGGCCTTAATAATGAGAATAGGGTTTTTGGGGGTTATTGGAGTATAATTACACAAAGGGACCATAAGGGAATACCATTAAATCAGAATTTCTGTCCGACCCCTATATATTACTTAGGGTTTTGGGGGGGTTACTATAGAAAAACTACGGGACCATAAGGGAATACTATGAAATTCCTAACTCTTCCGACCCCTATAGCACTTAAAACGGATGCTACCTGACCTGGAAAGCCCGGCCGCAGCGCCCCCCCTTGCTGCTTCTGCTCCTGGTCCCGCAAACCCTAAACCCTAAACCCTAAACCCTAAACCCTAAACCTCAAACCCTGAACCCTGAACCCTAACCCTGAACCCTAGATCCTGCGACCCCGTAACAACCAAATTGAGCCTTACCACCGAGCAGCCCGAAACGCGAAAACCCCGTAACCCTAAACCGTTTGACCCTGTAGCCCTAAACCCTAACCCCTAAACTCTGTAACCCTAAACCGTGTATCCCCAAACCCTAAACCCTGAACCCTAAACCCTAAACCACAGCCTAAACCCTAAATCCCCAAACCCTAAACTCGACCCAGTTGCCTCCGTCCTCGGGGGAGTCTGGCTCCTGAGCTCGGGGTTTAGGGTTTAGGGTTTAGGGTTTAGGGTTTAGGGTTTAGGGTTTAGGGTTTAGGGCTTAGGGTTTAGGGTTTGGGAGTTTCGGGCTTATGAGTTTAGGGCTTCAGGGTTTAGTCGGGTTTAGGGGCTTCCGTGCTTCAGGGTTAAGGTTAAGGGTTTAGGGTCTGTAGGGCCTTCCCCGGTTGCCTTTTCGCAGGATCCCCCTGTTGCCTTCGAGGATTTGGCCTCAGACTAGGCGTGATTTGGTTTAGGGCCTAACCTAAACCCTAAACCCTAAACCCGAAACCCTAAACCTTTGCATTCAAGCAGAATTCCCGAGAAACCTTGTGGGTGTAGGGGAAGGGATGGAGTGCAAGGATCCCCCGTTAGTCACGTCGACATTGCATCCAACACCACGGTCGCGGGTGGGGTTTAAGTGGTAAACCCTAAACCCTCAACCCTATAAACCCTATAAACCTATACAATTACAACCACCTATGCAGGTCCATGGACCATAACCGCCTTTTAGCGGTGGACAGGGCGTTAAGGGGGGGTTGCTTTCGGGGTTTAGGGTTTGTACGGTTGGGATGTCTCCTCTTATACTAACTAACAGCTTCCTCAATAGGGATTGTAGAACCCGCTCACCCTCAACCCTCAACCCTCAACCCTAAACCCTGAACCCCAAACCCTAAACCCCAAACCCCAAACCCTAAACCCTAAACCCTAAACCCTAAACCCTAAACCGAACATCCCAAGTTTAAGGCTTGTGGGGTTCAGGGTTTCTCGGCCTCCTCCGCTGCTGCGTCTGGAGCGGCACGTAGGGCCAAGGCCTTGGATCGTTCAGGGTGAAGCGGATTGGGGCTTAGGGTTTTTAGGGTTTAGGGTTTAGGATTTAGGGTTTAGGGCTACAGGCTTCAGGGCTTAGGGTTTTAGGGTTTAGGATTTCGGGTTTAGGGTACCAACTAAGCTTCCCTAAGGTTCCCTGGGTACCTACCCCCCAAACCCCCCTCCTTTAAGAACCCTATAACCATAGCCAGGGAGCATTTAACAAACCCTAAACCCTAACCCTCAACCCTAAACCCTGAACCTCCGACACACAAAAACCCACAGCGCTTGCTCAGGGCCTGGCGACCTCCCTGGCCCGCGCTTCGTTGGGAGCAGGCTCGGCCTCTACAGAGATCTGGGGTTTAGGGTTTAGGGTTTAGGATTTAGGATTTAGGGTTTAGGGTTTAGGATTTAGGGCTTAGGGTTTAGATTTTTTTGGGGGGTTAGGGTTTAGAGTTCAGCTTTTTGTTGGGTTTTAAGGTTTAGGAGGGGGGATCCTAAGGGACCCACCCGCAAAGCATCCCCCAGGATCGCAAAGGCCACATTTGCCCAGATGATCGACTTTGCAAACTCTCAACCCCACAGCCCCCCTAAACCCTAGACCTAAAAGCTAAAAAACCCTAAGACCCTAAGACCCTAAAACCCTAAAACCCTAAAACCCCTAAAACCCAAACCCGGACCCTAAAACCCTATATCCCTAAATCCCTAAAACCATAAATCCCCTAAAAAACCCAAGACCCAAACCCGGGTCCTAAACTATCCCACTCTCGGTGCGCGACGGCCGGAAGAAGCAGCTGTCGCTTCTCCTCCGCAGTTGTCTCCACAGGGGGCCTGACAGAAATGACCAGATCGACGGGCTAAGGAGGGCTGTGAGGAGGGTTTGGGAGGGCTTAGGAGGGCTTAGGAGGGTTTCGGAGGGTTTAGGAGGGTTTCGGAGGGTCAGGGTGTGGGGTTTAATTAGGGTTTAGGGCTTAGGAGGATTGAGGAGGGCTCACCTTCAAGTAGGGAAGAGGCGGGTTCAAGGGATTCCCCGGCTGGCTTTCGGTGCGTACGTATCCAGACCCTTAAAGCCCTAAACCCTAGCAACCTCGAAAGTGACCTGTTTCTAGACCCAGGAGTAACCCCGGAATAAAGAAGGGTAGCCTTTTGGGCTTGAAGGGGCTTGCCAGGGAACCTAAAGCCTAAGAAAGGGGGAATAAGGGCCTCCTGCGGGTCCGAGGTTCTTATGTCTTTTCTACGCACATCCGTAAACCCTAAACCCTAAACCCTAAACCCGAAACCCTAAACCCTAAACCCCATGGTGCCCTCACATCGGAATCGATGTCTCTGCCCACAGGCGGTGGCTTTGTGCTGGTCAACGCTGGCTCTCGGCGCAGGATGGATCCACCAAAGGTCACGGATGCGCCCCTCTCTTCTGGCTTCACTCCGGAAGATGCAAATGGTCCTAGGACATGGAGTACGTAGGCCCTTATTCCCCTTTTCTGAGGTTTTAGGTTCCCTTGAACCAACAAGCAGGGCAAGTGCACCTGGTGGCCGAACACCGCAGCTCCTCCATCCTCAGCCTGATAATTGCCAAGTTTGAGGTCCCTCAACCCAACGACCCAAACCCTGAACCCTAAACCCTAAACCCTAAACCCTAAGCCCTAAACCCTAAACCCTAAACCCTAAGCCCTAAACCCTAAACCCTAAACCCCATCCTGGCGCGAGCATTCCTGCCTGCAACACCCTAGGGAAGGTGCAGTGGCCGGACTCAGAGCCAGGGGGACCCAAGAGGACCATGTAAACTCTTCGACCCAGAAAAGAGTTTAGGGTGTAGGGTTTAGGGCTTAGGATGGTTTAGGGTTTAGGGTTTAAGCTCGGAATCGTCGAATCGAAGATGAGCTCCCTGCTGAGGCCGTTCTGTGAGTAGATCTAGCGCAGACAAGAACCCTTGCTTGCAGAATGAGGTGTCTGAGGGAGCCCCCCTGCCCCCCCCCCCCCCCCCCGCCCAGAAAAATGGGAATGGGTGCTCACTGAACCCTAAGCCTACATTCCCTAACCCAAAACACATAAAACCCCGAACCCCATTCCCTGGACCCAAACCCTAAGCCCCAAAAACCGAAAACCCATAACCCCCAAAACCCATAACCCCCAAAACTCTAAACCCCCAAACACCCCAGCCCCCAAACCCTAAACCCTAAACCCTAAACCCTAAACCCTAAACCCTCAACCCTAAACCCTAAACCCTAAACCCTAAGCCCTAAGCCCTAAACCCAACCACCTCCTGGGCCCCACCGTGGCCTGGCCGACCCGTCCAGAGTCGTAGTTTGGGGACGGAGGCCCTGCGCTTCATTCTATTTACTTACATTCTTGGTATTGCAATACATATATGTATATGTATATGTATACAGATTATGAGGGTTTGGGGAAGGCTGGGGGAAGGGGTTTAGGGTTTGGAGTTTGTAGGTCTGGGGTCGGCATCTTTTAGAGAGTAGGGTTTCGGGTTTAGGGTTTTAGGGCTTAGGGTTTAGGTTTGGGGTTTAGAGTAGCCTTCGGACAGGTTCACTTGCACGGATGTAGGATGGGATGGCCCAAGGAAAGTGCACCCCAGGCTCACGTCACGTGAGGCCACTATACTCAACCCGAAGAGGCCCCCAAACCCTAAACCCTAAACCCTAAACCCTAAACCCTAAACCCTAAACCCTAAACACTAAACCCTAAACCCTAAACCCTAAACCCTAGACCCTAGACCCTAGACCCTAAACCCTGGAACCCAAGACCGGCTTCGTTTCAGGCCTCCGTTGACGAGGAGGCCGCTGAGGAGGAGGCAGCAGCGGCTCCTACCCCGGCCTCCCAATTTAGGGTTTAGGGTTTAGGGTTTGGGGTTTGGGGTTTGGGGTTTGGGGTTTGGGGTTTGGGGTTTGGGGTTTGGGGTTTGGGGTTTGGGTTTAGGGTTAGGGTTGGACTCTACAATCTAGGGTTCTTAGGGTTATAGGGCTTTAAGGTCTAGGGCTTAGAGGTTGAGGGGGTTTAGGGTTTAGGGTTTAGGGTTTCGGGTTTTTTTTTGCTTACTGTCTGAGGAATAACTCCTATGCAAGGCTTGGTACAAGGAAGGGTAGCGTAGAACCTTGACCATCCGCCAGCCGGGAGTCTAGGGTTTAGGGTTTAGGGTTTAGGGTTTATACCGGAAATTACTGCAGGGATCCCAGGAAATTTAGGGTTTAAGGTTTAGGGTCCAAGGCGCATTCCTTGATGAAGGGGTGCTTGGGTATGCAGTAGCGCAGTTAAGCCCTGAACAACCCAGCTTGTTGGAAACCCAAAGACCTCGACCCTAAACCCTGAAAAGGCTGACCTGCAAACTTTGAACTCCTTTGGGTTTTGGGTTAAGAGTTCAAAAGTATTTTGCCTTGATCCCTAAACCTGAACCCCTAAACCCTTGCATTATATGAGGCATTGGCTCGAAACCCTGATTCTGCATCCGCACCTCAGCCGTAGCCGACGCAAGACCACGCTTCTTGGCCTTCGCGTGGTAGGGCTTTTTGAGCTTTGGATTGGGTGGAGGGGCGTTCAGGGGGTTTCGGGGTCTAGGGTTTAGGCTCGGGGGTTTTGGATAGGGTTTATATAGGGGCTTTCAGGGGGGGGGGGGGGGGGGGGGGGGGGGGTTTTGGGTTTTTGGCTTTGGATTGGGTTTAGGGGTTGAGGAGGGCTTGGGTTTAGGGTTTTGGGGCTTCAGGGCTTTCGCGCTTAAAGGCCACCATGTTTGGAGCACCCCACGCCTTAGGACAGGTATGCAACGCCGAGGAACCCGAGCCCCTCCTGAAAACCCGAAACCTTAAGCCCAAACCCTAAGGGTTTCGGGTTTAGGGTTTAGGGTTTAGGGTTTCGGGTGTAGGGTTTAGGGTGTAAACCTTAAACCCGAATGCCTAAGCCCCAAACCCCAATCGCCCAGGGCCTTGTCGGAGTTCAGAAAGCCAGTCTTCATGCCGCGAAACGCGCTTCCCGCGGGCGGCGCCGACTGAGAGGGGGGTTTGGGGTCGGCTTTGCAAGGTCTGGCTTACAAGGAACTCTTGGGGCCTGAATCATCATCATCATCATCATCATCATCATCACACCGCCTTCGTGTTCATGTGAGACGAACGCAACGTAGCGCAGCACCACTTCTGGATACTGACCGACAAGCGTCCAGAGCTTGCGTGCCCTGCTCTTGGGGCCTGAATAACTAGAATAGCGTGGGGGTTGTTATAATGTACTCACAAAGGAGCATGAGGGGATACTATTGTAGTAATGATTCCGACCCCTAGATTACAAGGTTTTAAGTTTTGGGGTTGCGGGGGTGGAGGATTAGGGACTTGTAGGGCTTGTGTTGCTTGCATGGGGTGTGTTCTAAGTTTCAAGGACTTCGTCGATACTATCGGGCCTGCAAGGCGTATAGGGTTCCCTTCCAAGGTGCAAAGAACAAGAAGCCACAACCATCAAAATACTGTGCCTTGGAGCCTTAGAGGGCAGGCTCTGTAGGGCTTCGGGGCAACTCCGAGGGAGGGGTTTAGGGTTTAGGGTTTAGGGTTTAGGGTTTAGGGTTTAGGGTTTAGGGTTTAGGGTTTAGGGTTTAGGGTTTAGGGTTTAGGGTTTAGGGTTTAGGGTTTAGGGTCTAGGGTCCATTGTTTAGGATTTAGGGTTTAGCGTTAGGGTTTAGGAATTAGGGTTTGGGGTTTAGGGGGGGGGGGGGGGGGGTGGTTAGGATTCTGGATTCATCAGCTTTTAGGGCTTAGGGTTGAAGAGTCCTGGAACCCTATAAAACCCTAAACCCTAAACCCCAAACCCTGCCTGGACCTGCTCTTTGGCAGGCGCCACTTTCAACACATCCTCGTCCAGGGCCAGGAAGCTTTTCTCCTTCGCGCGGCTCCGAAACCCTCAGCAAGCCCGAAAACCCAAAACCATTAACCCCAATCATAACTGTACTTATAACCCAATTATAACCCTATTAGGGTGCTTTAGGGGCTGATAAGTGGGTTCTAACTGCACTTATAGTTGGGTTATAAGTACCCTGAACCTCCAAGTACCCCCTAATAAGCGCTCTAAACTCCCACACACCTAAGCCTATGCCATTGCGCGCCTTTCGGGCGGCGTTGGCGGGCGGGCGTGGTGCACCCATCCTGGGGGGTTGAGGGTGTAGGGTTTTAGGGTTTGGGGTTTTTGGTTTTGTGTGTACAGTTTAGGGTTTACGGGGCGCATGGGCGGAGAAAACAGGGTTGTTGCTAAGCCCGCAAGGAGAAGCGTAAACCCCTGGCAAGCCCTAAACCCACAGACGTTGTAGGCTATCCCTGAGACCTTTTCTACCTACTGTTTTATGGGTTCTACCTACGAATTAAAGGGTGGCTACTAAAGAATCCACGTTGGCCACCCCCCCGGCCCCATGCAAAAGGAAGCAACCCTTAACCCTAACTGCGGAGTCCGAATTGAACCGTCAACCCTAAACTACAAATTGCCTAAGAAACCCGAAAAAAATGTTCTAGGCTTTTGATTCTTAAGCAAATAGTAGTAGAATTCCTAGGGCAAGGAGGTTTCTCAAGGTGTACCTGGCCTCGAACTACTCAAACTACCCAAGTCTTGGGCCACTCCCATCTACTCTTCCAGGACACCCCCCTCGACAAAAAAACACAAAAGTGCCTGGAGTAAGTTACTTGAGCCTCAGCCCAGTGCCTCGTAGCGCCCCCCCCCCCCCCCCCCCCCCCCCCCCCCCCCTACCAACCCAAAACCTTAAACTTAGGGTTTAGGGTTTAGGGTTTAGGGTTTAGGGTTTAGGGTTTAGGGTTTAGGGTTTAGGGTTTAGGGTTTAGGGTTTAGGGTTTAGGGTTTAGGGTTTAGGGCCAAAACCCCAAAACCCAAACTCTTGATCCCTGCAGGGTTTCTGGTTGTAATATCGGACTCGCACGTTCGTTTTCCAGCACATGGCCATCGACTCTGGAAGTAACATCTCAAAGGCTTAGGGTTTGGGGCAATGGGTAAGGCCCTTTCAGCCTACTGTTGCCCTTGTGATTCCTAAACTCCAATCTCCCAAAGATAAAGGTTGGGGGTTTAGGGTTTAGGGTTTAGGAAGGTTCCACCAGCATCTGTTTTCTTGATGTATCCTGTCCCAGCTCAGTAGAAAACCCTGGTCATCCGTGGTCCTTAGGGGTTATTTGGGGGTGATTTAGAAGCTACATACTTAAGTATGTAGGGTATACGTAAGGTATATATATATATGTATATATATATATATACATAGGGATTTTATAGGGAAATCAGATTAACGGTCCCTTCTAGAGGTCCCTCCTTGTACCCCTCAATCAGATTAAACCCCTAAGCCCCTAAACACGCAAACCCTCCTGAACTCTAAACCCTATTTCCACCCTAGACCCTGAAGCCCTACCCACCCAAATGCCTTAAACCCTAAACCCCTAAACCCCCAAAACCCTAAACCCTAAACCCTAAACCCCTCAACACCCCAAACCCTGAGACTCCCGGCTCAAGCTTCACTTCCTTGATCTTGTCGTTGTATTGACGGATGCTGTCGACCATCCTCGACGCTTGCACAGTTTAGGGTTTAGGGTTTAGGGTTTAGGGTCTAGGGTTTAGGGTTTAGGGTTTAGGGTTTAGGGTTTAGGGTTTAGGGTTTAGGGCAAGTTTAGGGTTTAGGGTTTAGGGTTTAGGGTACAGGCTTAGGGGCTCACGGGTTTAGAGGTTTAGAGGGTTTAGTCTGGTTTAGTCTGGATTGGGGTAGGGCGGAGGGCTCGGGTGCTGAGGGTTTAAGGTTTAGTGGTTTGGGAAAAATCGGGTTTAGGATTTAGGGTTTCGGGGCCTGTTGGCTGGAAGATCAGAATTAGTGGGTTTCGGGGTTTAAGGTTTAGGGTTTGGGGAAGGTTCTCTTGCCGTACAATGGACCCCGAACCCTAAACCCTAAACCCTAAACCCTAAACCCTAAACCCTAAACCCTAAACCCTAAACCCTAAACCCTCTAAGCCCCAAGAAGAGTTCGACCCGCCCACCGAGAGCCACTTGGTCCAGGGCGACCCTAAAAACCCTCAGCCCTGATTTCTAAATCCTAACCGTGGGGATGTTCCCCCTTCCCAGAGACTCCAAAACCCCTTAATTAAGGAGTATACCTTAAATTATAATAGGAACCCTAATATGATTTAAGGTATATTCCTTAATTAAGGGGTTTTGGAGTCTCTGGGTTATACTAGCACTCCTTACTGTAGTAGGGATTCTTTCTACCCCTATGATGATCGCCATTAAGGACGGTTAGTCTAAGGGGGAACATCCCAACCCTAACCCCTACACCCTACACACAAAAAAACCTCGGAACATTTCCGGCGGTTGGGCTCCTTGGAATGATTTGGTGCTTGTTTTTTCGGGGGGTGAACAAACATGAGCCCGGAGAACGGGATCCTATACCCAAAGTGACCCCTAAACCCTAAACCCTAAATCCTAAACTCTAAACCCTATACCCTATAAACCCTAAACCCTAAACCCCAAAAGCCCCAAACCCACGAATACATGGGCCCTTAGCCTGAAGGCGCTAAGGACGCGTGGCGGCGAAGCCCCACTAGCAGCTATTTTTCTAGTGTATAGGGTTTAGGGGTGCTTATAATGAGAATAGGGTTTTGGGGGATTATAGAGGGACCATACGGGAATAAAATAGTCCGACCGCTATGTTTTCTTTCTACATGCTCTCCCCGCCCTAAAGGTCACAAACCCTAAACCCTCAAGGGCCCAAATCCTGAACCCCATACCGTAGTAGCCCATTTAGTCGGCCCTACACCCTAAACCCCAAACCCTAAACTCTAAACCCTAAAACCCTAACCCCCAACCCTGAACCCTATAAACCCTAAACTGACCATACTCAGCCTGGGTAGCAGTTCCTCGCGGCTGTGCCGCGCCTCCTTGTCCAAGCTGCACCTCCCGAGAAGCGGAGGGTTTGGGGTTTAGGTTTCGGGCTTAGGGTTTGGGGTTGAGGGTTTGGGGTTTAGGGTTTAGGGATTGGGGTTGAGGGTTTGGAGTTTAGGACGTTTTAGTGCTCTGGCTTGAGGGCTGAAGATGAGGGACCCCAAAGTTTTGCAGCAATTTTGGGGTCTGGGGTATCGGGTTTGAGGAAACGCCCTGGACTGTTAAAGCCCTGAAGCCCTAAACCTTTCACCCGAAACCCTAAACCCTAAACCCTAGACCCTAAACCCTAGACATGCCATGCAACACGTTCGTCACAGCAGGCGCAACGGGTTTGTCCGCGTCCTTCTCCGGCACCGGCCTGTGCGCTGTTCCTTTCGCAGGCAGAAACGTGTCCTCCACAACGAGCCACGCGTCATACGACGCGGGGAGCTCCCTGTTTCCATGGACGGAAGACAAGTCCAGCCTGACGTGGACCAGCCTGCAGTCTAAGTTGTGCGCTGCCAACTTGTCCTCAATGAGGCGGTAATCCTTCTTCAGGCTTGCCCCATTTTTCGAGTCTTAGGGCTTAGGATGCTAGGGTCTTGTCGGGGGTTTAGGGTTTAGGGTTTAGGGTTTAGGGTTTAGGGTTTAGGGTTTAGGGCTTAGGGAAGCTTCCAGCACTACAGCTTGTGTTGGCTCTCCAGCTCCTGTTCCAACAGAATAAGTCCAGCACTCTGGTTGGGCCACGGTCCCAGACAGAGGAAGGTCACACTGCTGCCCTTCTTCTTCACAATCAGATCAAACTCACTGACGCTGGAGCAACAGCTTCTGCTCCGCCACTGAGTTCAGCGGGCTGTAAGTTGGCCACGTCTGACACTGCATCACCTCCTTGAATTTGGGCGACGACGCTTCCAGACGCTTTGTGTGATGGACACTTGCTGGCATGGGCCAATGCTGACTCTGGAAGCATCCGGCACCATCTTTTTATACCCGAATCCTTCCAAAATCTGGGTGTTGGACAGCTGTGACCAGCTGACACTGACGCTGAACTCATGGGTTAAGGGTTCTACGGTTTAGGGCTTGGGTTTTGGGTTTAAGTTTTCAGGGTTTGCGTGTTTTTGGGTTTTAGGCATTAGGGTGTATGTATATATATATATAGAGAGAGAGAGAGGTTTTAGGGCTTAGGGTTTCAGAGTTTAAGGGTTTTAGGTGGCTGGGTTAGACGGCTGGCCCCTTAAAAACCCGATGACAAAAATTCCTGAATAGGGTCCTCCTAAACCCAATGACGGAACCAAAAAAGGGAAAATTCAGAATATCTCAAGGATCCACCCAACTTGATTAAGCAAGTAGGGAATGTCATTCGTACACCCCCAACAGAGTTTAGGGTTGCAGGGCTTAAGGCTCTACACCCCCCAATGCCCTGAATTAAGAAAAGCGAAACGCCAAGTCCTAATACCGAAAACCCTCAATTGAGGTGTCTTGCGCTCTCTGGGTCCTCCAGCTCAAAACTCCAAACCATAAATAACCCCTATGCCCGAAACCCTTAAACCCTTGAATCCGGAGACCCAAAACCCTTAAGCCCAGAAGCCCTAAACAAACCCTAGAGGCCCAAAGCCCTAAAAAGGCCCTAATGGCCCCAAAAGCCGTAAATCCCTAAACCCTGAACCCCAAACCCAAAACATCCCAAAACCCACCCCAAACCCCAAAGCCTAAACCCCAAACCCCAAACCCTAAACCCTCTGGGCCCCAACCCCCCCCCCCCCCCTGGGTCTACCGGCTCGCGCAGCAGCACCCGCTCTTTGGCGAAGCGGCTGCGGGATGGGTGGAAGATGAACCTGGAGATGTCACTGTTTGGGGGGTGGGGTTTAGGGTTTAGGGTTTAGGGTTTAGGGTTTAGGGTTTAGGGTTTAGGGTTTAGGGTTTAGGGTTTAGGGTTCAGGGTTCAGGGTTTACGGTTTAGGGTTTAGGGTTTTGGTTTAGGGTTTAGGGTTTAGGTTTTAGGGTTTAGGGTTTTAGGGTTTAGGGTCCAGGGTTTAGGGTTTGGGGTGGCTTCTAGGGAAGCTCATGAGAGATTTGGCGGGGAACCCTGGGTGTAGGGTTTAGGGTCTTAGGGTCTTAGGGTCTTAGGGTCTTAGGGTCTTAGGGTCTTAGGGTCTGGTCTTAGGGTCTTAGGGTCTTAGGGTCTTAGGGTCTTAGGGTCTTAGGGTCTTAGGGTCTTAGGGTCTTAGGGTCTTAGGGTCTTAGGGTCTTAGGGTCTTAGGGTCTTAGGGTTTAGGGTCTTAGGGTTTAGAGCTTGTAGAGCTTAGGGAAGATTTGGGATCAAGGATCAGGGACGCTCGAGATGTTGGGGGCTTAGAGACGTTCAGGTTCTTTGCGTTTGGCTTTGATACTAGCTTACATATACATGATATCTACATATACGTAATGCACATATAATAATAATAATAATAATAACGATAATAATGATAAAAACCCTAATAAAAATAACAATGAGAATAAACATAAGAACAATAACAATAATAATAATGATAATAATAATTATTATAGTTCTGGCTTCGGGCTTAAGAGGGCTTATGGCTTAGGATGGCATGGTTTAGGCGTTTGCGGGAAAATTGGGATTGAAGGGGGGCAAGGACTGGCACAACATGGGCCACCACCCCTAAGGGTTTAGGGTTCAGGGTTTAGGGTTTCGGGTTTAGGGTTTGGGGTTTAGGGTTTAGGGTTTAACGCCCCGCAATGGAACTTGTCATCGGGGCATTTTGAGAAAGCCCTAAACCCTAAATCCTAAACCCTAAGCCCTGAACCCTTGAAGTTTCCATTCTCTTGTGTCACGTGTCCGTGTTGGGTAGGAGTATATTTGGACCGACAGCCGAGATTCGTGTACAAGTCGCTGCATAGTGACCTTTGTGCATCTCACCACGGGTAGAAGCCCTAAACCCCTAAACCCAGATTACAGCATAACCCCTAAACCCTAACGAAACCCTTAACCCAAAAAACTCAAATTAAGCCCCTTAAACCCAAATGATACTCCTAGACCCCGAATTAAACCCCTAATTAGACCCCTAAACCCTCACAAAACTCCAAAACTCCTAAACCCCAAATTGGACCCCTAAAACCTCCTGAAACCCCTAAACCCACAATTAGGCCCCTAAACCTGGCACACAAATGGAGTTGCGAGCCCAGATGCTCGCTGAGCAGGTGGCCACTTAAGAGAAGTCCCCACCGTAACCCCTGGGTTCAGGGTTTAGGGTTCAGGCTCTAGGGCGGATAGGGTACTTAGGTAGATCCAACACCCCAGAATCTTGACTCCAAAAGTCCTAAACTCTACACTCTAAACGCCTAAACCCCTAACTTTCAAGCCCTAAACCCTAAACCCTAACCCCAAAAACCCCGAACGCTAAACCCTGAAGCACTGAACCCCGAAGGCCAATGACCGGCCAGGGGGCTCCAAGGCCACCCGAAGAAGGCTCTCCGTCTGCGCATTGGGAACTCCAATAGAGTTTAGGGTTTAGGGTTTCGGGTTTGGGGTTTAGGGTTTAGGGTTTGGGGTTTGCGGTTTAAGTTTTTAGGGTTTAGGGGTAAGGAAACCGGTTTGGAGGGAGGTGGGTGTAGTGGGGTTGAGGGTTCAGGGTTTCATCAGCGTGTTTTTGTTTTTTTGTTTTTCGGTTTGCGGTGTTCAATTCAGGGTCCCTAAAATCCTGAACCCAAAGCTCTCAGGATTAGATGCCCTAGTGAAGATGCTGTGTTCCGGCTCTACAAGACTGACTTGTGCTTTAATCCCCTGTAACTATTCTTTATGAATAGGTTCCCTTATAGGGAAAGGGGGGGGGAATTAAGAAATATCCAGAAGCACAAGTCAGTCTAAAGCCACAACCCTAAACCCTAAACCCTAAACCCTAAACCCTAAACCCTAAATCCTAAACCCTAAACCCTAACCCTCAACCCGGAAGCACACTCTGCGGATCCGCTCTGCAGAACGAATGGCTACACATGCGAGGGCTCCAGGTGTGGGGATTTTAGGGTTTAGGGTTTGGGATGGCTTAGGTTTAGGGTTTGGGATGGTTTAGGGTTTAGGGTTTAGGGTTTAGGGTTTAGGGTTTAGGGTTTAGGGTTTAGGGTTAGGGCCTAGGACTTAGGGCTGGAGGAACTTAGGGTGGCGGCCTGCGCGGCTTGGAACTTAGAGGGGCTTCATTGGAGCTTGACTTGCTCACATCGAAAGCCGGCTTAGGGTTTAGGGTTTAGGGTTTAGGGTTTAGGGTTTAGGGTTTAGGGTTTAGGGTTTAGGGTTTAGGGTTTAGGGTTTAGGGTTTAGGGTTTAGGGTTTGGGGTTTGGGGTTTAGGGTTTCGGGTTTAGGGTCCGCCGACCCTGGCGGCGTGTTGGATGGGTTTGAGGAGGTGAAAACCTCCCTCTTTCCCTCCTTACCCCCCCAAAACGCGGGGGTGGGGGGGGTCGGTGCACAATTTTTTCGTGGAGGACCGCGCCACCCGCACAGCGTAAACAGGCGGTTCAGCACAGGGGGGTAGGGGCGCCCTCAGCAAAATCAGCGTTTTCCGCCTCACCCCCCCCCCCCCCCCCCCCCCCCCCCCCCCCCCCCCCCCCCCCCCCCCCCCCCCCCCCCCCCCCCCCCCCCCCCCCCCCCCCCCCCCCCCCCCCCCCCCCCCCCCCCCCCCCCCCCCCCCCCCCCCCCCCCCCCCCCCCCCCCCCCCCCCCCCCCCCCCCCCCCACCCCCCCCCCCCCCCCCCCCCCCCCCCCCCCCCCCCCCCACCCCCACCCACCTGTCTTTTTGGCTTGAGCTTGTCCTGGTGCTACCCCCTACCCCCCCCCAAACGATTCACAGAACTCTGCCGGAGATGATCTTCCATGCGAGCGGGTCTCAACTATGCTCCAGCGGGGTCGGCGGCTTGAGCCGGAGGCTCTTAAATTTTGGGTTTTGGGCTTAGGGTTTAGGGTTTAGGCGGTCGCACCAGGTGTTGCGCCAGCGCGTCCGACGCGGGATCCTCCACGTAGTAGCGCCTTCCGCTGCAGGTGCCCTGAACCCTAAACCCTAAACCCTAAACCCTAAACCCTAAACCCTAAACCCTAAACCCTAAACCCTAAACCCGGAATGCCGGCCTAGTCACGCAGTGCTTTGAAGCCAAAGATTCCATGATTGTGCATGTTTTGGGGCACCACCCCTAAATCCCTAAACCCTAACCCCTACACCCCCAAACCCTGAAACTACTTGTGACCCTGAACCCCTAGACCCCGACACCACCTCAAACCCCCAAACCACTAAACCCCTAAACCCCTGAACCCCTAAACCCCTAGGGCTCTTCTCGGCTTATTTCGCAGGGTGGTGGGAGGAAATCATGAGTAGGCAGGTCGATTGCGAAAAGGTCGAGGAAGGGCCAAGTGCGAAACAAAGCTGCCCTGGGCAATGCCGGAACTGCAAGTGGCGTAGCGGTCAGCAAGATGTAGTCCCCATCCTGCAGGGGGCCCGCTAAAGCAGCTGCAGGAATGCCGTTGACAAAGGCAGTGGCTCCATTGGCCCGATCTACCTCTCGGAGCGAAAGTCTGAGTCGATGGTGGCGTGGCGTAGACCGCCTCCCAGGGGGCGACGGTCCGCCGGGACATGCAAGTGCAGGTCAAGCGGGAACCACAGTGCAAGGATCTCGCTGACTGGCCCTGTCCTGCCCGGATGGGCCTGTGCAAGGCGGAAACTTCCATGCTGTGGTGCATTTCCGCGCACCGCATGTTCATACAGCAAGCTGGCGAACGCTTGCATGAGGGGCTGGTGGCTCCATGTCGTCAGGCTGCACGCCTGCGATGGCGTTGCCAGCGATGGGGAACTTCGAACCCTAAACCCTGCAGCACAAAACCCTGCAACACAAAGCCCGAAACCCCCATCATCCCCGACACCCTGAACCCCTTCCAGCCCCTTCAGCCCCAAACCCGAAACCCTAAACCCTAAACCCTAAACCCTGAACCCTAAACCCTAAATCCCCTAAGCCCTTAGTCCTCGGGTTTTCAGGCTGTAGGGCTGCGAGTTGTTAAGGGCTCGCCGACTGCGGCGGGTTGTTTTTGAGCATTTTTTAGGGTTTAGGGCTTAGGGTTTAGGGTTTAGGGCTTAGGGTCGAGGGTTTAGGGTTTAGGGTTTAGGGTTTAGGGTTTAGGGTTTAGGGCTTTAGGTAGGAAGCCGTTTGGGGTTTAGGGGTACTTTTGGGTCTAGGGTTTCGGGGCCAAAGGTTTTGGGTTTTGTAGGTCTAGGGCTTCCTATAAACCCTCAACCCTCAACCCTCAACTCTCAACCCTGAACCCTAAACCCTAAACCCTAACCCGAAACCCGAAACCCTAAACCCTAAACCCTAAACCCTAAACCCTGAACCCTGAACCCTAAACCCTAAACCCTACCATAGGGGGTTTTAGGGCTCGGAAGCTGTCGCCTTTGGTGCACCCCGATGAACTCCATGGCCTCTCGCGGTTTTAGGGTTTAGGGTTCAGGGTTTAGGGTTTAGGGCTGGGGACGGAAAGGGGGCCGAATACAAGGGCTGCGTTTGTACTTGTCTTGTGTGAGGGGTTTAGGGCTTAGGGCTTAAGGGCTTACCTGTGGGACTCTCTTTACCTACTGTTTTGATTTTATGGGGCTATACCTACTAGTTGAGGCTACTAAACTGTAGGTAAATACAGTCCCACGAAAGGGGGTAAAACCTTAAACCCTATAAACCCTAGTTTGGTCCTCAGGTAAGGATTGTGCCTAAACCCTGAACCCCAAACCCTAGACCCTAAACAAGCTTCCCTAAAGTTCCCTAGCTACCTCCCCCCCCCCCCCCCGAACATGAACCCCCAGCCTTTCAGGACCCCATAACGAAATCAGCTCAGAGGGCTTTGGGAGTCTCGCCTGCTCGGTGCCATCGTCCAAAGTTATGGAGACCTGGCTTTCTTTGTTGGGGGGGTGGGGGGGGGGAGGGGGGAGGGGTTAGGGTTTAGATTTTGGGGTGGGCTTTGAGGTCAATTGCAGCTACGACGCCTGGCCGAAGGGCTTCCAGGTTTGGCTCTTGAAATAGACTTTCTAGAAGTATCCCTGAACCCGAAATTTTAAATCTCATGTGGAGGAACGTTTTGATTCCACGAAAAAAACCAAAATTGTAAACCCTAAACCCTAAACGCTAAACCCTAAACCCTAAACCCTAAACCCAAAACCCTAAATCCAGAAGAACAAAAAAAGATGCTCCCGCGGCACAACATGTCAACTCCTGGTTCATGCGGCCTCCGAGGATTGTCCTCCTTCCGAACACCGAGGAGTTCCCCTACTACCCCGCTCTATTACCCAACTTATTAGGGTTTAGGGTTTAGGGTTTAGGGTTTGGGGTTTAGGGTTTAGCCCGCTCCATACTACCCCCCTCTAGGTTTCCCCCCTATTTTATGCTACTTAGGGATCATTAAGCCTAACTTCATTTATGGGGAAACCGGTAGTAGGGAAACCCAGGATTGAGGGTTTAGAGTTCCATCTTTTCTTTCTTTAGGCCCTACACCCAGGACCGAACAAGAGAAAACCAAAAAAAAAACACTAAATCAAACAGAGGGTTCATGGCCAGTGACCTAGCACAAACAAAGCACCCGGTTTTCGGGTTCGAACCAACTGAACCGTGACAGAAACGCATCAGGCGGCGCCGCAGAAAAAACCTAGACTATCCTCCTTCTTAGAGCCATCATGACCAACAGAGGGTTAAACAAAAATCTCTTTAAAACCCTCTTTTTGTTTAACAACCGTCTTCTGTTTTTTGTAAAAACCTAGACTGTCTAGACTGTCCTCCTTCTGAAAACCATCATGACCAACAAGAACCATCAATTTCCCATGCCTGGGTTGTCTGTCAGATTTGTGCGTCAAATCCTCAGGAAACGAATTATTGCGGAGACGCCTCTTCCCCCCCCCCCCCTAAACCCTAAACCCTAAACCCTAAACCCTAAACCCTAAACCCTAAACTGCCTGAATCTTGAGAAGCAAGTACCAGGGCCCCAGACGTGCAAAGCCGGGACACGCCCGACTTTAGAGGACAGGGGGCTGCCTCGGCAGCGGGTCTAAGGTTTAGGGTTTAGGGTTTAGGGTTAGGGTTTAGGGTTTAGGGCTTAGGGTTCAGGAGTCTGGGCTATTTAGGGGTCTGTGGAGTTGTGGGGCTGAGGGATTCAGCAGGTCGAGGGGGGTGGGGGGTTAAGGGGGCCCTAGGGGTGCATATTGAGTCTACATACCTGATGCTGATGCTGCTCAAGTGTACTGTATCTCCCGATAGGGTTAGGTTCAGAATTTAGGCCATGATTTCTGTTGAAGGAAGACTGGTGTCTCGCAAAAAAAGGGCACTGCTAGGTAACCTTCAATTCAAGCAAGAGACGTGATGCCGCTTTGCACACTTCGGAGAGCGGAAGCCCCGTTTTTCGCCACCGAGCCGTGCTGAGTTAGGGTTAGGATTTGGGATTTAGGGTTTAGGGTTTAGGGGCCGAAAGAATTAGAATGAGGTTGATTTAGGGTTAAGGGTTTAGGGTTTAGGGTTTCGGGTTTCGGGTTTCGGGTTTAGGGGCTGAAGGCCGTCTACAGTATTGATTTAGGGTTAGGGTTAGGATTAGGATTTGGGGTTTCGGGCTTCGGGTTTAGGGGCCTGAAGAATTAGAATAAGGTGTTTTTTCTTTTGGGGGGGGGGGGGGGGTAATATAGTATATTTGTAAAGGGACCATAAGAGAATACCACTAGTAACTAAACCCTAAACCCTAAACCCTAAGTACCCCTATATCAACCTCCCAAACATTGCAAAGCGGGAGGCACGAAAGGAACGATGCGAAGCTTATAGACTTCGGGGCCATTTAGGGTTTAGGGTTTAGGGTTTAGGGTGTAGGATTTAGGGTTTAGGGTTTAGGACTTGGGCCTGAGCGACGTGGGCAAGGAAGACGGGACCTAGATCGGCTTGAAGCATTCTCCTTGATGTTCTCTGATTACTGTAGACGGTTCAATTTTACGATTTATGACCGAGGGGAGAGAAATGGCTGTGTGTGTGTCCCTAAACCCTAAACCCTAAACCCTTTATAAACCCTAAACCCTAAACCCTGAACCCTAAACGCGTGTGCGTGTGCGTGTGCGTGTGCGCGTGCGTGTGCGTGTGCGTGTGCGCGTGCGCGTGCGCGTGCGCGTGCGTGTGCGTGTGCGTGTGCGCGCGCGCGTGCGTGCGTGCGTGCGTGCGTGCGGATGATTTGTGAGCGTGCGAGTGAGTTGGTGAGTTGTGAGTGGTGAGCGGACAGACGAGTGACGTGACGTGCGTGATGTTGTTGGGTGAAGTGTTGAATGGTTATTAGAGTTTGGCATGCGGCGTGCGTGCGTGGTGCGTGCGTGAGTGGGTGCGTGGGGGAGTGGTGTGGTAGGGTGAGTGGGTGAGTGGGTGCTGTGGTGTGCGGTGGTGGGTGGGTGAGTGGGGGAAGTGGGTGCGTGGAGGTCGCGTGGGTGAGTGGGTGCGTGGGTTGAGTGGGTGCGGTGGGTGATGGGGTGCGTGGGTGCTGTGGGTAGTGCGTTTCGGTTGTCTGTGGGTGAGTGGATGCGTGGCTGCCAGTGGGTGCGATGAGGCGTCGGTAAGTTGCGTGGGTGCTGGCGGAAAGTGGGTGCGGAGGGGGGCAGTGGGTGAGTGGGGGGTTGCGAGGTGGGCGTGGTGTGCAGGAGTGCGAGGTGTGCGCGGGTGCGAGGGTGAGAGGGTGCGCGGCGCTGCGATGTGCGCGCAGGAGAGACGAGCGAGGGATCGAGCGATGCGAGAGGCGTAGCGCGTGAGACTGTGAGCGTGAGCTGTGCGAGCGTGAGAGTGCGCGTGAGAAGTTGAGCGTGAGAGTGAAGAATGGTCGTGGCGTGCGAGTGAGAGTGAGCGTGCGAGTGAGGAGTGAGAGTGTGCGCTAGTGCGCATGGAGTGCCGTGCGAGTGAGGTGGGCGTGTGAGGGTGCGTGTGCGTCGTGGTGTGCGTGTGCGTGTGATGTGTGAGTGTGATGTGTGGTGTGCGATGTGAGTCGGTGAGTGCTGCGGTAGTGAGTCGTGAGGGTGGGTGTGTGTGTGTGTGGTGTGTGTGTTGTGTGTGTGTGCTGATGTGTGGTGTGGGTGTGTGTGTGTGTGACAGATTGTGGTGTTGTGTGTGTGTGTGGTGTGTGATGTGTGTGGTGCGAGTGTGTGTGGGTGTGTGGGTTGTGTGTGTTGTGAGAGGGGGTGTGTGGTGTGTGGTGGGTGGGTGTGTGTGGTGTGTGTGTGTGGGTGTGTGGTGGGTTTGTGTGTGGTGTGTGTGGTGTGTGGGCGTGCGTGTGTTGGGCTCGGGTTGTGTGTCGTGTGTGCGTGTGTGCGTGTGTGGTGTGTGAGTGTGTGCGTGGTGAGTCTGTGGGAGTGTTGCGGTGTGCGTTGTCGTTGAGGGTAGTGCTGGGTGGGGGTGCGTGTGGTGCGTGGTGTGCGTTGTTGTGAGTGTGTGCGTGTGTGCGTGTGTGAGTCGTGTGCGTGTGTGCGTGTCTTGCGGCTGATGTGAGGTGTGAGTGTGTGCGTGGTAGTGCTGTGGTGAGTGTGTGCTGTGTGTGCGTGTGTGCGTGTGTGCGTGTGTGCGGTGTGCGTGTGTGGATGTGTGCGTGTGTTGGTGTGTGCGTGTGTTCGTGTCTGGGTGTGTGTGTGTGTGTGTGTGTGTGTGGTTGGGTGTGTGGGTGGGGTGTGTGTGTGTGTTGTCTGTGTGTCTGTGTGTCTGTGTGTGTGGTGTGGGTGGTGGGTGTGTTCGTGTGTCTGGTGTGTTCTGTCTGGTGGTGTGTGTGGGTGTGTTGTGTTTGATCGTTCTGCGGGAAGAGTCGCCTGCGAGTATCAAATCTTCAAAGAAAGCACGGCTTCGATCGCCATAACAGAAGTTTAGAGAGAGCCGCATGCCCTCCCTCAACAAAAAATGAAAAAACATTCTTCCTTGTAAGCAAATAATCGGGATTGTAGTTTTTTGCCTTTTTGGGGGTTCTTGAGCAAATAGTAGATGTAGTAGAGGCTACATCTGTGGGCGCTGCGGCCGCACCGAAGCCTTCGGAAGTCAAACCATCCACTTGCCAACCGCCCCACCCCCCCCCCCCCCATCCCCCCCCTACCCTCCTCATGCAAGGTACGAAAAGTATGGGACTTGAGGGTGAGTGGTGTACGTGGCGTATCACCACAGGCCAGCTCCAGTTGTCCGTCTTGCTGCCTATAGCTTTGTTGAACCAGGTGTTGCCACACATGCAGACGGAGGTAGGGCTACTAAGCTGTGCAACAACCATGATGGATTCAGGGGTGTTTGAAATAAGCCTGTAAGAAGTGGAAGCCCGCTATTCCAGTATGGACCCCATCCTTGCATGGAATTTACATGGATTTTCCGCGTCTGCCTCCCATCCAAATGCCATTGCCCATTGTCCTGGCCCAAGTTTGCGGCGCTTCGGAATAGAGAGTTATTCCTTTGTTCATAGTACTTTTTGAATGTAACCCAAAATCCTAAACCGCATCAGCGCTTAAAACCTACACCACACCCCGCAACCCTGAACTCGGAACCGCTTCGCCCTAGACCCCTAAAACCCTAAACTTAACCCTAAACACTAAACCCTGAACACTTCCCCTAAACCCTAAACCCTCAACCCTAAATCGTTGAGGCCCTGGAGATTTTTCAATCTCCTGGCGCTCGGGGCCCAGACGCTTTGGCACCGCCCGGAAGTAGATCAGTGCCACGGCGAGCCAGCCTAGGAGGTTGAAAGGGTCTAGGGTTTGGAAGTTTAGGGTTTCCTAAACCCTTAACCCTGAACCCTGGACCCTTAACCCTTAACCCTAAATCCAAGCCCTGTGCCCTAAAAAAGTTCGTCAGGATCCCAAGAGCCCTGACAGCCCTGGTAGCCCTCCGAACTCCTACCAAAACCAAAACCCCCCGCCAACCGGCTACAGTTTAGGGTTTAGGGTTTAGGGTTTAGGGTTTAGGGTTTAGGGTTTAGGGCTTTAGGATGTAGGGTTTAGGGCTTTAGGGTTTGGAGCTTTAGAGTTTAGGCAAGCCCCCGAACTCTTGCCCAACACTATCCCCCCTTCCAGGCGCTCTTAAAAGCCCCCCCCCCCCCCACCTTGGGCGGAAGGCTCAAAACAACACTGAGAGGCCAGCTCCCTCCGTCTTGTGGATCATCTCTTCCCTTGAAAGGGAGCGGTATGTTAGGGCAAGTTTATCTGCTATTTCTGGTTCTAGAACTTGAGATGGTTTAGGCCCGTTTGGAGGTGGAGGTTGGAGTTTTCAGGCTTGGGCTGCTTCGGGCTTATGGTTTTAGGGTTTGTGGAATAGCCCTAAAGGGCTTAGACCGTGGTGGTACATAGAGTTGAGGGCTGCTTTCTAGCAAGCAGGGAAGCTTTCTAGATACCCCTCCGGCTGTGGAGGGTTTCGCGTTTCGCCAGTTTTTCGCCCTCATCCTAGCCGCGAACAGTAATTCTTGTGACATGGGGTCTTGGTCTTGTGGATGAAAGAAGTTGCAATAAGCCGCGGAGAAAAAAAAAAACCTATAAAGCCCCTCCATCCAAAGAAGAACGCTCCCCCCCCCCCCCCCCCCCCCCCACCCTCCCCCCCCCACCCCCCTAAACCCTAAACCCTAAACCCTAAAACCTAAACCCAAAACCCTAAACCTCCCCCCCCCCCACCCCCCCCCACACCCCCACCCCCCCCGCCCCCGCCTCAGCAGCCGGGTAGCTGTGCGGAACACCGGTCCTGGGAGGGGTGAGACGTTTAGGGTTTAGGGTTTAGGGTTTAGGGTTTGGGGTTTGGGGTTTGGGGTTTGCTTCTTCGTATACGAAAGGTCCTTAGGCACCCTCTTAGGGTCGTTGCATGGCCCAGGGCCCCCAGCCTTTCTGTAGTAAGTGGTACCCATACCCACGGCCGCAGTCTGGTCTCGACCTAGTACATTGCAACTTATCTTGGATATCAGTTCGATGGAGTTCGGCAAGCGCCACAACGTTCGAAACCATTGTGCCGTCACCAAGAGCCCCAAGCCATAAAATCCAAAAAATGAACGAACACCTAAAACGCACCCCGAAACCCCTCAAACCCCTCCAAAGCCCCAAAACTCAAAAGAACGCCGAACCGCTTCAAAACACCTCCCCCTAAACCCAAAATCCGATCCCCTTCAAAACCCCCAAAGCCCCAACGCCCAAAAGCACCCCGAAACTAAACCCTGAACACGAAGCACCAAAGACTAAACCCTAAACAGACAACAAACCACCCCGAAACCCTTTCCCCCCGCCCAAAAAACAAAAACACGAAATCATGAGTAACAAAAGAACCCCTCCCCCCCCCCCGCCCCCCCAACGACAAAAAACAAAACAGAAACCGGGCGCCCCCAACTCGGAGGCATCTTCGGAGATGGGCTCCTCGCAAAGGAATGCCTCCCAGGCGCGTGTAAGGGGGGCGGGGAGGGGGGGGGGGGGTTATAGGGTTTATAGGGTTTAGGGTTTGAGGGATTTCGGGATTTAGGGTTTAGGGCTTAGGGTTGAGGCTTAGGGTTTAGGGGCTTGGGGTCTGGGACCCCAAGCCTTAAACTCTTCAAGGGTTTAGGGTTTAGGGTTTAGGGTTTAGGGTTTAGGGTTTAGGGTTTCGGGGTCTTTTGGGCTTCAAAGGCTTTGAGGCTTCTATCGGCCTCTCCGGTCTGGACGAGGAGCACCCTCGTCGTGGTCCGCACGCCGCTTTGCCTGAGATGCTTCGGGAGCTTTCGGGTCTGCAGGGTTTAGGAATGTTTAGGGTTTAGGGTTTAGCATTTAGGGTTTAGGGTTTAGGGTTTAGAGGGTTTGGGGCTTGAGGGATGTTTAGGGTTTGGAGCTGGGTAGTTCTCTAAAGTGGGGAGGCGCTTCTCGGGGGGTACGCTTGCAAGGCGGCCCCTAGTATTTGGGGTACCCCAAAAAGGGACCATCTAAACCCTAAACCCTCAACCCTCAACCCTCAACCCTAAACCCCAATCCCTTTTTGGGGGGAGATCATCAAACCAAAGCTCAGGCCCCGGAAAGTTTTCATAATGAGCTGCGGGGTCTGGCCTCGGGAAGGGCTTAGGGGCTCGGCACAACAAGAACTTCGGATCGGAGGTCGCTTGGGATAGCTTGTGGTTCCTGCCCCGCACCTACATGGTCGGGTCCCAGGTCCCTGTGAGCTCAGGCCCTGCTCTCGAGCAATGATACCCGAATGATTGATCGATGGGTTGAGGGGTATAGGGTTTAGGGTTTAGGGTTTAGGGGTTTAGGGGTATAGGGTTTAGGGTTAGGGTTTAGGGTTAAGGGTTTAGGGTTTAGGGGTTTAGGGGTATAGGGTTTAGGGTTAGGGTTTAGGGTTTAGGGTTTAGGGTTTAGGGGCTTGAAGCCGCTGATCCGTCAACTCTACCTAACAACTTCCTCAAACCCCATAACCCTATAAATGCGATAAACCCTACAAATCCCTCTGATACACCCTAAACCCTAACCCCTAAACCCTATAAACTCTGAACCTTACAGAGTAAAACAGCGCTTTGGGATTGTTGGATCCTGGGGCGGGGTTCAGGGTGTAGGGTTTAGGGTTTAGGGCTTGGAGTTGCTTAGGGCTTAGGGTTTCGGGTTTCGGGCTTGGGGTTTAGGGCTTACCCAGAGGGTCCATTTGTAATACTATTATGGAATTAGGTACCCAAGACGTTGTTTAGTATGGTTTTTGGGTACCTAAATCCATAATAGTAATACAAATGGACCCTCTGGGTTATACCCGAATAAGCCCCGGAGCGAAGCGGCGCGGCGCAACTGCAAGGCAAGCGGCGGGTTCGGCAAGACCAAGCGGAAAACATCCACGCCTTCGGCGTTGGGGCGTTGGGGGGGTAGGGCGGGTTGATCGCAATTCCAAAACCCTTTGGCCACGCCGGTGGAGTCACCCTAAGAACCCTAATAACCCTAATTCCCCTAATAACCCTAATAACCCTAATAACCCTAATGACCCTAATAACCCTAGTAACCCTAATACCCCTAATAACCCTAATAACCCTAGACCCCGAACCCCAACTTTCAACCCTAACCTCTGAAGCCTCAACCCCCCTCAAATCCCGGCCGGCCTCGGCCTCGGCCGCCCTAGTCACACAAACCCGGCAAACCCTACAGACCCTAAAGTGCTGAACCCTATAGACCCTAGACTATAATCCCCAAAAACCCTAAGTAATCCCTATAGACCCTATAAACCCTATAAAGCCACTGTAAATCCTATAAACCTAAACCCTATACCAGCAGGGGGTACTACAATCCCTATAAGCACTTGTAGTATAAACGGGAACATCCCAAGGTTTTGACTTTAGGGTTTAGGGTGTAGGGTGTCTGTACTGTAGGGTCTTTTTCTCGTGTACGACCTTCTCAAGGCAGCAAACGCCACACTCCGAAGCAACACAATAAACCCTAAACCCTAAACCCTAACCCTAAACCCTAAACCCTCAACCCTCAACCCTCAACCCTAAACCCTAAACCCCCTAAGTTCCTACAGGCCCCGACCTCGAGACACATCCACGCCACACTCCTGGCACCACAATGGAGGGGCAGCCCCAGAGTTTGGACTTGAGAGTGTGGCGGTTTAGGGTTTAGGGTTTAGGGTTACTTCTGACACTAGCCCCCTAGAAACCATCAACAATCCCCTGAGAATCCCCTCCACAGACCCCGCAAAACCCCCTAAAAGCTCCTCAACCCCCTCACCCCCCCCCCCCCCCCCCCCCCCCCCCCCCCGAAACCCCTACACCTCCTGAACCCCCTTAAACCCCTTAAGGCCATTCACACCACTGCAGAATGCTCCGACCGTTTCGGGCCAAGTGGTCTTTGCGTAGTTTGGAGTGGTTCAGGGTCTAGGGCTTAGGGTTTATGGACTTTGCACAACCAGAACCTTTAATCCCAAACCCCCTCAAGATCAACGTGAAGCTTGAAGGCAAGACCCAAACCCTAAACCCCCAAAACCTCAAATCCTTGATCTTTGAACCCCCTCAAGTATAAGCCTTAGACCCAGGACCCGAAACCTCAAAATCCTAGACCCCGAGCCCTAAGCCTTGAAACCTATAAACCCTAAACACTATAAATTGACTATAAACCCTACAAACCCCATAAACCCCATAAACCCTACAAACCCCTGTAAACGTCCTGTAAAGCTTATAAACCCCTATAAAACCTTGGGCCACCACAAGCAGGCGTCGCCGCACCCCTAAACCCTTAAACCCTTAAACCCTTAAACCCTTAAACCCTTAAACCCTTAAACCCCCTAAACCCCCTAAATCCCCTAAACCCCCTAAACCCCCTAAACCCCCGAAACCCCCTAAACCCCCTAAACCCCCCGAACCACCCAAACCCCCTAAACCCCCTAGACTCTAAACCCTCTAAACCCTCTAAACCCCCTAAACCCCTTTAAGCCCCCCTGAACCCCCTAAAAGCCTGAACCCTCATCCCGCCACCAAAGCAGGCGTCGCCGCACCCTCTCGATGCCGCAGGCGACTGCGGCCTCGACATGCTTGAGACCTGGGTTTAGGGTTTAGGGTTTAGGGTTTAGGGTTTAGGGTTTAGGGTTTAGGGTTTAGGGTTTAGGGTTTAGGGTTTAGGGTTTAGGGTTTAGGGTTTAGGGTTTAGGGTTTAGGGTTTAGTCCAAACGCACATTTTACAAGAAGGGGCCCCCAGTACTCTACTTGCTGCAGTTAAGGGACTTCTAGCCGAATCTTAGGATCCTGATAAACTTCCACAAGAAGGGCCCCCCCCTTGCTCTACTTACTGTAGTCAAGGGACTTATAACCGAATTTAGGATCCTTATAACCCAATTTAGGGTCCGCCAAACTCTATTTATAACTAGGGGGCCCCTCCTTGTATGGCTTGGGGAACTTCGGGTGACCCCGAAATATCCTATAAACTTTAAACCCTAAACCCTAAACCAGGAACCCTTAACCCTAAACCCTAAGCTGGGGCTTTTGGTTGCTTGAGTTTGCGCGTCAGGCGCTCGGGTTCCAGGCCCCGGAACCCTAAACTCTAAGGCTTGTGAAGGTTACTTGTCTCCAGACTGCAGTGCCCGAGTGAGTCCGACGTGCCGTGGAAGCCCTAAATCCTATGAGGCTTAATTAGTGTCTTGGGTTTCGGATTAGGGTACCCCACACACACACACACACACAAAAGTGCCCCACAAAACACGAACAACGCACAAAACCCAGAAATCTACCTCCCCCCCCCCGACCGCCCTAAATCTGATCATTACACAAACAATTTAAACCACCCAAACCCCACATCCCCAAACATCCCAAACCCTAAATGCCCGGCCCCTCACCCAAATAGTAGCAGATAGCAAGAGGCCCACACACTCCTCCGGAGCCCCAACCCGCCCAAACAGCTTCGCAAAGGCCCCCCCCCCCAACGTAACGGAACCAGAAATATGGCATGGGTCAGTGCTTGTAGGGTCTGTAAGGACGATGATCAGGCTTGACCAGTATTCATTCAGGTTTACGAGGCAGGGTCGGGTCTTGGGCAGAATTTAGAGACTACTAGTTTCACTCTGAGCTTGGAGTTTGCCCTTGGGTAAACCTCGTGCCGGATACCCTAAGCCCTCAACCCTCAACCCTAAACCCTAGGCCCTGGGCCCTAAACCCAAACCCCAAACCCGAAACCCCTAAAACCTAAACCCTCAACCCTCAACCCTCAACCCTAAACCCTAAACCCAATTGAAACACTGCAAAGATATCAACCTGCCGCCGACCCACGGCGTAAACTCGAGGGGGGCAGGCTTGCCGTGCGGCCATCGGACCTGGTATGCTTCAGGGTTGAGTGGCTTTCCTAAGCCCTAAACCCTAACCCCCACCAAAGCATGACATGATCAAAAAAAGTATGAGTTTACGAAAACAGGGGACCCGTAATAATTTCGTCCACCAAACAGTAGGATTCCCTTATAATCGGGACCCTACTCAGGCACCTGCAAGGAGGTGAACCCTAAGCCCTAAGCCCTAAGCCCTAAACCTTAATTACGGGATTTTGCTCGTTTCGGGGGGTTAAGGATTAGCGAGAGCTTAAGGCCCAGCACCTCCAACATCGGTTCCGCGTTTTTCGGGTGCTTTTGGTAGGGTTTAAGGTTTAGGGTTTGTGGTTTAGGGTTTAGGGTTTGGGGTTTGGGGTTTGGGGTTTATAGGGTTTCGGGTTAGGGTTTAGGGTTTGGGGTTTGGGGTTTAGGGCTTGGGGTTTCGGGTTTATTGGGGGTTCTTTGTGATTGACGATGGTAAGCAATGCTTAAGGCAATCAAGTCCAGAAGGGTGCGTTCACAGTGACTCGAGTAGCTGCTCCCATAACTTGTTTAAGATTCATGTCATGTCCCCAAGCAGACTGTAAGTTTGGCGCGAATGACGGCCCCAACGGCTTCCCAAGCAAGGAGTTCTGGGGTTAGGGTTTAAATTGCCCATAAGAATTGCTGAGGGTATCCAGAAATTCCATTGTTGTGGGTGTTTTTTGAAGGTTCATACACTTAAGCAACCCTAAACCCTTAGACCTTTCGAGCGCTGCACCCAGGGCCCTAGCCCGGAAGCCCTAGGAACCACGAAACGCGGAACCCGGCAAAGGGCTGCGAAGGCTGCAAAGCCCCGGGTCCAAGCCCGAAAACCCAAGGCCTCAACCCTAAACCCTAAACCCTAAACCTTAAACCCTAAACCCTAAACCCTACATCTCAAGTTCCAACTCCAAGGCCCTAAACCCTGGCCTTTTGAAGCCTAGTTACAGAGCCTAGCCCCACGTGGCATCTTGCACCCTCAACTCCTACAACCTATCATGCCCCCTAAACCCTAAACCCTAAACCCTAAACCCTAAACCCTAGGCCCTAAACCCTAAACCCTAAACCCTAAACCCTCAACCTTACCCCAAAAAGCATCCGAGGCCCTGTCAGCCCGGGTGTCGGCAATGGTGGCCCCGGGAGCTCGCCGAGCTAGCAACAAACACGAGTTTAGGGTTTAGGGTTTAGGGCTTAGGGTTTAGGGTTTAGGGTTTAGGGTTTAGGGTTTAGGGTTTAGGGTTTCGGGTTGCGGGTTTAGGGCTTCAGGGTTTAGGGTTTAGGCTTCAAGGTTTAGGGTTTAGGGACCCAGTATCCCCCAAAACAGGAAACCCCCAAAAATCTGTAGGGTCTATCTTATCAGGATCCCAAAAAGGAAACCCTAAATGCCAGAGAAAAAAACCCACACCAGAAGCTAAACGAGCCCTATATGCACTCACCACGTCTCAGTAATACGAACCCTGGCTTGTACAGCACAGGGTGGGATCCCCAAGCCCTGAGCCCTAAACCCTACACCCTGAACCTGAGACCCTTTAAACCCTGAGCGCGCCCCTTAAAGAGCCCTTATTAGGGGTCCTCGGGAGACGAGGGGAGAACTCTGTCCATGGTACTGGACGCGTTGGAGTAGACATGGGGTTTAGGGTTCAGAAGGTGTATCTCGGATCCCTAAACCCTATAAGCCCTAAGCCCTAAGCCCTAAGACCTAAACCCTAAACCCCAAACCCCAGCCCTAAACCCTAAACACCCATGTAAGCGATGTAAGCGGGTGGCCTCTGGACGCCGGTATGCTACATCGCAGCCAGGTTTCAGCATGTTCTTCTAGAAAGGCTGCTCGGGCACTTCCAAGATTCCAACATGTACCACAGATGAAGGTTACAGCGGCGGTGCCTTCTTTGCAAACATGTGGAACTCAGCCACGCTTTCTTTCTTGGCCTTTTCGAGGCTCCCTGCTTCACATCGGATCCAGGCATTCTGGGCGCATGCCATGACCAACTTCCCTGTGCAATGCCGCCTTCGACCCATACAGCCTGTAGGCTGAGGATTTAGGGTATGGATGTTAAGCTTAGGGTTTAGGGGTTAGGGTCTTAAGTTAGAGAGGGTGAGAACCTCACCCTAAAGCCTAAAGCCTAAAGCCTAAAGCCTAAAGCCTAAAGCCTAAAGCCTAAAGCCTAAAGCCTAAAGCCTAAAGCCTAAAGCCTAAAGCCTAAAGCCTAAAGCCTAAAGCCTAAAGCCTAAAGCCTAACCTGCATCCCAAAACCCTGAAGCCCTGAACCTGGAGCAGGAGCAGCACACCGATGGCCTCTGCATAGCTGCGCAGCTCGGCGGCGACCGTCTGAGGGTTTAGGGTTTAGGGTTTAGGGTTTAGGGTTTGGGGTTTGGGGTTTGGGGTTTGGGTTTGGGGTTTGGGGGCAGGCGCTCTGGATGGTTCACGTCCACTGACAACTCCAGCACTCTATTGCCACCGACTCGGAACCCACCATCCTTTTGGGGTTTAGGGTTTAGGGTTGAGGGTTGAGGGTTTAGGGTTTAGGGCTTTACCAGAAGTTCATAAAACCTAATCCAACCCTAACCCGCATAATTGAGTTCATACTCCCTAAAACAAGCCTAAACCCCCCCTAAGCCGAAAACAACCCTTAAACTCCTGAACCCCTTAAAACCCAAACGCTACCCTCCTCAACCCTGCAAAGCCCTAAACCCTAAACCGCCCAAACCCTAGCGCCCAATGGCAGCTCAAGGGATCACAAAGCATGAGCCCCACCAAGTGACCGAATTCGGGGCATGCTCCAGGGACACTTATCGCCGCCATTTGGATCAGGGATTTGAACTCAGTGATGGCGGCCCTAAACTAAACCCCTAAACCCCTAAACCCCTAAACCCCTAAACCCCTAAACCCCTTAACCCCTAAACCCCTAAACCCCTAAACCCCTAAACCCCTAAACCCCTAAACCCCTAAACCCCTAAACCCCTAAACCCTCAACCCTAAACCCTAAACCCTAAACCCTAAACCCGAAACCCTAAACCCTAAACCCTAAACCCTACCCTAAACCCTAAACTGCATCCCAAGGCTTGTCATGAGGCTCTCAAAGGCGCGCGAGGCCATGAGGGTTTAGGGTCTCAGGCCTTGGGGTTCAGGAAGTTTGTAGGAGAAGCCGAACTGCGTTCGGCTTCTGAATCCACCAGGCCAAGGTTTAGGGTTTAGGGTTTAGGGTTTCGGGTTTCGGGTTTAGGGTTTAGGGTTCAGGGTTGAGGGTTTAGGGTCTAGGGTTTAGGGTTTAGGGTTCTAAGGAGAACCATTTCTGTGAGCAACAAAAGCGAAATCCTGGAGCGCTCTCCACCGCAACGACGAAGAGAGAGCCCAGGCCGTCGGGTTTAGGGTTTAGAGTTTAGGGGTTTAGGGTTTAGGGTTTAGGGTTTAGGGTTTAGGGTTTAGGGTTTAGGGTTTAGGGGTTTAGGGTTTAAGGTTTAGGGTTCAGGGTTTATGGCCAGCAACCGTGATGGTTTTGCCAGCCAGGATGCTGGCACACACGACTTTCTGTGTGTCTGCATACAGCTGTGCAATATCCCATCGCTGGTACCTAAGCCCTGGACTACTCCAAACAGCTAATCCCTTCCCCCTAATATAAATACACCCCTAATATAAAAAAACCCTCTGGCCCCAAAACCCGGTCCGGCAGTCGCCCCTTTTCATATCTCTACAGAATTAGGGGGCGGGGAAGCCTGAAACTTATTAGGCCTAAAGCTTGAAACCTGATCTATGACTGAGCCAGCAAGCTAGAAGGACTGGTTGTTTTGTTCGGACAAACGATCAGAACCCCCCCTAATACTAAAAACCCTTTAGAGGTTTTGAGGGGTTTTTATACTGCGGGGAGGGGGGGGGGGGGGGGCTTTTATGTAAGGGGGAAGGGATTACACTACCATGTCACCATGCAGCCAGTAAGCCCCAAACTGCCCCAAACCGTAAACTACACTAAAACCCCATAAGCCCCGCAAACCCAGATTTAACCCTAAACCTTGAACTACCCTAAACCCTAATTAAACCCTAAACCCTATAAACCCTAAACCCTAAACCCTAAACCCTAAAACCTAAACCCTAAACCCTAAACCCTAAACCCTAAACCCTAAACCCTAAACCCTAAACCCTAAACCCTAAACCCTACCCTATAACTTCCTAAAACCCCCCCCCCCAAAATCCCCCGAAGTCCCCCAAAGCCGCGGCCTCTCCGCGGCCGCCATCCGGCGCGGCCCGGCGCTCGAAGTCCTGCTCACGCTCGTCCTCCGGGAGCTGCCGTTTAGGGTTTAGGGTTTAGGGTTTAGGGTTTAGGGTTTAGGGTTTAGGGTTTAGGGTTTAGGGTTTAGGGGCCTCTTTACGTAAGGCAGTTACCCCATAAACGAGTTTGTGTGTATGTATACTTGACACAATATATACATACATATGGTGATACATATCTCTCTGTCTGTTTTTCTATATGTACATGCATCTATTTTCTAATTCTTTACTGATTTAGGTATTTATATGTGCGTATACAAATCTGAGGGATATACTCATATATGAGATCATATGTATGTCTGAAGGAGTTGAGGGGGTGGAGTTGGCCTAAGAGTCTAATGTTTAAGGCGACGCGGCGGGATCCCCTATGGCTTCTTTGCCGAAAGAGGGTACCAGTGCTCTTGCGGGAATTGCCCGGGGATACTGCTAGAGACCTGCTCCTCAACGACCCCCTTAAGCACGAGTAGGTTAAGGCATGGCCCATCCAGGATTCATCCACTAACCCTACACGCTAGACCCTAAACCCCGAAAACCCTGAATCCTGAACCTTCCTCTCACTACCTCAAAGCATCAGACGGCCCTGTAAAGTCACTGGTAGCATGAATTCCTGCACATAGGCGGATGGTTCTGCAGTTGAGGGGTTTCTACTTTCTGGATCCTCCCAAGGGTAGGGTTTAGGGCTTAGGGTTTAGGGTTGAAGGTCTGAGTTCAGGAGTTTAAGAGCCCAACTCAGGGTAGGGTTTAGGGTTTAGGGTTTTGGGTTGAGGGTTTAGGGTTCGGGGTTTAGGGTGCCCCCAACACTCCGCCGCTCCTGCCAGGTTTTGTCGAGGCCGCGCCTCTCCCACTGCCGCTCTTTGTGAGTGCTTGGCGTACGTAGACGGCACCCCGATTAGGGTTTAGGGTTTAGGTTTAGGGTCTAGGGTCCAGGGTTGAGGGTTGATTTGAATAGGTTTTGATTGTTTTTTTTTTTTTTTTTTTTTTTTTTTTTGGGGGGGGGGGGGGTGGTATTTTCAAGTATATATGGACCACAACCGACCCCTATGCTGCTGGGGTTTTAGAGCTGAGGGTGTAGGGATTCCATGGAGCGATAGAGGGGGCGCCCTTTGCCTGGGTTCCTGTGATTAGGATAAGAGTGCCTTGGGGCATGATTAAAGGCACCCTCTGCTTTGGGAACCCTAAACCCTAAACCCTAAACCCTAAACCCTATACGAGATACCCGGATCCTTTGCTACCGGAGCCTTTCCTAAAATTCAAGCTCTGAAGCCTCAGCCTCTTACAACCTATAAAGCTCCTAAACCCCGAAAAACCTAAAAGTCCTCCCCCCCCCCACCTTTATACACACAAACCCGGAAAAAATAAACACAAACTCCAAAACCTCCCTAAAATAGCATCAAAACATTGATGCCTAAAGCCCCCCTTTCCTTCAAGCCCTCAACTTCGGATGTTCCCCCTTATACGAACAGTCCTTCATGGGGACTATAGGGGGTACTATAATCCCTGTCAAGGACTGCTAGTATAAGGGGGAACATCCCAACCCGACACCCACCCTCTGACCCGAAATAGACTTGCCCGCCAAAGCACAAAAATAATAAACACCAAAACGTCAACCCCTAAATCATCAAATCCTACACCCTAAACCCTCCAAAAAAAACCTAAATTCATCATCAAATCTGAAACCCTAAACCCCAGAGCCTGAATCCTAAACCCTAAACCCTAACATCCTAAACCCCAACCTCCAAAACCCCGAAATCATCAAATCTGATCCTTGGACCGAACTGAGAAGAATCCTCGAGGCGATTGCCTGATGTGCCAACGTGCGGAGGCTGCCGCGGACTCCTGCAGAAAGGCTTTTGGGGTTGTCTTGGGCCCCAAACCCCTGAACCCTAAACCCTAAACCCAAGCCCTAAACCCTAAACCCCAAACCCAGTAGGGTTGGTGTTTTCGGGTTTAGGGGTCCGGGGTTTCGGGTTCCTGGTGTGCCCTAGGGTGCCGGGTCTGTCCGTGGAAGGTGGATTTCGGCTTAGGGTTTGAAAGCCCCAGCTGGCAGCTCTGTATGGGCCCAAAAAAAGTGAAACCCTCGCCGATTCATCTGGGCTTGGGGTGTAGGGTTTAGGGCTTAGGGGGCTCTTAACCCTAAACTTTTGGGTTTTGGGGGGGGTTGGGGTGGGAGGTTGGAGGGGCGCTTTGAAGAACACCCTCTGGACACTATAAGCCCTTTACAGCCCCATCAAGCCTATGAACCCTAAACTTGGATCGATGAATATCCACGCAATGGCCCTGCTCATCTTTTTGTCTGAAGCCCGCAGTACCGCAGCACTTCCGCCGGCGGCCGCGCTTTGTGTGCATGGGCCTGGAAGCGATTGATGGAGGGGATTGTGGGGGTTTACCATCTAGACCCCCAAACAGTGGGGCTTCCTTATAACAAGGACCCCAATAAGGTACCCCTGATATTCATTTAGGGTTTAGGGGTAAACGCTCCCCTTCTATTTAAGGGTTGAGTGGGCACTTCAGCAACGAAACCAAGAAATGGCCCAAGCCCTGAATTCCGTGGGCACCTGGACGGAGAATTTAGGGTTTTCGGGACCATGCTTCAGTGAACACCCTACGCCCCAATAGCAAAAGGAAACTTCGCATCCCACACAACGAAAAACACTGAGCCGAATTCTTCTGCAAAGTCTCGCAGCTCAGGAGGAAATTCGCCGGTAGGTGGCTTTGATGTCGCCATCCTCGAGCACGGCCACGGGTTATGGCGACGCTTCATTCTTTCGGGTTTAGGGCTTCAAGACAAAAACGCTGTAAGACTAAAAGCCTTCTCTACACCGAAACTTGGGATGTTCCCCCTTATACTAGTCCTTCATTGCGAATATAATAGGGGGTACTACAATCCCTATTGAGGACCGGTATAAGGGGGAACATCCCAACCCCTAAACCCTAAACCCTAAACCCTAAACCCTAAACCCTAAACCCTAAACCCTAAACCCAAACCCTAAACCCTAAACCCTAAACCCTAAACCCAGAAAGCCATAAGAGCTGTGTTGAGGGAGTAGGCCAGGAAGTGGCGAGTGAAACGATTCTGGCGCTGCAGAACTTTGAGTGGCTGAGGGTTCAGGGTTTGAGGGTTTAGGGTTTAGGGCTATATACGGTTTAGAGTCTAGGGTTTAGGGTTTAGGGTTTAGGGTTTGGGGTTTAGGGTTTAGGGTTTAGGGTTCAGGGTTCAGGGTTTGGGGATTTAGGGGCCAGGGCTTGAGGGCGTCTTTTGGGGAATCAAGGGCCCATTTCAGCAACCTTGTCATCGGCCCTGGGCTCCAGAACCCCTACGTTCCCTAGCCCTAAACCCTAAACCCTAAACCCTAAACCCTAAACCCTAAACCCTAAACCCTAAACTCTAAACCTTGCGTCTCCCCTGACCCCGCATCTCAGGGTAGCTACATGGTCCTTTAGTATGGGGCCTTAAATGGGGACCCCTTATCTACGAATTGCTTAAGAACCCCCCCCCCCCAAAAAAAAAAAAAAAAGAACACACACACACAATAATAATAATGATAATAATAATAATTTTATTATTATTATAGATTCTTCCTTATAAGGTAACATAGGGATGAATACTTTGTGTTTTTTGAGGGGTTCTTAAGCAAGTAGCAGTTAGGTTCATAAACCCTGAACCCCATAAAGCCCTAAAAACAGAAGAGCGCTTCTCTTCAAAAAGAGTGCTTTTAAAACCCTAAACCCCATAAAACCCTGAAAAAAAAATCACCCTAAACCCTAAGCCCTAAACCTTAAACCCTTAACCCTAAATACCCTAAACCCGATCAACCCGAAACCCTAAACCCCATAAAGCCCTGAAAGAGGCATCACAGCTCGAGCCTTGTTGGGGCCCTGCACGGACCAGTTCCACTCGAAGCTGTCTGCTGAGTTCACGCGCAGCTGGCCGCCTGGGTACATCTCGGTGCATTATATAATATAAAGGGTTTAGGGTTTAGAGTTTATGGCTTTAGGGTTTAGGGTTGAGGGTGCCAGGGGGGGGGGGGAGATTCTTATGGGGTATGTTTTACAGGGACCCTTTGGGAATGCTCTTGGTCATTCTTCCGATCCCTATGCTATGTTAGGCACGGTCTGCATGCCCCTATATCTGTACAGGTTTAGGGTTAAGGGTTTAGGGGTTTAGGGTTCAGAAAACCGCAAGAGAACCCTAAACATCTGAACGCTAGAACCCTAAACCCCAAATCCGAAACCCTAAACCCTTAACCCTCGCACCCCCACCCCCCCAAAGACTGGATTCACCATCCCTCGCCCAAGCCAGAGGACGGAACGTGGGCGGCTTCGGTGTGCAGGGACTATAGAAAAAAGATGATACACACTTTGTATGTATGTATGTATGTGTATGTATGTATGTATGTGTATGTATGTATGTATGTATGTATGTATGTATGTATGTGTGTATGTGTGTATGTGTATGTATGTGTGTATGTGTGTATGTGCGTATGTATGTACGTACGTACGTATGTATGTATGTATGTATGTATGTATGTATGAAAAAGGGCAAAATGGGTAGTAGCAGGGTCAGGACTCCTTTCTAGAGGTCCCTCCTAGTGTTCCTCAAGGTTTTGGGTTTGGGAAGCCCCAAAGCCCAAACGCTAAACCCTAAGCCTAAGCATCCTCAACATCCCTGAACCCTAAACCCGTAACCCTAAACCCTAAACCCTAAACCCTAAACCCCAAATGCCTGAAGCCTGAAAGCAAAGCCAGGCGCTGTACAGGTCGTCGATGCAAAGATGCCGGAATGCGGCCAGACTCTCTGGGGAGCCTGACCGGCATCGGGGCTTAGGGTTGGGTTTAGGGCTTAGGGATAGGGTTTGGTTTGGGGCTTAGGGTTTAGGGCCTTTAGAGCCTTTAGGGCCTTTAGGGCCTTTAGGGCCTTTAGGGCCCTTAGGGTTTAGGGTTTAGGGTTTGGGGGGTTTTAGGGATTCGAGATTCAACGCCCGCATCCTCAAACCCTGCGCCTGGCCTGCCCCCTCAAAGGCCAAAGGCACGAAGAAGGAGGTGTGGACAGCCAGCTCCTTGGGTTTAGGGTTTCGGGCTTAGGGCTTAGGGTTTATGGTTCAGCATCTCAAGTCCGAGCATTCGCACCCACCCTTTGGATCCCACAACATGGAAACATATCAGAGTTTTAGCTTCATTGACCTTAATTTGTGTAAGGGCAAATGGTTTCAAAAACAAAACCAGGACCGACGAACATTCGCCTGAAGGCAATGCAGGGCAGGGCATCCCCAAACCAAGCAGCCCCCTTGGTGGGAGGTGGGTCAGGGGGCAAAAGTGCCCGCCCACGAATGAGGCAAAAAGTGGCCGCCCACGAAGCAGGCAAATTTTGCCTACAAACCAGGCAAATGCCCACGAAGCAGGCAAATTTTGCCCACGAAGCACACAAAGTCGGCAAATTTGCCTGAATCCTGGGCAAAATTTGCCGCCCACTTGGGGCCACTAAGGTTTATGTACATTAAGAAAAAGAGATTTTGGCTTTAGGGCAGCCAGTTCCTTGGCGTTGCTTGGGTTTCGGGTTTCGTGTTTAGGCTTTCAGAGTTAATTAGGTCCCAGTAAGGTGAAGCGTGGTTTGGGGTGTTGAGGTCGGGCCTTTTAGGGAATCCGGCTGAATGGGTTGGGCTACGGTTTGGCCGACAGAGTTGGCCTCAGGAACCATTCGATCCACCCCCCCCCCCCTCAGACCGAAGTCGGACTCCACAAACCCTTCAACCCTAGCGCCGAAAAACCCTAAAGCCTATAAACCTCGAAATCTGGAACCCTAAACCCTCAACCCTGAAATCTTGAAGCCTACGCTCGAAACGCCCCAAACCCTGAAACATCAACACCTTAAACCCTGAAACTCTTGGATTAACATGCCGTAGAGAACATGAACCTTGAACCCATCAACCTCTCGGTGAACCCTAAAGAACCATAACGCCCCTAAACCCCGAACCCTAAACCCTAAAAGCACGCAAGAACCTCAGCAATGTCAAGGCACAGGCAGCAGCGAGGGCAGGTGTTTCTTCGTAGGGTCCTCGGGCCATGCCCACTACCATATTTGTTGAAATTTAGGCTTTATTGCTTTATCTAAGGTAGGTCCACAGGGGAAGTTCGGGCATTTTGCGTAAAAGGCTAAAGGGTTGGGCTAACTTAGGGTGTTTTTGGGTATCTATGGCTTGGGTTAGTATAGGGTTTAGCGCATCAGGGTTCAAAATGGGTCCTGAGGTTTGGGGTTGAGGGATTGCTTCCGCGTAACGAAGAAAGAAAGAAGTCTTGCTGCAGGTTCGGGTTTCAGGATCTCCGATTTATGGGTTGGTTCCGACAAACGAAAGCCCAAATGCCCAAGCTGGAAAAAACCACCGAACCCCGAACCCTAAAACGAAAACCCTGAACTCCAAATCCTGAACAATCCCAACCCACAATCCTAAGCCCTGAGCCTAAAGCACGGCAAAAAAAACCCTAAACCCTAACCCTAAACCCTAAACCATAAACCGCATGGAATCTCAACCTGGGCATCCGGCGTCCACGAAGTAGACCTGGCGCAAGCTACACTCTCCTCTCGGAGCACGTATAGTGGCTTAGATTTGAGGGTTTAGGGTTTTGGCTATGGGGCTTGGGGCTTAGGGCTCTGGGTGGTTGGTGGTTCGAGTTCAGGGGTTTGGGGTTTAGGGATTAAGGCTGCATATTCCTGAACTGCAAAGTTGTTGAGCTCTCTGACCCTTGAGGGCGATCATATCTGGAGGTAACCGTTCGGGAATAAGGCAAAAACACGGGCTCAGGACCTTCAGGAGCTTAGGCACAGATATGTCGGGCGCATCGGAGCGGTCTGGCCAGATCTGTCATGTAAAACCCTGTCGACACCAGATGCACCTGGCGCCCAGCAGCAAACGTACAGGGTTTAGGGGTGGAGGGTTTAGGGTCCGGCCTTCGATCGCTTGCCCTTCACTTGCAATCTGGCCCACTTTTCAATCTTGTACCTGGGGTTGAGGGTTGAAACCCTAAACCCTCGACTCTAAACCCTAGGGTTGAGGCCTGGGGGGCGGTTAGGGTCCATCCAGGCCCCCGAACTCGACCCGAAGCCATCTGCAACCCTCAGCACCACGCGCGCCTCGACCGGCCAACAGCTCGTGTTGAAGCAGTAGAAGCGATAGGCCTTGCACAAGCCCGAACAGCCGTAGGCCCGAACAACCCGCAGGGCTTAGGGCAAGAGGGTGCCCCAACACATCTCACTTATTCATGACTTTTGTATCAGCGAAACCCGCAACTAAACCCTGAACCCTACACCCTAACCCTAGACCAAACCCTAAACCCTAAACCCTAAACCCTAAACCCTAAACCCTAAACCCTAAACCCTAAACCCTAAACCCTAAACCCTAAACCCTAAACCCTAAACCCTAAACCCTAACCCTAGACCTTAAGCCCTAAACCCCAAACCCTGCACCCTGTAGCTTCGAACCTCGACGGGCCGCGGGAAGCCGTCCAGCTGCATGTCGCCCCGCTCCTCGTACATCAGGACCTGCTTCCCAACCCTCCAGATATTCCAGGGTTAGGGTTTAGGGTTTAGGGTTTAGGGTTTAGGGTTTAGGGTTTAGGGTTTAGGGTTTAGGGTTTAGGCTTTAGGGTTTAGGGTTTAGGGTTTCAGGGTTTCAGGGTTTCAGGGTTTCAGGGTTTCAGGGTTTCAGGGTTTCAGGGTTAGGGTTTAGGGTGTTGTGGTACAAGCCTAGTTCAGGATTTGCTGAACGAAATGCCGAACCCCTTAACTCCTCAACTCCTCAACCCCTCAAGCCCTCAACTCCGCCTCCGCCTCCCAACCCCCTAATTAAGCCCTGAAACTCCCAGACCCCCCACCCCCCAAAAGGTCTTACACTGTTGCCAATTACTCAACAATAGTATCATAACCCTATCATAAATGGGGCACGCCTTTTTGGGGTTGGTTACGTTATGCACCACGAAAGGGGTAAACGGGCACCCCCCCCCCCCCCCCCCCCCCGTAAACCCTAAACCCTAAAGCCTAAACCTAAACCCTGAACCCTAAACCCTAAACCCTAAACAAGCTCAGGCTCCCCCACCCCTTTCTTCTCGGGGACGTCGGTGAAGGTGGCAGAGCCCTCGAGCACGCCGCGGCCACCTCAGCAGCCGTTACCCCTCGGTGGCCCCCAGGGCTTAGGGTTTTGGGTTTAGGGTTTAGGGTTTCGGGTTTAGGGTTTTGAGGGCATGGGCAGAGAATGGTTCTCAAGGAAGTTGCATTGAAGAGCTGATCCTCGTGTCGCAAGGTATACGAAAGCCCCAAAACCCTAAACCCTACGAATACATTAGTAATTCTTCATATTACTCCGACCCTTATAGTACTCCTATTCCTTTCTTGTGGCCGATTTTGTGAAGGACCAGGGAAACCCTCAACCCTAAACCCTCAACCCTAAACCCTAAACTCTAAACCCTAAACCCCTTTGTGAAAGACCAGGGAAGCCCGTGCGTCCGTGCCACCTCCTTTGCGGTAGTCGAAGGTCTTCGAGACAGCCCAGCGGCCAAGCAGAAAGCCTGAGCCATAGCTCTGCACTCCAACGAGGTTTAGGGTTTAGGGCTTAGGGCTTAGGGCTTAGGGTTTAGGGTTTAGGGTTTAGGGTTTAGGGTTTAGGGTGCGAACCCCTGAAGCCTAAAACCCTAAACCTCCCTAAAGTCCTAAACTCTGGGGGGTGGGGAGGGGTGGGGGTGGTGTAAACCCCAAACCATAAATCTTATGTAAATTCCCAAGCCCCTATGATATGGGGCTTCATTGGTCGGGGAAGGGAGACCAGCAGATGCGTTTGAAACAGATGCCTTCAGGTTTATGTAAGGAGGGCTCTTAGGGTTTCTAGGACCAGAATACGGTGTTATGCAGGATTTGGGGCTGGGGGTGAGGTACGGGGAAACCCTAAATCCGTAAACTCATAAACCCCTAAACTCCTCCTAGGCCCAAGAGTAACCTAGGAATAAAAAGGGGGTAAGGGGCTTGCAAGGGAACCTAAACACTAACAAAAAGGGAACAAGGCCTACTCTGGGTCTTAGTAGGCATAAACCGTGCCTAAACCCCTAAACCCCTAAACCCCTAAACCCCTAAACCCCTAAACCCCTAAACCCCTAAACCCCTAAACCCCTAAACCCCTAAACCCCTAAACCCCTAAACCCCTAGACCCCTAAACCCCTAAACCCCTAAACCCCTAAACCCCTAAACCCCTAAACCTCTAAACCCCTAAACCCCTGAACCCTGCGACTGATTGCGGCCAGTCCGCTGCGAACTGCTTCGCCGTGCGCAAGCCGGGGGAGTGGTGCGAAGGCCATGGCCCGCGGCCATCACAGAGGGGGATGGGGCGGGGGTTTCGGGGGTTTAGGGTTTAGGGTTTAGGGTTTAAGGGTTAGGGTTTAGGGTTTAGGGTTTAGGGGTCGTTTTGGTCTTAGGGCTGAGGGATTTAGGGCTTCAGGGTCTCAGGTTTTTTAAGGTTGTTTTGTGTTGAGGGGGCGTATAGCTAGGGGTATACTCGGCGGTTTACTAGAATCGAGAGGGGTCTTAAGGGAGTTAATTAATGCTTTAGTTCGGCTTGGCTTAAAAGGGTAGTAAGGGTTTAGGCCTAGGGTTTTGGGGCTTAACTAGGGGTTTGGGGCGTTGATTTGTTGAGTCTTGGGGTGTTCGAAGGAATCGCCCGGATGGGCTTGACACTAAGCAGCCTGCGACCAGTTTTGGGACGGGGCTTGATAGGGCTTTACGGTTTCTGGCACAAGGCTTTTGTTGCGCCTTTCCTCTTAGACGAAGAGACTTTGTCATGACAACAAAGACAACCGTCACCTTCTGCAGGGGCCTCGACCCCAAGCCTTCCATCCTAACCCCCCAGGACTTCAAAAGAACCCCTAAACCCCTAGGCCCTAAACCCTTACTGTAAACCCCCTAAATCCCTAAACCGCCTAAACCCCGTAAACCCCTACACCCGACACTCCCAGCCCTCCACGGTGCTTCACTCTTCCTCTGTTGCAACATCTTCCTGGGAGTTGGCGTGAGCCGCATCCTCCTGACAGCTGTCTTAGTTCAGAGGGGCTAGCATACTTGGAGGTTGATGGTACTCAGTAACCCAGTTCTAACTGCACTTCTAACCCAATTAACCCCATTGGGGTGCGTAAGGGGCCGATAAGTGGGGTTATAACTGCACTTACAATTGGGTTGTAAGTACCCTGAACCTCCAGGCAGGGTCCCTCAAGAACTTTAGGGTTTAGGGTCTTTGGACACCCCCCCAAGAATCTAAGGCTGGCCCTAAACCCGAAACACTAATTCCCAAAGCCCCCCTCCAAAAAACAAAACACCTCTAAACCCGAACCCCTACACCCTAAAAATCCTAAACCCTATAACTTGGAGGAGCCAGGGCAGCACAAAGAAAGGAGTTCAGGGTTCTGGGGCTTCAGGACTTAGGGTTTTTGGGGTTTAAGGCTTGTAGGGCCTTAGGATGCTTCAGGGCTTGAAAGTTTTTGGGTTTAAGGGTCTTAGGGCTTTGGGGTGATTGGGGCGTTCGGGCTTTAGGGATGGGTGTTTAAGTGGTGGGCTGCCCTTGGGATCCCCTTACCATCTGCAGTAAAATGTTGCTTGGAAACCTTGAGTTACAATTCATTGAACATGAACCTGATAACCCCACGCATGATTAGGGTTTAGGGTTTAGGGTTTAGGGTTTAGGGAGGTTTAGAATTGTGCCAAGGCCAAAGATTCCCCAAGCGTAGTCGACGGAGACTCGCAGAGAATCCTAAACTCTAAAGCCCTAAACACTAAGCCCCCCTCAGCCCTCAGCCCTCAGCCCTCAGCCCTCAGCCCTCAGCCCTCAGCCCTCAGCCCTCAGCCCTCAGCCCTAAGCCCTAAGCCCTAAACCGTAAACCCCAAACCCTAAACCCTAAACCCTAAACCCTAAAGCCCTAAAGCTGAAACCTCTCAAGCTCGACTTCCAGAACCCGAAAAACCCTAAAACCCCTAAGCCCTAAACCCTACAAGCCCTGCCAGACCCCCAAACCCCTCTAAGCCCGAACTCGAAACCTTGAACCATGAGAGCCCTTACACCCCGAAAGCCCTCAAGGCCCTAAGGCCCCAAGATCTTAGGTCTTAGAGCTCAGGGTATTCAGGGCTTAGGAAACCCAACCCCTACACCCCTCAACCCCTAAACTCCTCAACCGCTAAACCCCTCAACCCCCACCCTGAACCCCCCAGAGCCCTAAACCCCCCAGAGCCCTAAACCCCCAAGCCTCGAAACCCTAAACCCTAAACCCCAAACCCCAGACCCCCAAAGCCCTCAGCTGAGTCCTGCATGCCCGGACCTACCTGGCCCTCCATGGCGCGCGCGGCCGGCCGAGCTCTCGAAGCTAGATCGCAAGAGTTTATGGTTTAGGGTTTCGGGTTTAGGGTTTGGGGCTTGGGGTTTGCGGGTTAGGGTTTGGGGCTTAGGGTGGTAGGAAAGGGCACCTGGCTCCACAAAATCTGGGGGATCTAGGTCGCTATGATTTCGGTGGATTTTCGGAGGTTTCAGGGCTGGGTTCAGGGTTTAGGGTTTAGGTTTTAGGCTGAGGGTTTAGGGGTTCGGGTTCAGGGTTTCGGGTTGATCTGCTGGGTTTTGGCTGGTGAGTCCATTTGCAGTACCAAGTATGAGCTAGATCAGGGGGTCAAGTCCCCGAAACCGTAAACTCTCGCAGTTACTTAGGGCGTTTACATATAGTAGGATTCTATATACCCCAGGAAGGTTAAAGGTTACCTACCCAGTCCCTAAACCCTAAACCCTACACCCTAAACCCTAAACCCTAAACCCGAAACCCTAAACCCTAAACCCTAAACCCTAAACCCTAAACCCTAAACCCTTCGTGAATGCTCATGAGAGGGAGTCTCCGACATGCCCAGCTCTTACCGAGCCAAGAAGCTTTCTGGGAGTTGTGTCCGGTTGCGGCACTTAAGGCGCATCGGGCGCCCCAACCCTTAACCCTCTAAACCCTAAACCCTAAACCCTAAACCCTAAACCCTAAACCCTAAACCCTAAACCCTAAACCCTAAACCCTAAACCCTAAACCCTAAACCCTAAACCCTAACCGGTTTGCGGTTTGGAGTAAAGGGCCGACAGCAGTAGACCCCATAAGTCAGGCTTCTAGGATCCCAATTGCAAAGGTGCATTCCTGCAATTGCCTTAATCCGATTTCGGGAGTACTGTAGGGACCCCACATGAGCCCTGGAATGGTGCTAATATAGGGGAATAGGAGGCGCACAGTTTCCTATAAATCCTCGTTCAGAGCTATAGTAAGTCAATCAGCTCCCTTTTGTGTCCTTAGGCTTTGAAGTAGTTCCTGTAGCGTGACTGTAGGGCACAAGTCTTGACTATGTAAATACACTCGGGCAGGATTAAGGGAGTTGAGGCCTTGGGGCTGAGGCCTTTGACTCTGGGACAAACCTGTGTAAGGGTGTCGGGTGTTAAGGTTAGTTTAGGCTTTCTAGAGGTTATAAGGTTCCGGGCGTAGTGCTAGGAAACTGTTTGGGGGTTGGGGTTTTAGTAAAAGCTCCCTAGACCTAGACTCTCAACCCTGAACAGTTGTTAAACCCTACTAAACCTAAACCCTCAATCCTAACCCCAAGCCCTAAACCCTAAACCCTAAACCCTAAATCCTGGGCTCTAAACCCTAAGATCAACAGACACGGGAGAGCAGGGGGAGCTCTGGCAGACCTTTTCCACGGCATCACATCATCGTCTGAAAGATCGCCGTTGCGAACGGCAGGCGCTTGCCTGTGTGAGTTTAGGGTTTAGGGTTTAGGGTTTAGGGTTTAGGGTTTAGGGTTTAGGGTTTAGGGTTTAGGGTTTAGGGTTTGGGGGTTGAGTCTAAGGGTAGTTACATCATGGTCCCTTCACATGGGCCCTGTCACTGGAAAAAACCCAGGCAAATCAACCCAAGGGCCTCTACTTCAGAACCCTTTAAACATTGTAAGGGACCATGTCAAGGGATCACGTAACCCTAATGCTCAAACAAAGCGAGGACGCTACAAACCACCCCAAAACCCCAAAACCCCCATAACAGCTTTCAAACAAAAGAACGCGAACACCTTTAACAAACACCTTTGGACCGCCAAAACCCCAAATGCAGCGCCAAGAGCTCTGGCAATGACACGGAACCCCATGCCCCTTTTAGGGTTCCTTAGGGGTTTTAGGGGTTTAGGGGGGTTCGGGGTCCCTAAACGCTAAGCCCGGCACCCGAAAATAAGGACGTTAAGGGTTTAGGGTTGAGGGGTCTTGGAGCGCAGGCTCCGGATTTTTTCGGCGTTTGTTTCAGGCCTTAGGGCTTCTTTTGCCCTCGCAGAAACGTCATTTTGCCCCTTGGAGCACTCACGCACGCGTCATGGTCAGCGCGTCAGCGGCCCATCAGCGCTGGTGCTCCAACACGATGTCCTCGAGTCCACCACGCGCACACGCAACACGCGGTTCTCCCCCCGCAAGGCGTGCAGCTGGGTCCGCAAGGCGGGGGTCCTGGGAGAGGCCTGGGAGAGGCCACCTCTTCTTCGATCGTGCAGAGGCTCCGGTCAAACGTGACATCGCCCAAATGTTCTCCCGTCGGTGCGATGCAGTCTGCGAGGATCTCTCGGACTCTTGCCACATGCTGGGAAGGAGGGGGAACATGGGTATAGGGTTTAGGGTTTAGGGCACTGGCAGGGCCGGGGGACCCTCGCAAAGGGCACAGCAGAGGCAGCCCAAACCGAAAGCCTTAGCAATTTAATCTGACTCTGGTTCAAGGAGCCTCGAGGTATCTACTGCCATCCGTAACCCCAAGCCCTAACGTTTAGAGTTTTGGGTTAGGGGTTAGGGTTTAGGGTTTAGGGTTTTAATCTCAAACCCAACTTCACCGAGACATGGCTCCGTCGCCATCAGCGCAAACGCCGGCCACCGTGACACCGACGGCTCCTGCTTGGAGGTTCGCGGCACTCGATAACCAACTTTGCCCCTGGGTTTAGGGTTTAGGGTTTAGGGTTTAGGGTTTAGGGTTTAGGGTTTAGGGTTTGGGGTTTAGGGGTTTAGGGGTTTAGGGTTTAGGGTTTAGGTCTAGGGCGTAGCCCCGAAAATGCCTAGCATGCTTAAGGTTTAGGCTGAGGGTATAGCCGTCGAGGCTGTTTGAGGTTGGGGTTTAGGGAAAAGCCCTACAGCCTACACGCCTAAGCGCCTTAGAGGCCTTAGGGTTACCCTAGGACCGTTTAGGGGTTTAAGGGTTTAGGGGTTTAGGGTTTAGGGTGTAGGGTTCTAGGGACTGCCCTGAGCCCTGAACCCTCAAGCCTCCTGATCTAGAACAGC